CACTTCATTCGACCACAAGCATGTGCTGCTGGCTAATATATCATAGGACTCTATGTCAATTCCCTTGCTCTCCAAGCAGTTGTCGACCGCTGGACAACGATGACCAATGAATCTTCCCAAGTACAACCTGGACGGCCGGGTTCGGGGCCAGCATCTGGCAGCAGCGGGTGGTTCCGGACCCTGATGGAGCTCTATCGTGTTAACGAGCACTACATCCAAGAAGTTGTGGATTCCTCTCGGCGAATTCTGCAGACAGTTTTGGAAGGACTAGTCCCCGGAGGCCGTCTTAGGCATGCACCAATCCGAACCTTCTTCCGTATCTTGTCCGGCATGATCTTCATTCTGAAGGTAAGTTTCAGTATCGCAGATGGCAAGAACAAGTCAACTGACTCCACTTGATAGACTTTCACCCTCGGTGCTCGAGAAGACGACGTACGGATCTCTCTGGACTTACAGGACCGGACGGTGGAGGCACTGCGGACCTTTGTTGTTGATGACGTGCACATCAGTAACACCGTTGCTCGATTGCTGGAACTACTGACAAGCAGTATCCGCACGCGATTCCTACGTTTTGCACCACACGACCGTGGAGGAGATGGCGAAGGTGCGGACCGCCCATCAGCAACAATTTCACGAGCTCAGTCTCCACCGCGTGAGAGCGTGGCAGGTCGTCGCGACGGCTCGCATGCACCCTGGTCATCGGCTCAAAGCCAGGATGCAACTCCAAGCGGAGGCGGACTGGGCTATGTGGAGAGCAACGGGAATCCGTCAGGGCCAATGGGGTCGGCCCATGATCCGTTGGCCAATATTCCTGCGCAGCCGATCAACTCGTCCAACCTGGGGGTTTCATTCATGCCGCCGCCTCCCTCGGTTTACTACAACTACTACGACTCGAATTCGACCATGGCTTCTAATGACTTGGAACGGTCTTCACCAAACCACGTTGTCTCTCACAATGTCGGAGACAGTAATGGAGCCAATGCAACCCCCGGCGGGTTGCCGGACTGGTTTGCCCTGCCTCTGGATCAATTCTTCAACAGCTCTACCGGGGTGGTTGACCAAGGTCTAGGTGGAACCGGACCTATGCTAGGCGAGTTTGACATGCTGGAAGTGCTCCTGAACGAGGGCTATGACGGCAACGCCAACGGCGAAGGCGAGTCCGGAGGCGGGACACTCACGTCCCAGTTCCTGTAAACCCGGCCTGTCTGGACTACGCCTATGATGTGACACGTACTTCTTTTTCCTGCTTTCCCTTTTCACCTGTTTAAACTACTATACCCCTGCGGGACCTCCTGCTTGGCGTCTTTTTTGTGATTGAGCAAGCGTGGGCTGTGATACGGCGTTAGCAATTTGGTTGAAACGACCTAAGCAGACTTGGTCTCCTGCGCTTTGATCCTCCCGTTTCTGGATGTGAAATGTTTTTGAATTTGCCTTTTCTTGCTTCTGTAGTGCTTCTAGATTAACGGCCCGTCCGGTCTCCGTCGGTCTCATGGGCGGGGGCCCTGGTTTCATCGCTAGTCGAGTAGATCTTCACATGCTTAGCTTTGATTTAGGCTCCAGCCTTGTCGTTTAAGGCTTGCGGATGGCTTGGCTTTATTTCATGTCTCGGATTTCCGAGGTATGATGACGATGGAACCATGATGGGCTCAGGTTGCGTGAGATAGATTGAATGAGAAGGGCAGTTGAGCCTCTCCGGCTACTCTCGGATAGTTTGTAGAGACATGAGCACGGATTGTGTGCTGGATCAACAGAATGATCTCTAGACCTCTCGAAGAGGCTAATGTGCACTATGCAAGAATGAAAACACAATGCAGAGAGCATCAGAGAGCCCGACAGATTTCGACGAATTCCAGCATCGTATTTCCCGCATTCACCGTGGGCGGCAGTCGCACACCCTCCAAGGGTGCTGCCTGCGATTCGATTCGCAGTCTGTCTATGCACGAGGTTCATCTCGACGATCTATCAAAGTGTGCAAGATGATCTGTCTAGTGCATTGCCCAATCAGGTTATTGCGGAAGTCTAAGAATGAGGACGATCGCTGCGAAGGATCTCTCAGCCAGACCCTGGTTCATCGATAAGCGCAGTCCGGGACCATTTGGATATGAACCGCCGACCAACGTCACATTGTCTATGAGAACTGGACAGTGTCTCCGTGTCAGGTGCAAGGTCCAGCAGGGTCCAGCAGGGTCGGTCGCATGGCGGACTCGGGGCAACATCTGTTTCAAATTGCGAGGAATCCGGAACGGCAAAGACCCTGACATTAATCACCGCTGTCAGGGACCAAGTGCCGGGTGCTCTCCTACAATTCAACGGTCTCAGGGGGTATCTCAAGCATCCACCGCCCCTAGAGCGTGGACGATGACAGGGCGGGGTTCTAGATGACTGCCTCACCAGTGTAAATTGACGTTCCAATGAGAGCGGCGCATGAACAACTTCCACGATGCGCTAAAGCGCCAAGTGCGCGATGTGACCCTGATTGGAGGTGAAAGTCTACATTTGTCTGATTTCGGCAGTGATTGGCCTCCAGATAACAATGATCGTCAGGGCCTTTTGCTTCTTCGCCTCAATCTCCCTTCAACTCTCTCGTCCCTTGATCTAACTCGACCGAATCAGGTCGTTCCGTCTTCTATCTCCAAGACTTAATTCTCCACATATACAGGGTTCTGACTCTTCCGGCCGAATGGTGATCGTCGGGTCTCCGCCGAATGGGTGTTAAGCTTCCTACTTCGCTCGTGATGGCTTGGGCCGGACATCTCCGTTCTGGAACGATCGTAGCTTGTCGCAACCCAAGCCTCTGCCTCGCTCGCAATGATGGACCATCACGCCCCGCCTTCCGTACCTGCTACCAGACCCCTCGGCCCCTGGACTTCATGAGACGCCGTTCCATCTTCTCTTTGGCCCGTCCCTCCCAGGCTCCATCCTAGCGGAGTCCGTCGTGCCATTCTGCCTGGCCGATGGACTCCGTGACGATCTCGAAGTCTATGCCCCCGAGTCCGTGCAGGTGCTGGATCGGCACCACGGGCTACCCGGATGAGCAACTGTTCCTTGTGCTGGGATGATTCGCTTGCTTCACGTAGACCAGGCTCCATGGTGTACTTATCCCAAGCTCGGGCTATAAAGAAGCCCTCGTCGCCGGCGTATTCTTGGACAATTCCAATCCACACAGCTCTCATCTTCTCACTTCATTCTTTTGAGTCATTCTTTACTTTTACTCTCTTGTTTTCAACATGGTCGTCTTCAGCAAGATCACGGCTACCCTGGCCTGTCTCTCCGTCGCTTCGGCTGTGCCGATGGGCGGTGCGCGCAAGAGTAGCTTCACGGTCAACCAGCTGGCTCGTCCTGCTACCGGCACTAAGACTCTGAACTTGCCCGGCATGTACGCCAATTCTCTGACCAAGTATGGCGCCTCCGTCCCCGCCGTCGTTAAAGCTGCTGCCGAGAGCGGCTCGGCCATCACTACTCCCGAGAACGACGACGAGGAGTATCTGACTCCTGTCAACATCGGTGGCACTACTCTGAACCTGGACTTTGATACTGGTTCGGCCGATCTGTAAGTTATACGCACAGATGGCTCTCTTCGAATTATCGGCGTCTAACATGTCTATAGTTGGGTCTTCTCTTCCGAGCTGCCCGCTTCTGAGCAGGCTGGTCACAGCATCTACAAGCCCGGCGGCAACGGCACCAAGATTGCCGGCGCCACCTGGCAGATCCAGTACGGTGACCAGAGCTCCGCTAGCGGTGACGTCTACAAAGACACCGTCACCGTTGGCGGCGTCAAGGCCACCGGCCAGGCCGTCGAAGCTGCCTCCAAGATCAGCCAGCAGTTCGTCAATGACAAGAACAACGACGGCCTACTCGGCCTAGCCTTCAGCTCTATCAACACCGTCAAGCCCCAGGCCCAGACCACATTCTTTGACACCGTCAAGTCGCAACTTGATTCCCCCCTCTTCGCTGTCACTCTGAAGCACAAAGCCCCCGGTACCTACGACTTCGGCTTCGTCGACAAGTCCAAGTACACCGGCTCGATCGCCTACACTGACGTCGATAGCTCCCAGGGCTTCTGGATGTTCACCGCTGATGGTTACAAGATCGGCAGCACCTCCGGTGGCTCCATCAAGGGCATTGCTGATACCGGCACCACCCTGATGATGCTCCCCGACGACGTCGTCTCCGCCTACTACAAGCAGGTCTCCGGCGCCCAGGAGGACTCGTCCGCAGGTGGCTACACTGTTCCCTGCTCCGCCACCCTGCCTGACTTCACTGTCACCATTGGCAGCTATGACGCCGTCGTCTCTGGCAACTTGATCAACTACGCCCCTCTCACCGCGGGTAGCTCCACCTGCTTCGGCGGTATCCAGAGTAACTCTGGCCTGGGCTTCTCTATCTTCGGCGATATCTTCCTTAAGAGCCAGTATGCCGTCTTCGACTCCAATGGCCCCCGTCTTGGTTTCGCTCCTCAGGCTTAAGTCATTCGTTCCTAAGCCGAGCGCCTTTCCTGTCTGTGTAGGCATCATTTTATGCTGCAGAGGGGTTGGATATGTATACGAGTGGATGAGAGCTGGCTAGCGGGCTAGCTTGGATTTGTTTTGGAGGATTCGGTTCAACATTTGACCGTGGCTTAAGTCTTGACGCGACTGGGCTTGTACATGTGTCTTATATAATGCGTGCAGCACATAATATACAACGCATTGGTTGGAACTTTTCTTCCGGATGTAGCGTGAAGTGTAGAACTGGTACTTATATTCAGGCGATTCTGGAGCGAGTCTAAAGGGAGATATAGAAAATCTCTCTGAGTATATAATATAGGCAAAATGAATGAGAGAAAGTCGACCAAGCGGATAAAAGGGAAACTAGCGAGTTGTCTAATCCGGAATCATACTTGATAAATCAGCACTAGCGGATTATGATCACACTAAAGATAAAACATAAAGTAATTGCATAATAACTCCGAGATTACACACGACCTTATCAAACAAAGGAACGAATATTGATATATAACAATGCATAATTCTTGGGGTTTGGACTATTTTCTTAGAAAACCTTTCACCTCCCTCATTCTACTGCTCTTCATGCTGTCAACAGATTATCATCGCCGCTTATCTCAAGGGTATTCCCCTTGAGTTCACCTATATCGACCTTGGCGCTAGAGAGCACACTACCGAAGAATACAAACAATACAACCCCAGCGCTAGCGTACCTATATTAGTGGTGACCAGCGAGAATGGCGAGAAGACTACCATCCGCCAATCCATGACTATTCTGGAATATTTTGAAGAGAGGTTCCCGGATATTGCTCCACTTTTCCCTCCCGCATTGCGGGATCGGGTGATAGTGCGAGACCTAGTGAATATCATCGCTATCGATACGCAACCCCCCACAAATTCCCGCATAGCGCAGCGGGTGAAGTCCATTCGAGGGAAGCTCGAAGACCAGGTCGGTTTCGTCAAACAGGCTTTTACTGACGGATTCCGAGCCTATGAGAGCCTGCTGACGAAGCAGGCTGAAGAGGGGACTTTTTCCTTTGGTGGCTCTTTGTCCATGGCCGATGTGGTTCTGGTTCCCGCAGTTGATCAGGCTCTGATGTACCGATTAGATTTAGATATTGTGCCTAATGTCAAGCGGATTTATCTCGCTCTCAAGGAACTGGAACCTTTCAAGGCTGCGGATTGGCGGAACCAGGGGGGCACACCGGCGAAATTTCGCATTCAAGACTCTTAGTTATCTACCTCACAATATATGTGTTCTAACTAATATATAGATAAATTAACTAATATTCTTAAGGCTTCCTATTGATGCTTAATCTTTACTATTCTTAGCGTCATAACTACTAGTAGCTAGATAGTCCTCGCTTTTATACAGTAAATCTATCTCCTTCCTTGTTGCCTCTGAACGCTCTTGTATCAACCGTTATACTCGTTATCTATTTTAGATAAATCTAAGACGATTTATCTAGGTACGGTTGCTTTTCCTCCTAGACCGGAAGATAGACTAACTTACTAGCGCCTTTAATGCTATTTCTCGGCTTCCGTCGTGGCCCTCGATCTATCCTACATAATGCCTATCCTTGTTGACTGCCTGCAAGGACGCAATACTCTTCCCGAGAGAATATAGAAGCTACCCAACGCTCTTGGATGGTGTCGCCATATTATGCGTATCTGCATGACTTACTTTCTATACTATTGCTTATGCGTTACAGGTCTCCCTCACGTATATTATCCTAACAACCTTACTCTTTGTCTTCCCTACTTCTTAAACAGTGACTGGAAGCAGCACGAGTATGTATGAAGTCTTGAAAGCCTTGGCAGTATTCAAGTGCTGTGTAGAACACCGAATAGGCTTGAAAGGCGATCTTTCGAAACATTTAGCGTACCTAGTAACTTGCAACGAAACGTTCCAAGGTTAGTAAACTTTTGAATTTCATAAATGAGGTCTATATGTGTATATTCGCCATCAAACATAGGCCGCTAAATATGGTGGCCGTCACTTGAAAATAGCGCAAAGAATGCGAGAGTCTAGGCGAACCTTATGTGGGGGTGAAGAACGCCGAGAGAGTGGACCATCCTGACCACCAGTGGCGGATCATCTCGACCCGCCAATTTCCAGACTCTTTTCTGACTTTATTCCCCTTATGCCACTCAAGATCTACTGGGTCTAGAGTATATACTATTGTTACACCGGCCTTCACGCTACCGAGGAAAAAACGGTTCGGCCATCGACTCGTCACCGCTATCTCGCCCCTGCGATTCCACCTCCTTTCACCCCGGCTCCATACGCGCGGCTCGCAGTCTTGTGAGAATGACTGTCTGAGCAGCCCTACTCTTGTGTGCAGAGAACTTGGAAGGGGAACTGGTGGACTGTTCCATATGCCACGGCCGGCCACTCGAGCCGCCTGCAGTGTTTGATCATGGAAGATGCGCCCCATGTGACTCCCCGCCAGATCTGGGCGAACCCGACGACGACCTCGACCAAGACCTATTCGTCAGGCTGTACCCCGTTCGTCTTACCTAGCAATGGTATGTTCCGATTTGAATCTTCATTTCACCGATCTCAATCTCAATCTCGGGGTTCCCGCGCTCCGTACTAACCCGAGCTTCGTGGCCTGTTACAGGAGTCATACATGTCAACAATTCTTACGCTTTCACCCTCACCGATAATGCCGTCTATGAACCAGTCTGCACTGGCGATCCAATGGATTATACCCATGTATCGGCGGTCCTCGACACCCGCGATCCGTTCTACTCTTCCGTCACCCCCCAGCTATACGCGATCGGCTGCGCAACTGTTGTCAGCTACGTCCTCGTTATAATTCTCCTCATCACTCCCCGAACATTCTTCATTGGTGGCCCCGGCGGCGGCGCAAACTTCCTTGGAAGACATGGCATGATCAGTGGTTCATATAGTGGGAACTCGTCTGTCGTCGGAGTCGGAGGTCGGCCATGGCTGCAGAAGGTAGCGGCGATCCTCGTCGCGATATCACTGACTATTGCCACGGTGGACTCTTTCAAAGTTGCCGACCTACAGTACACATACGGATACTCAGATGCTGAGGCTCTATCGGAAGAAGTTATTGATGGGACGGAGATTCGCATCGTTCGCGTGATCTCAAGTACATTCCTCTGGCTGGCGCAAGTCCAGACCTTGATTCGCCTTTTTCCCCGACATAAGGAGAAAGTGATGATCAAATGGGCCGGATTTGCGCTAATCGTGCTAGACACAACGTTTAGTGTCTTGGAGAATTTCTATGTCAAGAATACCTCTCCACGACCCCGGCTATACGATGATGCGATTCCTGCGCTCAGTTACTTATTTGAGCTGGCACTCAATCTTTTATATGCCGCATGGGTTATTTTCTATTCGATTTCGAAACACCGCTACGCCTTCTTCCACCCTAAGATGCGCAATATTTGTTTTGTGGCTCTTTTGTCATTATGTGCGATTTTGATACCGGTGGTTTTCTTCGTGATGGATATCGCACGCCCTGAAATCGCGGGGTGGGGTACCTATATCCGATGGGTTGGCTCCGCTGCTGCGAGTGTGGTGGTTTGGGAATGGGTAGAGCGCATAGAAGCGCTAGAACGCGACGAAACGAAAGATGGAATTCTTGGAAGAGAGGTCTTTGATGGGGACGAGATGCTCGAAGTGACTCCGTCCGAGGAGGTTGACTGGCCTCGCTACGCCCCAAGAAACGACAAAGGAGGCGGAAGCGGTGCAGCTTCGGGCTGGGGGGCATGATAGGATTGGCTCATCGTCCTCTCCGAACTCGCGTTGGCATCCGTGGAACCCGGAATCGGGGCGCCCAAGCCAGAGTGCCAAATTCCAACAAACTTGCAGCTCCTCGGAACCCGAACAACCCTCAACCTACTCCACCTCCAGCTACCACAACACCGGTCAGCCGCACGGACACCACTAGCGCCGCAAGCACGGTATATAATGTCCACTATCATCCAGTTGCCAGCCCGACACCACCCGTGGCGATGCCACAGATGGAAGAAGAAGAAGAAGAATTTGAGGAGGACAAGGAAATCGAGATCGAGGGAGATTGGGCACCCGATGTCGAGAACAATCTACCTCCCGAAGAAGCCAGGGAACAATCACCGCACATCGCCCCCGCCGATCCGCGCTGGCGCAATCTCATCAATCATTTCAAACGAAGACGCGCATCCCTTCCCCGAGAAGTGGCCTTCGCTCAAGCCGTCGAAGAAACAATACCAGGAAGCGAAGGCTACTCATCCGATGAAGGCCCAGATGCACAAGCCTCGCAGGCACGAATCAACAACTCCTTTTTCCAGCGCAAAGGGCTCTCCAGCGCCGGCCAGCAAAATCCCAACGCACCCCTACCCGTCACCGTCATCCCTGCCCGACGCCGCGGCCAGCACACCTGGTCTCCCCAGAACCATCTGCTGGAACCATCTACACCACATGAGCCCCAGCCCCAGCCCCAAGCCCAGCCCCAGCTTCGTCCTGGCCGCTCTGATCTGCCTGTACGGGTCATTCCATCCCAGCCACAAGCCTCGGCCCCCTGGACCGATGCGGACATGGAGCACGGCGGCAATTACGTCTTGCGCTATGATCCCGAAACAGCCGAGTTGATCGATGAAGACGTAAGTCAGATTCGAGACCGCGCTCTCCCCGGTGACCATCTGAGCTGGACGGAGTCGACGACCTCGGAGAGGAACGATGCCGGTCGTGCTCAAGACGCGCAGCATCGACCCGGTCATGGGAATGAATCGTCCTGATTCGCGACTGGCATAAATGGTGTTTTTGTTTCTAATTAGGCTAATCTTATGTGCACATGTGGGATGGGGAGTCAACCTTGGGATTTTATCGGAGTGGGTTTTGGATAGCATGTTGGGATATATTTCCCCTTAGATACCCTGGGACCTACTATATTTGTCTGAGCTTGAATTTATCGTAATATATGAACTTCATTACAATCGGACCATATACATTGGATAGTCCTAAATAGTGCTGACTCTACGTCAAGGCGCCACTGCCATTTCAAGATAATACATGTGGAATGCCACACTAGGGCTATTTGAGCTTCAGCAAGCCCCACGTGAGTTACATAGCACATAATCCCTATACTTCCCATTAGATCCCAAACTCAGGCATAATTCTGAATCGGACGGACGCTGACTGGTTCGAGTGGAGACGGGTCCGCTTGTTCTCGGGAACTTTTCGCTCCGGGAGTTGCATCTTCCCCATATTCTACCTTTGAGGTTCTTTCGCCGTGTGAAGGATGTCGCACCATGGCGGCCATCAATCGGAATATGTTTGAGGCCGGCATCACCACGGACTTGCCCCGTGGTGCTTCGCTGATGGTCTTGCCGCTGAACTTGATCGCCCAGATTGTGACCAATGTCAGATCCCTTCCGCCATGTGAAAGCTGCACAACTGACTCTGGGTTCCGCAGGTCGATGACACCGCTGACCTTGCTCGATTATGCCGGACATGTCGCGTCCTTAATTATATGGCCCTACCGCAGCTCTATAGCAGCTTGACCCTCACCTCCTACGACAAAATCCGATATCGTGGCGAGCAACCGGAGGGCATCGGCAGCGCAAGCCCTTTCACCATGGGGCTCAACGCGGTCATAACCCGGCCTTATGCGACTCTTGTGCGATCAATAACTCTGCGCGGCGACTGGAAGGAAAGTGAATTAGAGGAACACGCGCAAGTGGGGCGAGTGCCGGACTCATCGATGCTGCTGAATATTGCGGTGCGGGCAGCAGTGGATCGCATGACCAATTTGGAAAGCTTCAGTTGGGAACTCAATACAAAAATGCTGGATACTGTATATACGGGGTTGACCCAGCTACCCCGACTCAAATCGTTAACGGTCCGGTTCCCCTCCACCCGCCATCCACAGCCCACATTCGTGCTTCCGGGCATGCCGCACCTGCAGTGCCTAAAAATCACCGATATCGACCCTCTCTGTTATCCCGATGACATTGCGACCATATTGCTGAAGAGTAAGAAGCTCCGCGAGCTTAAGCTCCACTGGTCACCCCGCATGCGAATTGCGCAGGAACCCAGCGTCTCCCTCCACGATTATTTCCGAAAATGTATAGCCGCCAAACAACCTCTGTCGGTAAAAAAGCTATGCTTCCAGAATATGTATGCATTCCACAGTGAGGATTTTAATATCGCCTTCAATCCTACCACTGTCGAAGAGGTCGTGTTTCTGAGTGGGACGGACAACCTCGGACTGGTCAACACATTTGTCGAGAATAGCTGGCCGACAGCGGTGCCGCATAAAAAGCTCAAGATCAAATCCATGCGAATGGATGCAATTTCAAAACGCAACTCGGAATTCCTTGGGAATTTCAGGGGCCTTGAGCGGTTATACTTTGTCAACGTCACCGCGGACTCGCCCGACTGTCTGAATTCACCTCGGCCACACGCAGGATCAAATCTTACCGCCCTTACACCTCCAGTCTCAGAGTATCCGAACGGGACAACAGTCAACTCCCCAACCACAGCGGCATCGCCGGCCAGTCAGCTGAACATGGCGCTTGGTGTACGCGATCTCTACATGGCAAACATCACAATGAACCATGGTGCAAGCTTGCGCCATCTGCTTCTATCCTCGAAATGGCCTCTTTCCACCGCCATGATAGCTCGCCTCGTCCATAGCTGTCCGAATCTGGAACAGTTGGCCATTGCAACAGAATTCTCAAGCATGGACTCCCTTGGGATGCTAGTCCCATTCCTTCGAAATCTGGTGGCGCTCCGGCTTTTAATCCCAGCGGGCTCTCCGCCGCCTCAAAACGGCATGACAGGCAATAGCGCACCCCGAGGCCAACCAGCAAACACCGCGGAAAACCCGACTAGAAAAACTAAGGAGCTCAGCTGGACAGAAGGATCTGTTGCATGGACTAAGGAAATCGAGGAAGCAATGCTCAATGCACGTGGTCTGGTTGATTTGGTTGAGCTGGATGACGAGCTCCTCACGCAAATTATGAGCTATGATCTCGCGGATAAGAACGTTTTTGGAAACGTCAAGATTGTTGGAATGGGCTGGAAAGCCTTCGAGCTACGCGGTTTCTACAAAGAACCCATTCCATCTCGTGAGGAGTCTGGTACACAATCACCGGCTGTTGGCCGTAGTGAGCCCGAGGGCGAAATATCTATCAACGGGACCAACAGCGCAGGCGGTGATTTCGGCACCCCCAAACAAGCTGGCGATTCAAAACCGACAACTCCTATCCTTCCATCCAATAGAATTGATACTACCCGCACGCCACACTCCGTCCCTCTCACCTCTTGGTCCACACCAGGACCCAACCCAACATCGACATTAGGGAAACGAAACCGGGACGATGATTGTGAAAGCGGCGCACGGCAGTCTCCCTTTGATTTCCGAGAGGAAACGGGCACCCGATCATCATCTATCACCAAAAGCGGCTGCTTCCCACCCATAATGACCGACGACGGCCAAATCATGAGGCGAGGCATGCGGCGGGTTGGTTGGGAAGTCCTTCAACACTGGGAGATCTGGGCGCTGGATGCGCAGGAAATATAAGCATACACCTTTCCCTTTCTCCCCTTGGTACATACATTGAGGATTGCACAAAATTAGCGATAGAAAGGGAGTTAGGGTGGTTTATTTCCGGGGTAAGTTAGTTCAATCGTTCGACGTTAGCGGGAATCGGGTAGTTCGGAGTATAGTGAGCGGGTCTGTTAATTTTGAAGACCTGATGTGAACCCAGTAATTTAAACTCAGTTTTCCATTGGATCTTGAGAAGAGTATCTTTAAGATACAGGAATGATCGAACCTCATAATACTTTCCCTGTACACCAGTTTTCAAGTGAACCGATCCACTCAAGCCAGTCGATCATCGTTAAAGGCCAAGGCGGTGGCAGTGAAAGAGCCGATCAGCCAATGAAAAATCATAAAGGGGATCCTATCACATTTGGGGAAAACCGGTTTCCAGATCGGGGAACCCCTCGGTCATTCAAGTCTGCCATCTTCAATTACGCCAACATTGTCTATAGTTCCATGTCAAAAGATGGCAATAGACATGAGATCGAGGCCCCGTGACACAAGGCTTGACTCGGAGCAAGACAGAATCCGCGATCTTTCAAGGTGCGGCCTATTTTACCCAACCCCATTGCTCTCGCTAATCAGTATTTCCTACTTTCTAGGTATTATTGTACATTTGATGAAGATCCGCAGCCAACTACCAGTCCTCGTCTCTCTCCAGACTCTACGCTGACTGCGCTAACACAACTGGGCGTCTATCGTTTTGGATGTAACCGATCTTTTGTCTCCATCATTGACGGAGAACAGCAACATCTCATCTCAGAAGCAACTGCCTCCATCTCTTTATGCAAGGAAGATGATCATCTTCCAGATGATGGCATCTACCTTGGTGTCCGCACGCTTGATCTAGAGTGGGGCGTTTGTCCGCACGCCATGCGTCTCTTCACCGGACAGGATCCCTCACGGGTGACAGAGGCAGAAAATATAACGGCAAATCGAACCCGTAATATTATCCGTGACTTTACCAAGGAAGAATTTTACAACAACCGCCCCTATGTTTTGGAGTGGCCTTACTTCCGTTTCTATGCTGAAGTACCTTTATACAGCCCCTCCGGGTATGTTCTGGGCTCCTATTGTGTCGTGGACAACAAACCGCGTGCAGAGTTTAGCGACAAGGAGGTTGCTGCTCTTCAAGAGATTGCAGACGCCATATCTCAACACCTAGAGAATGTTCGCGTCGTTCGTTATCACAAACGGGCCGAGAATCTGGTGAAAGGCTTGACGAATTTCGTCAAAGGACATACAGAGTCCGAATCGCCAGATTGTTTCAATCAACTTGCATCTCCGGAGACACTGAATTTTCATAACCTGAATTCTCCAAATAATGGCATTCAAAGGAAGGAGTCAAATGCATCGCAATCGCTCCCAACGAGTAAATCCTTCAGCAATCAGTCGGTCTTGGATCGATCATCTTCAACCGTCCTAGACGAGGGAACACTTTCCATGTTTTCAGAAGCGAAAGAGTCGGAAGTGACACTACCTACTACCCAGCCGTCATCGCTTGCTCCGGGTACACCGGAAACGACAGAATGCATAGGCCTTGACGAGTACTTCCCAGAAACAGCGACGGACGACGTGCCCATTGCAGAACGTGTTGCTTCAATTTTCACCCGCGCCAGCAGCCTGCTCAGAGCGTCAATGGATATTGACGGGGTAACCTTTCTTGATGCACGTCAAAGTGACTCTCAATTGTCGGTCTTATCCCTTTCCAAACTCGAGAGTATATTCTAACCATAAACAGTGACCCCTGGGATGAAGGGAGCAAAAAGCTTTCCTTTAAATACGGGGACTCGGGCCCTGTAATTGACGCACGGCCTTGGGTCCTTGAACAATCCGCCGAGAATTCTCCAGACTCAGAAAGTTTGTGCCGATTCTTGGACCATGGCCTAGGCATGCCATCTACCGAGCATCCTGATGCAGACTCTAGATCCACGCTATCGGAAGGTCTTCTTAGTACATTGATCAAAACTTACCCAGGAGGACAAATATTCAACATGGATGATGAATCATGTGAGACGGAAACTACACAACAAGAAGTGTCTCGCTGCCTTGCCCAAAGCCTACCAGAAGCGAAGTCAATACTTTTCATCCCATTGTGGGACTGGAATAAATCATACTGCCTAGCAGGAACGGTAGTCTGGACAAAGAACAGCCACCGTCCTTTTGGCATGGAAGAACTGCATTATTTCAAAGTTTTCGGCGATTCCATCGTTTCCGAGATATCTCGGGTGCACTGGAAAGCGACTGAAAGATCGAAATTTGACTTCGTATCATCTATCAGCCACGAGCTTCGTTCTCCACTGCATGGCATACTTGGAAGCACTGAATTAATTCAGTCTACACCGCTTCAGCCAACCCAGCATGATATGACCAAGATGATAGAAAAATCAGGCTTGATTTTGCTGAACACCATAGATCATTTGTGAGTTTGGCCCATATCATGACGAAGCTTTTGGTTAACCTGTTGATAGGCTGGAGTACTGCAAGATCAATGATTTGGTGTCCAAGAATGATACAGGAAGCAACAGACGCCAGAACAACACAGCCGGTCCTGGCTCAGACTTCGACCTCGGAACATTAGTCGAACAAGTGGCGACCGTTCTTTGCGCTGGCCAAAATCCTCAATTTACCAACACCCTTACAAGTACTGACAGAGACCACCAAATTTCTAACAGCAATAATGATGTTTCAGTGGTCGTTAGAATTGAGAATCTCGATTCATGGATGGTGCGATCGGCTTCGGGGCCATGGAGAAGGATTCTGATGAACATCATCGGCAACGCAATGAAATGGACCAAGAAGGGCCTGATCGAAATCACTTTAACGAAAGCGAAACGGGAAACGAAAGATGGCTCTTCGTTTGCCCATTTATGCGTCAAAGATACCGGCATTGGGATCTCACGCGAGTATCTTAAGAACATGCTCTTTTCTCCATTTGCCCAGGAGGATCCATTATCGCCAGGTGTCGGCCTCGGCCTTAGTATCGTTCGCAAATTGGTCATGTCCCTTGACGGTGATATTGATGTCAGAAGTGAGCTGGGTGCAGGCACCCAAGTGGAAATTTATATACCTGTTACCTGTCTCGCGACGACCATTTCTGCCTCTGAAGCAGATGATTCAAGTTCGCAAACACTCGTTTCTCCACGACCGGTCCATGTATCCATTCTTGGGTTACAAGATGAGCCGGATCTGAACGAGATACCGACCGGGATCTTGAGCATCCAGGCAAAACGAAAGGCCTCGATTCATAATTCACTCACGGACGTCTTGATGACACAGTTGGGATGGAACCTCTCATTCGCAAAGCACCCAGCTGAGGAGCATGCTGATGTTGCAATTATTGAAGAAGAAGACCTTCGCCGCATGTTGGGCGAGGGAGTCTTTACAACGGAGTCCAAGCACATGTTCACATACTTCATTGTTCTTGGTGGACGAAAATCACCCCTGGTAGATGATCTGCCTGCGAACATCATCTACGTGTCGCAACCGTAAGTTCAAAAGTTTTCCCCTGTGGCCTTGGTTTTGACTAATTTCATGGTACAGATTCGGACCCAGGAGTCTCCATGACGCCGCCGAGAGGTTTATGAAAATATACGAGGCTCCGATTCAGCCTGACATCACGGAATTGGCACCCATTGCGTCTTTGTCAATGGCTCATCAGCAAGTCTCATCACTACAACCCCAGGAAGGATCTTCGAATATATCGGAAACTTCCCTCTCCAGCACAATTGACGTTGGAATTTCTCCTGATCCGCCAAACCCTCTCCATGTCCTTGTTGTGGATGATAACGATATCAATCTTAAGGTGAGTCAAGGCTTCCTTCAAACCCTTGGCAGATGTGATTGTGTGCCATGAAGCTTTTTATAATATCAAAGCTCACGCTACGCCCCTAGATCATGTCAGTGTTCATGCGCAAAATCGGTTGCCAATACGAGACAGCCTCGAATGGACAAATAGGCCTTGAAAAATACAAGAGTGCCAACCGACAATACAACTTTATTTTGATGGGTAAGCCTCCACTATGCCCCATGAAGCCTCGATTGGCCTGGATGCTGACAATACCAGATATATCAATGCCCGTCATGGATGGCCTGGTTGCCACGAAAAAGATACGCGAACACGAGAGGCATAATGGCCTTGATCCTTCCCGCATAGTGGCGGTCACGGCTGTTGCTTCGAATTATACACAGGAGGCAGCCTTGAAGGCAGGGGTTAATGATTACTTGGTTAAGCCGTTGTCCTTTGACAGGCTTCGTGGAATAATGGATCGAGTATGAGTTCGTCTGCAAGATGTATTTCATGCATACGTGCATTCGATTAAATCAATCAAAGGTCATCAACGCCAAGGAATCTCAATACCCCGGAAACCCTTGGAGAGCAGCTACGTTTGCATTCCTTGGCCAACTTGTTCACAGCAAGGTGTAGAATACCTTGAGTGTCATCCCCCCAAAAGGGTCCAGTAAGGGGAGGGAAGTCGCCCGCCAATCATAGATCGGGAAGGTAGTGCTTTAGCTACAGGGCCAAGAAACAAACGTAGGTGTGCATAATAATTCTGCCAGTGTTTTGTGAATAATCATTGTATCTAGTTTCTTTTAATACTGCATTGCCCTTCTATCTCTCTGAATCACCTCTTGAATCCGATACGGCATGGAATTTACTAGCCCTTCTAGCACATCTATAGGCAGAGCTTCCCATCCTTCCTGTATTATGGGCACAAGATCATGATAGCCCCTATGTGATCCGCATTTAGAAGACACATAACCATTTAGCCAATTCCACAGATTCTCTTGTGAATTAAGGTCTGGCAAAATAGGGAGATAATCTGTTTCAGTGATATCAAGGCCATATACTTCCTCGGTCGTCTGATAAGACCAATGACAAGGTGCTCCGCTCCATCTTGCATAAGAAGAGCATCAATTTGATACTTCTCTTATAGATCAATCTTAAATTGTTCAATCTTAGGCACGATATATTCAACAAAGGAGCTTGAATTTAGGGTGCCTCATTCAGGATTCCAGATAATAATCGGTCTCTTTTTATCTCCAGCAAAACATGCCCAGACCATAAACCCTCGACGTTGGTTTGACTGTTCAATAACTGCAGTTTCGTGATACTCTTCGTTATCGAATCGTAAGATATGAGGCATTCGACGCCTTCCGAATCAGAATAAAGTCTCATCACTAACGATAACCCTTCTCCAATCGCTCACGGTCAAATTATGGCGGGCTTGAGCCCACGCAAGACGTTTCGAACGATGGGTAGCAAGGATCGGAGGCTTTTGCGTGGCAGGGTGTCTAGCCATCCTACGAGCTTTAAGGGATAAGCGAAGCGTCTCTCCACTAACACCGAGATCTACAATAGCACAGATATTATGATAATTCAGACAGCGATTCTCAAAAGACTCTCGAATCCACGAGATCGTCTCGTTTAGACACTCAGGGGTAAGCTTTGGACGTCGGCCAGCCTTCTGCTTCTTCTGCGGTGTCGTTCGGATAGATTCGTGGGCATATTTGGCTTGTCGTACGGTACAGTTCATTCGGGAGGCAATAGATGGATAAGTATATCCCTCGTCTCGTAGGAATCGACAGTATTGGCGTTGATCGCGGGTAAGCTCCGTATGTCGAACCATGGTTGATAGAGGAAGATACTGAAGTCATCAGGTATAGTAAAATAGGGCGGTATATAAGGAAAAGGATAGGGCGGTGAGGAAACCAACGTTTGTTTCTGTACGATCGTCGACTTGTTTAGCGTAGCCTTTAGTGGGGCGTCATCAGCCCCTATATTTGCCACTAATTCAAGGTACATATATTGATGTAAAAAAAGATACGTTGAAAAGTACCGCTTTCCAAGGGTTGAGGATGTAGCATTCTTTGCGTTCGTAGCCAGTTTAGGTACTCGCTTCAAATGTTTGACTTTCGCCTTCAGCAAGGCATCTGCCCCGGTGGAGGCATCCTTGCATCAGACGTCATGATGAGTTAAACGAGACGGGCATGTGGTGGACAATCCACCAACGAGCATTAATGGAGCGTTTGCCTGTATGATACGTATTCCTGTGGCTGTTTGTTGCTATATAAAGCCGACACTGTACTCTCGCAGTCTCGGCGACACCCACGATCACACTCTATGACATTTATTTCGGCACTGATCACCAAAATCCACACCTTCAAAATGGATCATCGACCTCGATTTTCTCAAGAAGCAGCTTCATCCAACGAGGTTCCAACAATGGGTTCGGCTGCTTCAGTTGCACGCTCCGCGTCATACCCCGCGCCTGATCACGAGGCGTCTCCGAAGACCACCACAACAAAAGGAGTGAATGGACAAAATGAACATTACCGACAACAACTCAAGACGGCTTCTATCGAGCTTCTCAACGATGATAGAGTGGGACCGGGATCCAAAGCTGGGAGATCTCTCCAGAATGTGCTTATGGAAACGGAGCAGCGTCTGAGAGAGCAGCGCAGGAGCTCTCTCCACAACAAGGGTTCCAATTGAGCAATTGTGTCTACCTGCATTTGTTGTTGAAGCATCATTGATCAATTTTACTGAACTTTTTGGAAATGGAACACTTGAGGAAAATGTACATGATTATTGTATTTCTAGGAAGAATTTCAGCGGGGCGTAGTTATCCCATATCTTGAATCCGGTCTGTACCTACGTAGTATGTAGGCAAGTGTCGCAAATTGTGGAGGGTTCCGCCCACATCCTACTTGACGTACTGTCACTATAACGAGCATCCGTCAATGACGACTCACTCTCCTCCATCAATAGTACGTCTTGATCAACAACATAATGGAAAGCAACTGGGAAGAAATAATATCGACGATGAGCTTTTTTTTTCAAGGTTATTTTTTTATTAGACAAGAGATTGTCTTCCCTGTTTCTTCTGATTCAATTTCAGTTGGCCTGTTCTGACACCAATTATATTTCAAAAGGAACCTAAGGATTTGAACCGTCATAGAGATCTATACAAATGCAAAGATTGTCAATTGCGCATCCAGTCCAGAAACTGATTTCGATTATAGGGCTTACGACGTGTTCCACCCTGGTTTTTGCTGCTGCGTAACTTGAACACGGCCATTGGCCTCGGACACAAGCCGCCAAGGCGGCTAACTAAGCGGGCCACTCAGCCTAGAACCCCCGAGAGCTTGACCATACCTTTTTGTTATAGAGAGACCTGTCGTATCTACTTTGAGTCTTGATCATCCAGCCAAGCATCTATCTTCTGAAGCGCAAAGTCATCATGCCGCACCGCGGAAATATTATGGTCTCCGATCTCCCCTTCAATCCACTCTTTGGTGCCCCGGATGTACTTTAATTCTGTCCCAAGCTGCTGACATCCTTCAAAGTCGATTAGAATCGGCATTCCTTTCTCGGTGACCAGAATGTTTGATGGGGTCAGATCATTATGCGCAAAACCAAGATCATGCAAATGCTGGATCGCAGACTCAAGCGCTGCCATGAAGGGGACCCTGTCAATTTTCCCGTTTCCGATTTCCACATAGGATAAAAGATCATGAGGGTGTTTGTCGAGAATGAGGCCGGTAATGTACCCGCGCTTGACTCGACATCCGTGATAGCGCACCAGATTCGGGTGTGGATGGTGAGACAGCACTTCTAGCACGCTGGCCTCTGAAATGAGGGATTTGAATAGTTGTTTCTCCATTCCTTGCTTCTTAAGAATGCCATAAAGTTCAAACGGGCGGCGTTTGATGTAAATGTCTTCATGTTGTGTTTCTGGCGCCTCGTGAAGTTCTGTCTCTAACCACAAAGGGTATATTGTATCATCAGGAACAGAATTGAGGGCAGCCATGAGCTGATCGAATGATATTTCTGTCTTAAACGCGTCTAGCTGGCCATAATAAAAGGTGTCATTGTCGTCGAGGAGGCCAAACGATGTGTAGTGAAACACCTTGGATTCAGGGTCAACCTCCTCTAAAGCGAATGCCAGATCATCCCAGTTGGTGATTTGGGGCGTCATAATCGTGCAAGACAAGAAGACCTAGGAGATCATCGTTGTAACTAGAGTGTTTCACTGGGTGGAGAGAAAAACGACGAGTAGGTATCAGACAAAGGAGAAGGCGGGGGTCATAGGCAATACGAGTACGTATACGATGCAGGCCCTGCGATTATTAGTGATAGCCCTTGCATGTAGCTATATTGAGCTTACATTTGTGATTCAAGCTGGTCATTGCATGAATTGCTTTGTGCCGACTCCAAAAAATTGCAGTCCCAGGGGCCCAATGTTTCTGTCGATTGACTATAGATTAGAAAGGAGATAGGCGAAAGGCCGTGAGTGGTATGCTGAATAAGGCCTCAATGCCTCGACCTACTTAGCGCACTCTAGGCCTCTCATCCATATCAGATTGATGTGATTTATAGAAGAATTTGCGAAAATAGGTACTCTTTCCCCGGAATTCTAGAAGGAAATACATAATCAAATACTCATTGAGTACTGTAAAATCACCATGAAAATTGCATAAGCTATACAGTCACGAGGAAGTCACGGGTCTTAGCTTATCTGTAATGTTTACATACCCAAAAGGTATCCGCAAATTGCACGCAAGAGGTAACAAGTATCTACGGCTGGTATTATTGTCGCTCTTGCTTGTATATAACTTGCTGCTGAGAAGGCTCCAGCAAGCTTCGGTGGATTACCAACAGCTCTGATCTATCCAAATGCTCTGGCATTTGCGATGATGAACACGATTTCTTCTATGCTGGTGGGCTTATTCGATAGTCAGAGCGTGTTCCGGAAGGCATGGTACCGGTGATATCCTCAAATAGGTATAGACATGCTATTTGGATTGAATTTACAGGAAGGATAGGCTTGCAGAGAAGTGGGAAACTGCGGGTTTCCCTTTCGAGGGGGGGTGTCGGCTTGGCACATGCGCGTTTGGCCGGAGCCACAGAGGACGCGATAAGCTAAAATGTTCAAAGTTTGAGTTAGTATAGTGGAAGACCTCGAGCGAAGATGAGAATTGATGGTTTAATTGACAGCCTAGGACGATTAGAAGGTGAGTAACCAGACAGTGAGAGCCTTTATGTACATAAATTGCGTGTCAGAGCCCACTGGTCCCTACTCAATTTGTGGGCTAGCATCTTGGCGCTGGTCCCCCAAAGAGTGAAAATTGGTGAATCTGGTTTTGCACTTCTCTGTAGGGTGACATGATGTTGAAAGCAGATAGTTCTATTCAGTCCAGCCGACGGTGGGTTGGTGGGCCGTCGATCCGCTCTGTGCCCAGCGGTGGGGCCGTGAGGGGGTGAACGCAAAGTATAAGACGCTGCCTTCTCACCCGTCCTGAACATAATCTCACGAAAATAAACCATTTCAAAGTTTTAAAGAAACAATAGCTATTGACGAAGTTAGTATAGACGGCATGGCTACTACCACCGAGACCTTGGAATTCAACCGAACATCATTCACGTAAGACTTTCTCAAGCCTGCCCCAACCTCTGGCTAACCTGAATCAGTCAAACCGGTCCATATGGAGACTGGCGAGATGATCTTGAATCCCAAGGGTTCGTGGTAATAAAGGACGCCATCGGACCCGAAAAAGCCAAGTATTATCAGCAGAAATCCCTAGACTGGCTCAAGTCATTTGGTACTCCTCTCGACTTGGATGATCCCTCCACCTGGACAGCCGAAAATCTTCCTGTCCAGAACAAAATAAATACCTTCCAAGGGTATTCAGTGGTGCACGAGAAATTCATGTGGGAAGCTCGCATGGAACCCAAAGTCCTAGACGCGTTTTCCAAGATTTGGGGTACAGATGAGCTGTTGGTCTCTTTCGATGCTTTGAATGTTACCCTACCAAATCAGGTGGACAAACCGGCTCAGAAGCCATGGCCCCATGTAGACCAATCTCCTCTGCGTCGTGGCCTTCATTGTGTGCAGGGGCTCATCAACCTCAGTCATGCCGGTCCCGAAGACGGTGCACTCATCGTTCTACCGAGATCAAATACTGTGAACGAAGAATTCTTTGACACGCAGACCGACCCTTCGACCTGGCAGAAGGCAGACTTCCGTTACTTTAGTGACAAGGAAATGAAATGGTTCGAGGAGCATGGGATGAAGCCTATGAAAGTCCTGGCAGAGCCGGGAGACTTGATCCTATGGGATTCACGAACCTGTCACTGGGGTGGTGAGCCTACCGAGAAGAGCAACACAATCAGGACTGTGATATATGCCTCTTACTCTCCCGCGAACTTGGCCTCGAAAGAGACCCTCGAGCTGAAGAAACAGGCCTTTGATACATTCCGAGCAACCACCCATTGGGCCCACGACAATATCAGGATTCGCGATAACATCGTGTATCTTCCTGATGGAACAGTGGACCCCTGTAATCGATCTAAGCCTCTGGAAGAACCGGAATACACCGATCGTCTGCTCCAACTGGCTGGAGTGAAGCCATACTAAGAGAGCGAAGCCTAGGGTACCTTATGATAGAATGAAATTGGATATTCACCACCCCTTTAGCCTGTTTCTGAGAGTTTGACTCGTTTGAATTGCGCTTCAAAGCGTGCTTATTTTTGATTATTAAGGGTTCAAATGGTTGTAGCCAGCCCCACCTCCCCGCGCCGCGAGCCTCGTTCTCTCTGCCATTCAGCGTCAACACATGGAGTTTCCTCGAAAGCGTGCCCAAGTGGCATGCAATTTCTGCAGGCACCGGTAGGTCTGTGCTTAGAGGAGGCTGTGGTTTCAACTAATAGCCGCCAGAAAGAGGAAGTGTGATGGACAGAGGCCCGCGTGCGCGTTCTGCGCTGGCGCGGGTGCTCAATGTGAATATCAGGAGAACCCGAATGAGAAGTACCACATCTAGCGACTCGCAGCTAGCCCACTTGACTAAAATATACAATAGATCGGATACAGACCTATCGGCTGATATAGTGCTGCGTTTGGACCGTTTGGAATCTCTAGTAAAACAACAAACGGATGTCATCTCGGCTTTATCCGATCGTCTTTTGGCAATCACAGCCAAGGATAACAACCAACTGGCTCCGAACAGGTCCACGAAACTGCATGGGGATGGTGTTTCCCATACTCCACCGATGCACAGTTCTTTCGTGGGTGGTACTTCAGTGTCAATTGACTCTCGAGTGAGATATGAGCACAGCGATGATCCACTTCTCATTCCTTTGGGGCATCAAACGCCGACAGGGAACCTGCTAGGCCTTGAAAGAATAAGAAACCTTATCGGTGACTACTCACAAGATTTCTTTCTATCCCTAGAGTCGGAGCGCAGCCTGCGGCCGTTAGCGCCGCAGGTGCCCTACTCAGCAATCCTTGAAAAGCTTAACGCGAATCGTGAAACCACAGACTTTCTGATCTTCAGTTTTTGCAACTATGTTTACCCGCACTTTCCAATCCTTGAACGCGAGTCATTACACGAGATGTTTGAGACCTTCCTTCAATCAAGCGAAGGTCGTACTAGCTCGGATGCGCTATGTCTCATCTTTTTAGCGCTGGGGGAGATATGCTCGACTGCCGTCAATGTCTATGATACAGAATCACAAACAGAAAGTAATGGCACAGAATACTTCACACATGCATATCAAATCCTAGCTACCGAAGGATTGACATTGTTCTCGCGAGACGTCAAGGTCCCACTGACATACTTCTTTGGCTCGATATACTTTCGTTACCGAGGCAGAGCGCTGGAGGCTTGGGAAATGATTCATGCTGCATCCTCTGGAGTCCAGTTGATGTTCTCTTAGTATGTTTTGCTGTTTTCCTTGGTCATCTCTCGGCTGCTGACCGTCTTAGTCTGCGCGGCAGGACAATACCACAAGAACAGCGAGATTTACTGATACGACTCTGTTGGAGCTGTTATGTCTTGGAATGGTATATTTTGCCTTCGTTCGGCCTTTGGATAGTTTTAACAATCATGATGAGCAGTGATGATCTAGCTGAATTCCACTTCCCCCGGAGTGGTATCGAGATTCTTGTGGACGGACTCCCATTTCCCGAATTTACTAATCCAACCGACCGGGATGGCCTTGTATTCCTCGCCATGTGCTCCATTCGTAAACTTCTGAACCGCATTCACAATACACTGTACGCAGGTAAATCAGAAACAGACTCGACAAATCCACAACACCATCCCATGTCGGTTGCTTCTCTGGAGGCCCTTAACGTCGAGCTAAATCGACAGCTGAAGACATGGTTCGACTCACTTCCTGAGTCCATCAAGCCCGATTTGCAAGATCCAACACCGCGCGACGTGCAAGATGGATTACTTCGCTCGCGATACTACGCCGCAAAACACATTCTCTGTCGGCCGAGTCTCGTATTCGCTGCACAGTCCAGAGACATCCAATTGACAGGCTATCTGCTTGAAAATTGCAAAATATGCGTGGATAGTTGTCGAAATTTTATTCTTACAAACGTTCCTTTTATTAAGAAACGAACGCATTCCACTTGGCTCAGACTCCAAGCGTATGCCATTTCCCACAATTCAACACTTCCCACATCTGATTCTCAAGCTAATAATCATGCTAGTTTACTTGCAGCAGTCTTTGTCCTTTCGATTGCAAAGGCCACGCCATCACTTGCTTTCCTCGTTCCGGATTTCGACGAGGTCATCGATGAAGCGATTCAATGCACCGAGCCATGGGCTCAACACCATGAAACTGCAGATGCAATACTGAATATTTTCAAAAGCATTCGACGGAAATTACGATTCCACGTTAAGTTTATCTGTGCATAACGATTAGAATTTGCGAGAGACTTTGGAGCATGTCGCAGGCTGACAGCAAACGATATGTCCGTATGCGTGATTTTAGTGGAAATGTATAAATTCTTTGTCAAATGTTTATACCGGACTTACAAGTGTTGCAATGCTCCAAATGGGTTGGAACTGTTAAACACATATTTCTTTATCCTTCGTAGCCCACGTAGGCCTTGGCAAGCTTCTCGCGGACCCACTGCATGCATCTATAGTTACTAATTGTTGCAGCGGATTTAACCAAATTCATCACATACCTCTCCGGCCTTGAAAGGTGCGATGCATGGTGGGTCATTAACCGAGGTGTGGTTTTCCAGCACAGAAACGGTGGCATTATAGTCGATTCCAAAAAAGAAGGGAATTGAGTATCGTTCTTCCCCCGATAGATTAGTCACTCGGTGGATTGTTGATTTGAATTTCTTGTTAGTCCTGCGCTTCGTCAACAAATGTGTATGGAATACGGAGAGGCATATTTCTTACCAGGTGGATAAGCAATCTGCAATATTGACGACCATTGTTCCGGGGATAGGGGGTGCCAGAATCCAGTCACCGCTGTGGCTCAATACCTGCAGGCCAGGGACACTTCCCTGTGAGAGAATTGTGAAGCATTCAAAATCCTACAAGAAAGTCAATCTTGTGTATCCACTGATACGATGCCAAGAAAGAACTGACCGTGTGTGCTCCTAACCCTTCCCGTGTTTCTGTTGCAGGTTGAGCTGGATAATGCATCATCCTAGATGTAACCCCTGGGTTCCGAATCTTGGAGTCAAAGTATTCCTCCGGGACGTCCAAGGAGAGAGCAAATATCTTCATTAGCCTGCGACAGAACTCTAGCAGCGTGCCACAGTACTGGATGTATGTCTGTGAGAAACCTGCAAGGGTCTCTTGGTCGGGCCATTGATTGTCGCCATAGAGTCTATAAATATCCGGGGGCAGAACGTCATCTTTTGACTTTTGGAAATCCATCGCAAGCTCATATCCAACATCGAATGCCTCAGAGAGAACTCCGGTGGCCTCTTCTACTGATATCGGCTCGTCGTCGGTGCCTGTCGATCGCTCACCTCCGATAGGACTGTACCCCCGGAATTTCTAGAATCAGGTTTCAGCCTGTGCTCATCCGATATGAATTGACGGATACTTACTTTGGAATTTCCAATGTAGACCTTCATCTTTTGGTCTTCGGGGAGATTGAAGAAACGCTCTGCTGCTTGATGGATGCCACTGATCGATTCTTCGGAGATCCCATGGTTCTATTATACCGCAAACCAAGTCAGTATATATGTAGTTTGACTCATGGGATCTAGTCTCAAAGGGCTGTGATATCCAGTTACCTTGACGTAAAAGAACCCAACTTGAGTGCAGGCACCGTAAATATTTTGGGCTAATTGACGACGGTCCTCGATGTGCGGGCTATCAATACTCGACAAATCAATGATGGGGATGTGGTCGCAGTTCGCTGTCTGGGAGGAATCGGCAGGTTGCTCATCCATGGTGCTTGTGGTGATGGCCGTGGAATGTGCAAGAAGTGTGTTCTGTTAAGACCTTATCAGGAGGTCGCTATAAGGCATGTTCCTCGGCAGTTCGTAGCGGGGTGGTCTTATCTCGCCCAACCCCTCACCTGCTAAATCCGATGATGTTAGTTTCGGTAATTCTATTGAAAAAAGTATGGCTTATTAGAATTTATAGACCTCCAGAGATTTCTCTTTATGAGGTCTGATGAAGTGGGTCAAATGGTTGAATTCAGACCTACGGACTCCCAGATGATCAAATATTCATTCAATGTTGGGAAAGTAGGCACAATTGAAAGTAGCACAAAGGAATGAGTATATAGGTGACGTGGTGAGCAACCCACCCCGTGACCGGAACGCCTTCACAGGAATGCAATTACAGCAATGAGGTGGCTTGAGACAAGTAGTAATGGGCTCTTGCATGGATTCAGCGTTTGTGTGACTTGAGTTGTCGCACAGACCCAGTCCCCCGACATACTAGAATGAGTACATACATAGAGACTTGCAGAAAGCCCTTGGTTCATTCACTCGGGATATGCACCGGAATCCACTAATTGCAATGATTGAGCCTCATTTGCTAAGTTTAACCGGCGAACCAAGGGGAATCTGTGTCGCATGGCTATGTTTTGCTGAGTGACGCGACCCTTGCGTCGCTGTAGGGCGCGTTTGTGGATCTGCCGGCTTTCCAACAGCACCAGCCTCACCCAGCCATCAATGTGATATAACTCTAATTCAAGGATTAATCTCGAGTCATGGTCTTGGGCCTTGCATCGAGTTAGCCGAGTGACGTGGGTCTGTGGCATCGAAATCGATCTCGATCAATCATTACGGGGCGTGCTAACAAGAAGCCATACGAATGTACATGCCTCGAGATTCGCACGTCTAGACCGGACTTGGCATTTATGCAGCTATGACCTGTTCAGTAAGCATCGAGTCGGAGCGCCTTATGCCACCAAATAAGGTTAGATCCATGGGGCCAATGTTGTTTTTATCTCTCCGCATAGTACATGTCTTTCGTGTTTTGATTTGCTTCATAGGCCCAAGAAACCTAAGATGAATCGGCCAAGAAAGTGATACGGGCCTTTAATAGTAACAAGGAGAAAAGCCGCCCCAAATAGGCGTCCCATCCTATCTCGACCAGTCAGCCTAAGCTTAGCTGACTGGGGTAGATGCAATGGTCAACACCTTATGTTCCATGAACCCCAGGAGTTATAAAAGACAGGCATAGGTCTCTCGGCGAGTTTACAGAATTACACTCGATATATGCAAGGCTTGCTTTTTACATTGCTCAGAATGCAGTTTTATACCTTCTTTCAATGCTTCATTGCGTTTGGCTCTATCCACTACGCCCAAGCCTGCACTCCTAGGTCAGACAGTGGAAGCACCGACAATCCGTTTGTGTTTGGCAATGATGGCCCGGCTCCAGCAGCCACTCTCGGTTTCGCGATCAACCATTTCGGCCTTCTGACAACGAACCTAGATGCCATGAAGCAATTCTATGGAGATATCCTAGGCATGCGCCTCATCTTCGACGCACACGTTACACCAGAGTTTACTGTGACCTACATGGGATATGCGCAGGGCGGTCGCAATGGAACTGGCTTCCAGAGCGGTGCAGAACTTGCACGGGACAAGAATAATCTGTATGGACTCATCGAGATGGTGCAATTCAACGTGTCGGATGATCATTTCGAGCCATCCACCAAGCGGACCAACACATTTGGCCACGTTGGTCTGATTGTGCCTGATGTCGAGAAAGCGCAATCCTACCTAGAGGCAAAGGGTGTGGCGATTCTAAAGCGGGTCAAAGAGCCGATCACGGAGTTTACGGGGCCTATCCAGAACGCTTTTGGTATTGGCGAGTTCGCTGGGGAACATATTGCAGCGAAGAAGGCGCTTGTTGCTGCTCAAGGCTTGATTGGGCTGGAAATGTTCCTAATCATCGAAGACCCTGATGGAAATCTGGTTGAAATTCAGCAGCAAGAGGCTCCTAGTGCTTGATGCATCGGACGCACAGTTCAGGAGGGCACGCTGATCTTTCATGGGTTTGCTGATCAGCAATAGGGGGTCCAGGTAGAGGGCGAGGATCAATGGGATAAATGCGGTTTTTAGTATAGGCTCTGGGCTAAATCAAAAACTCTGAAGACAGGAGAAGATAGGCGCTAGTCACCGTAGAGCCAAAGAATAGGGGTGGAAACCCGGACCCTGGCCACGATGTAGAAAGACCCTGCACAGGAACAAACCTGAAACAACGGGATCCACCGAGTCCAACAAGTTGCCGAGTCCACGCGTCGACGTGTACTCTTTGTGTCCACCCCTTCAACTGTGTCTATCACCGCCAATCAACACGCCGTGTGGCCGGTCACCGCCCCACGATCGTCGAGCCCCTAAATTGCCCTCATTTCGCCTTTTTTCTTCTTCACCAACCCTCACCATAGTCACTCTTTTACGGTTAACTATCCAACCATGGCAAACGGTCGTTCCTCGCAAGACGAGCGCAAGCTCGAGAACGGTGCTCCCGCCGCGCCCGCTAGCAATGGCATCCACCCCGCATTCTACATTGCGTGCGTCTTCCCCTGTGATCTCTCGAATCTCGAACCTCGAACGTATCTAACGTCAACAGTCTGTGGATTGCCCTGAGTTCCAGCGTCATTCTGTTCAACAAGTGGGTTCTTTCATCCGCGAAGTTCAGTAAGTTGATGCCCGGCTACCTCAATTGGTCTGAAAAATCACAAAACTAACAATCGCTTCTAGACTTCCGTGAGTTCCCTCCCACCTAGTCCACATCGAAATACTCGAGGTTATCCGACTCGAAACGATCAAACTCTAACAATTTGGCAGCCCTGTTCCTCACGACATGGCACATGGTGTTCGCTACCGCGATGACCCAGATTCTGGCTCGCTGCACCACCATCCTGGACTCCCGTCACAAGGTCCCGATGAACCCGGCCACCTATACGTGAGTCTCACATGAAACACGGCGGAACATACGAATTGGGCTAATGGTCGGAATTCTCGAATAGTCGTGCTATTGTGCCCATCGGTATCATGTTCAGTTTGTCCCTGATCTGCGGTAACCTGGCCTACCTCTACCTGAGTGTGTCCTTCATCCAGATGTTGAAGGCTACCAACGCTGTCGTTACCCTTTTCGCTACCTGGGCCTTTGGAATCGCCCCCGCCAACTACAAGACTCTCGGCAATGTCGCTATCATTGTCCTTGGTGTTGTCATCGCCTCCTTCGGTGAGATCAAGTTTGACATGCTTGGTTTCCTCATCCAGGTTGCCGGTATCATCTTCGAGGCTCTCCGTCTTGTCATGGTCCAGCGTCTCCTTAGCTCCGCCGAGTTCAAGATGGACCCCCTTGTCTCGCTGTACTACTACGCCCCGGCCTGCGCCATTACCAACGGTGTTGTCACCCTTTTCACCGACCTTCCCCGTATGACTATGAACGATATTTACTCTCTCGGCATCATGACTCTTATTGCTAACGCCCTCGTTGCCTTCCTGCTCAACGCCTCTGTTGTGCTTCTGATCGGCAAGACCTCCGCTGTCGTCCTCACCATGGCTGGTATCCTGAAGGATATCCTGCTTGTTTGCGCCTCCATGATGATCTTCCACGACCCCGTTACTGCCCAGCAGTTCTTCGGTTACTCTATTGCTCTTGCTGGTCTTGTGTACTACAAGCTCGGCGCCGAGAAGATGCAGACCCTTGCCACCGATGTGAAACTCCAGGTCGGCGAGTACCGCCGCAACAACCCCGCTCAGGCTAAGGGCATCGCTATCGGTGGTGCTTTGACCATCATTCTGCTGATCTTGTACACCGGAGCTCCCTCTGCCACCAAACTTACCACGTAGGGGCCACGTCGGCTTAGCTGCGTGAACGCACTGGCACTTCTTCACAATAGCTTCTATTGTGCTGACTTAGACAAGGTGATAGTTGTCTGTAGTCAGATTCATCCTTCTTACATTTATTGTTTTTATAGAAAGAATTGTTTTTGCCGTTGGAGGATTTGCATGTAAATTTGGAAGGTATAGAGAAAGGTCCAACAGGGATCAAGGCAAACATCCAACAATACTGCAGGCTGTGTCTTTTGTCAATGTTCTAATGATTGTTTGCTTCATCTGCCTGGGAGTCTTGAGATAACCAATGGACATCATTTAAAATTATATCTGAGTTTACCAAGCAATTATGTAGAAGAAATACTGTCGGACACCGCTCCGAAATCCGGCGCTCTGGACATTCGTATCGCTCTTCTCGCCGGGCCGCAGAGACGGGATCCACTATACTCGTGAGAAGCACCTTTAATCAGTGGGCAGGGCATACTGAAGCCCCACGATATCGAATGACCGGCTATACCCCGAGCGGGGCTACATTGAGCCATTCCCAGCCTCGAGACGAGTACAGCATCTAATTAGACTAGCTACCCCTAGACGTCGCAACACCCGGGAAATATAGCCCAAATCCGACTGCATTCGTGCGGAGTATGCTCAGTCACATCACCTTTGGATTGCCAGCCAACTTGCTCCCTGCTGCAACTCCTCAAGATCTCTGCAACTAGGAAGGGACCTGCGGTTTCCAGATCAAATCACCGAACTCACCAGTGTTAACCATCACCATGGCCCATCGGTTAGCTTGAAACTCTCATTCCGAGGCAGTCCCACTGACACTCGCTGACAGGGAGACGTACGCTTCATACCCTGACCTCAAAGGTCAAATCGCTTTAGTACTAGGAGCAGGTCAATCCGGCGACCCCACATCAAAATTCTGGGGCAATGGAGCTGCAATCAGCAAAGTCCTTAGTACATCTGGTGCAACTGTTATCGCCTGTGATGTGAACCTAGAAGCAGCACGGTTGACAGCATCCCGAATCCAAGCCGACGGAGGAATCTGCGAGCCAGTCCAGGCAGACGCAACCAGCCTAGCTGATATCAAACGAGCTGTCAACCAAATCATCCAAAAGCACGACCGTATTGACATCCTCGTCAACAACGTCGGGGGTACAAAGACCGGAGACCCAGCCACCATGTCAGAAGAAGCATGGGATTCTCAGATCCGCTTTAATTTGAAGACCGTCTTCCTCGGCTGCAATGCCGTCCTGCCCATAATGGAAAAACAAGGATCTGGATCGATTATTAACAATGCCTCCATTGCCGGCATGAGATACCTGGGCAAACCCCAAGTCGCATACGCATCTGCCAAGGCGGCGGTTATCCATTTCTCGAGTATTACTGGGATTATGTACGCGGGTAAAGGTATTCGAGTGAATTCTGTCGCTCCTGGAATGGTGTATACGCCGCTGCTGGAGAAACTTGGGAATAGCGAATCGGCGGAGGAGCGTGAGATACACAAGAAAATCACCGATCATAATGTGCCTCAGGGTAGCATGGGTGATGCTTTTGATGTGGCTAACTGTGTGGCATTCTTGGCTAGTGGTGCTTCGCGTTACATCACCGGGCAGAATTTGGTTGTTGATGGTGGACTGATCGGGTCGACTGGGACTGGAGGCCAGCCTCAGAAGCGAGCGTCAAGACTGTAACCGAGATTCAATGATGAAGTTTTATGTTCCTGTTGTTTGTTTCAATTCTGACTGGCCAGTCATGACTTCTTCTGAATGGGTTGACCCCTGATCGATCCCTTTGTTGACAATGAACATCTGAAATTAAACGATGATGGATCATTGACAACATTCTCCAAGAATTCGGGTTTCACATGTGACCTGAATTCTTTTTGGCGTGTGTGGCTTTGCATCACGCTTTCAAAGGGATGGATGCATGGGTGTGGCCTTGTTTTGCCCGTATGTACTAGTCTTGGCAAGGTGGCGAAAACATCCTGACGCAATTTGGCCAAGCTAGGTATTCGCGAGGGTAAATCAGTCACCACTGAGAGCTTTAGTAGATATCATTGCACAAGCGCTACGCCTTTTTTGCAAGTCGCGACGTCATAAACAATGCAACTGCCCAGGTGTAGTTGCTTGAAAATCGTAACTATCCAGGGTATCGCGATAATATAAAAGCCCTTAAGATTTCACTCTTCATTCCCCTTCATCAACAAACCATCTTTCATCTCCATCAACCTATTCTAAAGCTTAAACTCTACTTTCCATCATGGGCATCATACACAAGGTTGAAGAAGCCCTAACGGGCCACAAGCAAGAGTCGACCCACTCTACCAACCATGGACCCCACGACTCCAACATCGTCAACAAGCTTGACCCAATGGTCGATAGTGATAGGGGTATGCATTTCAAATTCACATATTGAATCAAGCTCAGTCCCTCTAACTGGCTAGACAACCGTGTTCGCCACGAGGCCATGGGCGGTGCCGCCGGCCCGCATAGTTCAGGGATCGCCAACAAGGTTGACCCCCGAGTGGACAGTGACAGAGGTATGTCTTCCCAACCTCGATCAATAAAATCCATATAAGCTGATTTCCAAAAGATAACCGCGCACACAATACCTTCAGTGCAGGCCAGGTGCCTGGCCGGGTGCCCATCACGCAGCCCGCTAACACCACTGCCCATGCGGATCGTCGATTCGACACCCTTGAGAGCACACATGCTCCTCACCACAACCCCGGAACCTCTTCTACCAACGCAGGCCCACACAGCTCAAACCTAGCCAATAAGCTGGATCCCCGCGTCGATTCTGATATGGATAATCGGGCTCGACACGAAACTATTGCGGCTAGCAACTACAATAAGCCCCACACTGGAGCTACTGTGGGACCACATACGACCGACACGGCTAACAAGCTCGATCCGCGTGTGGATTCTGATTTGGATAATCGGGCTCAACATAATATTCTTGGGGGAAGCAGTTACAATAAGCCTCACGCCGGAGCTACTGTGGGACCACATGCGTCCGATATGGCTAACAAGCTCGATCCTCGCGTGGATTCTGACCTTGATAGCCGCAAGGTCGGTACCCAGCGTGGCTATATTGGCTAAGTTGAGGACTTAAGAATTACATCGACATAAGGAAATTGGCGATTGAGAATTCTTCTTTGAAGAATGGCTTTGCAGTGAATTCGAACTGGGAATGTATGATAAAGGAGTTTTTCAATGAACCTTTACTTCTGCTTAGATGTTCGATCGGTATAATCCTTTGATCTGTGGAAGGATTAAGACCTTATCCTAGGTGATGAGTCTCAAGAGGGAAGCGTGGTCTATGTAGAAACATTCTGTAGAAAAATTGGAAGGATTTTTTAAAAAAAATCGAAAATTTACTTATAGGCCTCGGAAAAGATGGAGCATAGCTTCTCTTAGCACATACGTATCGAAGTGAAATGTGAGACATCTCTGCTACATTGATATCCACTCAGCCCTCTCATAATAACATCAGGAAGGTTAATAAGTACGGTATTCTGCGTCGAAAGCACGGAAGCGGGGGATTTATATATCGACGGGCCGTTGGTTTCGTCAGCCATGACAGCAGGAACGATGCGCATGAGCTTGTTCATATAGGGGTAATCACGTAAAGCTCCTAGAAAGCGTAGAGCTTCATTATGGAGTTAGTGATATTGTTTGGCACTGCTTTTGCATCGTTCAATGTTGACTTCCACGCGCCTTCTGTCGTGAGCATGGATGGACATAGACGAGACTGCTCCTGATCAAGCTTGGGGAAGTAAGTGGGCTCAATAGGCTCAGAGACGGTGCTTGCCAAAATAACCCAGTATTTGTTACCGATGTTGCTCAGAGAGGTCAAAGCTAGATTCTACCAAATCTTTCCAGCCTGAAAGACTTTTTAGGGTAGGCACAAGGCTCTTGATCATCTCGTATGATGCCTCCAGTTTGTCAACGAGCGACTGAGACAGCAGCAATGCATCCATGGATAAAGTTGACATCTTGTAGCTTCGTACAGGATTTTAAGAACGACAATGGAGGAGGTAGAATCGAAATGAAGATAAATGGAAGAGATGGAAATCTATGCGACGAGTATCTATCGAGCAGCAGAAAAGAGCCCAGGGGAGGTAGATACTGTAGACCGTAGAAATCGGATACTACAATCTCATGCCCTCAGAACCATTAAGCCATGAAGTACTTCACATATTTCAATAGACCCCGGGTGTATAATCAATGACCTGTGCCTTTTCAATCACGCCACCCAGACTTTGAATGAATGCTAAATGGGCCGGGTCCTTGTGGGTATAGTAATCCCGGTCTCCGGCGCTGGCGAATTCAACAACAAAAGCATGAGTAATGCCATTCTAAGATTTAATTCCATTAGCAACTTATCAGAGGTAAAGTAGTCGAATGTTAGCGCGGGTGAATGACTCTACCTACCTGGATACCTTCAGGCGAGTTATCGGCACCGCCGGATGATGTCGTGATGTATGGCTTTTGGGACGTCGGATGCAGACAGTTACCCTTCAAGGCAAGCATACGATCACATGTCTTTTGAAGTATCTTGTTAGTTCTCAATGCATGGAGACATACTCAAAGTTGAATATCATACGTCTTTGATAACTTCAGGCTCAATGCCGGCTTTGAACTGGAAGAGAACAATATGCGTGATCGACATGACTTCGGGTGCTTTACTAGATCAATATGGAAAGAGAACCTCGAGATCGATAACGGAAAATAAGATTTGAAACAAGGACTGTTGACAAGACTCCTGAGGTTGGAAGAGCTTCGGAAGGGCGCGGTCCGAAGCTCGGTGAATGACAAATGGAAGTCCACGTGATCTTCTTTCAAATCAACTGCCATATAGTTATGGATAAGCTATAGTTAGTTAGAGTCAACTCATGGGATTACATAACATTTCATCGCGGTCACCGGGCCAAAGAGCCTGTATCAACTCCCATACATCCAGTGTCTGCCCGATCACATTTGTCTCAAGCCTAGAGCCTGCCTGCTCGATAGCATCCAGGATCTCCTTACAGACGGGGTAGAGAATATCGTACTTGTTGGGACATGGGAAGCACTTATCATTATCAGTGGTGGGATTACCTCCAGTACCGATATGCCATCTGGGCCCGGGAATAACCTCAAGGTCAGCGCCCTCGCTCCACCACGCCCCACCAAATAAATGCGAACCCTGGAACCCCCGCTTGGCGCGTTTTTCTAAAAGTGCGAAAGTAGTATTCATTGAATTAAGATCAAAAAAAGCAAAGAGAAATTTCACTCCCAGGTGGGCGAGATCAAGAGACTATAAAAATCTGATGGTATTTTCTTCCCACCCCCGAAGAAATTGAAACAAGACGCTCACTTGAATGCAGCAATTGGATTCCCAACCACGCCACTCACACCGCGAGAGACCATAATTCCCCTGGAGGTCAACGTTGATATACTTGAGGAAGGCGTCACTCGGACCTACTGTACTTCCCTGATTGCTGATTCCACCCGCTCACCGGCTGTCACCCTAGAAGTGGGTCCTCGTCCTCGTCCACCTTGGAAGGCTTGTACCTGATGTACCGGACAAGTTACCTGCAAGATCGCTGGCATCTTGCAATATCAATCGCCGAGCCAGCCTGAACATGAGTTCCCTGTATTGAATGGATCGCCGCATAACGCCGAGGTCTGTGCCAGAGCGGATTAATATCCGATCCAACCCAGGTGCCTCAATGCTCCAACTTCGTCCTCTTTCCTCATTCTCTGCGACTTTGCAACACAGTCATCCAGCACCATGGCTGGCGATCATCTGACAAGCGACCCCATCACTGTTGACCAGGTCGAAGCGATTGCTCGAAACAAGCTTCCAGTCAATGTTTACAACTATTACTCCTGCGGCTCGGATGAGCAGACTGCAGTGGAAAGAAACCGAAAGGATTACGACGGGTACGTCGGTTGACTTGGCCATTGCAGTAACAATGTATCTTATGAACTGGCAGTCTCCTCATCCTACCTCGTGTTCTCCGAGATGTATCACGGATCGACACTTCCGCTCAGCTATTCGGTCATCGTTTCCCGTTTCCCGTCGGAATAGCACCTAGTGCGATGCAAAGATTGGCCAGCCCAGAGGGTGAACTTGATGTGGCACGTGCGGCAGGCTCGATGGGTCTCAATCTAACCTTGTCTTCAAATTCGACTACGTCCCTAGAGGATGTCATGGTTGCTCGGCGCCAAGTTGGGGAGACTGCCGCGCCATTCTGGTTCCAGATCTATCTTGCTTCAGATCTCAATCTTAGCGTGCCAATCATAAAGAGGGCAGAGGGTGAGTCCTATTATGATCCTATGTTATGCTAAGAAAAAAAGCTAATGCATGCGTAGCCGCTGGTTTTGAAGCACTGGTATTGACAGTGGATACGCCGGTCCTCGGGAACCGGATTAATGAGCGGCGAACCCCATTGGTCCTTCCTGAAGGCATCCATCTGGCCAATCTCAAGCATCAAGATACCCAGGGGCCACGAAAGCCATCATTCAATCGGGAGATCATGGATGCACGCTCCGCCAAACAAGCGAGTGATCTCATGCAAACAGCCGGGGACACGGCAAACAGCGCTTCTTTGACTTGGAGCTCAACTATGAAATTCTTACGACAGACAACGAACATGAAAATCATATTGAAAGGTGTGATGGCTCCCGAAGATGCGCAACTCGCCGTCGAATGCGGTGCTGATGCTATTGTCGTGTCAAATCACGGCGGCCGTCAACTCGACTGCGTCCCTTCCACCATCCAAGCGCTCCCTGGGGTTACAGAAGTTGTTAAAGGAAAAATACCAATTATTTTTGATGGAGGGATTCGTCGGGGGAGTGATGTCTTCAAGGCATTAGCACTTGGAGCAGACTTCGTGTTAGTCGGGCGACCGGCTCTGTGGGGACTCGCCTTCAACGGCCAAGAAGGCGTGGAGACTGTTATGAATATCCTCGAACGAGAACTCAGCCGTACCATGGCGCTAGCCGGTGTTGCACAATTGCGAGATATATGTACTTCTTTCCTACGTTATGCCGAAGGCGGGCGTCTGAGCAAAATTTGAACCTCGAATTCATCTGCAATATTCTCATGAACATGCTTCGGGTGAGCACCGGTCTGCTTTTAGTAAGATAACATAGCAAGGTACCTAAAACACACTCCTCTCAAAAAAAGATCTGGTCTACTGTCTGTGGTCTATCCTGACCAGGAGAAGGTGCACCATTTATCATCTACAAGACAGATGTCTATGTTTCTTGTAAATCATTTGTGAGGCATATTGTATTGCAAGGTAACTCTGAGGCTGATAGATCAAATATCTTCTTCTATCCCCTCATCATCCTCTTCGCCGGGCAGATCTTCTCTTCCATCCTGCCAACTCGAGCAACTGCAACAGCGTCTCGCCTGCTTTTGGTTAAATCCATTAAGACATTAAGACTGAAAGCATCTTACCTGTTCGCTGATGAACTTCCTGCAGTATCTGCACCTGACAGTCGGCTTGATGATCTTATTATGAGAAATAAACATGTACGCATGCGCGACCGCAAACAAAGTGAGGCTGACACCGAGGAAGTTAAGAATATTCTCAATGAACAATCTAGAACCAACGTTAGGAGATTTAAAAGGTTCATCAGTCTCCCAAAAAAAGCCATAAGTGAACGAACCCGTAAGCCAGAACCAACGCGCCATCGTCTCTAGCCTGCTTAATAGTGTTGTACCCGTCCTCCCTGACATAGTTCGGTCCACTCGACAAAACAGCAAACTTCTGATCCATATTGCGATTCAAGAATGGCAACAGGGAGACAACCGGCAAAGCGACATCCGACACGAACGAAGTAACGACTTTCGTAAACGCATTTGCGATACTAGAGCGCTTCCTATCAGTTTTCCTATTCCATTACGAACGCGGCGCATTCCACTCACATCAAACCAAGCGCGACTTCAAGAACGTTATCTCTCGCTGCAAAATTAACAAACGCGTCCCATCCATGCTTCACCTGGTCGCCGGCCGTCTGGCTCACGCGTCTAAGAACGACACTGCTCTCATCGAGTCCTCGCATGGCAAAGTGGTTCGTGTAACACTCTGGACCCTTGAAAATCCGAGATTCTCTTAAATCCCCACGATTATGGTTCACTGGGTTTCCAGCGTCATTGCGCATATTTAGCAGTCATGTGGCTGGGAAGCGTGGGGCTATGATCTCGCTTGGCATGAGGGGCCTGTCCAGGACGAGTTTTGATTGGGGCTGCGGGATGGCATCTCCATGATCGGCGATGCTCGTGTTTGGGATCTGCTAGGCAAATGACTCCTTCTCTGCCAATGATGCTGGAGGCTCTGCCGCGATTCGCTAGTCTTATCTTTCCTTGCCCATCTTCACGGTTTACAGAAACATGGGGGTTGGATCCATTTTTGACGTTGATTTGGTCGAGGAAACAAGATACAATTGACAGTTAGATCGCATGAACATAGCCTAGGTCATTTGAAGCTGGTACAAATGACTCAGGCGAGAGTGGAGTCGGATCGCTGCTAGCAGCTCTTCACGGAGATTGAGTTACCCTTTACCGCTCATTGACTTTTCAATAGAGAACCTCTCTCAACACGATATAGTCAATGCAGCTCAGAGGAATACTGCGGGCCATTGCAATACGAAGAACGGTCAACCCAATGTATTGCACTCGCCGTGCCGCGGAAGTCAAAGACTGAGGCCTTCGCAGGACCATTATTCACGACAGAGCTATTGAATACAAACCAACGGTCAAAGGTAAATCTACTTAATCATTTTGCATCATAGATCTTATACCGAGTGGCAATCATCCAATTGCTATTAAGTTCCATACTCCCGACAACCCAGCCCGCAGCTGAGAATATACGAGATTTGGACTCAAGTTTTTCACTTTATGAATATCAGAAGGCTGGCCTGTAACCGATCGAAGTGTTGATGCATTGATTGTGCAGGGTAGCCCAATTCTCAGCGGTAGTCCAAATCTTCCCTAATTGTTCGTCTTGAACTATTCCCACCCATCCAATATGCCAGTTTCGTCTAAAGCTCCCGAATCTCGTGTAATTGAGGCCTGCGAAGCCGCCCGTGCAGATGGTATCTATATTATTAAGAAGATTGTCAATAAGTAGATAAAGCTACTAGAGCTCTCGGCGCCTAACCTTCATTCATACAGAGAAAAAAACAGTCACCGCCGCTAACCACACTCTCATCTTTAAGCGTCGAGAATACGCTTCCAAGATGTATTCAAGCACTCGAGTGGAACTACAAGAAGCTATCGAAGATACAAAACCTCACCTCGAAGCAGCGGTGGAACCTACTACGAGATGCCAATCAATCAATTGCGAACAGGAAGGCAAATGAGGGTATTCAGGATAAGAAGCGGCTAGCTAAACTACATGAGAAAGTGTACGGCAAACCGCCACCGAAACAGCCTACGCGGAAGAATGAGGCATCAATTGAAGCAGTGAGGGCTGCAGAAGAAGCTCATGAGCTTTTGACATTAATTCGCATCCGATGTGTTGATTAATAGTGTGAATAGCATCAAATTTGGGCTACCGCTGAGAATTGGGTTACCGCTGGGGCGCACCCTTACCGCCAGGTGGGGACAGAACCACCTAGAACAGAAAGGGCTGGAAGTATGGAAATGCGCCTAATTGAACTATAGATTGCTGATATGTAAGGCTGCCATTATCGGAATATTAAGAGAGTGTATAGAGGTATTGATCTCCCTGGTCTAGAAGATTCTAGGAAGCCACCACGAGGCTCGAAGAACTAGGAAAAAAAATCATGTAACACCTCCCACACCCGAAGCAATCAGCTGAACGTCGAGCTGAGCCTCGTGCACTTTTGAATATGCCACAATCTGGGATCGCCCAAGATCAATTCAAGAGTCGATGTCTACATGGTCCAACCCAGGACCTGAGAAGTTATTGCGGAGATGCCAAAGAGAAAACAAGCTCCGCACACATTGAGGTCGATAGAGCATAGGTATCAATGCAAGGACCGCAAGTAAAGAATAAGATATCATTTTGAATCATTAGAGATACACTATGCTGCATGATCAATTCCCTGGTGGCGGGGAATATGTCATCGGCCCAGGGGCCGTATATGGGGAAAGGAGGGTCGCGCCTCGCTCAAGCGTTGCCCGGCCCCGCTGCTCTTCTCGCTTCTGAATCTCTTTCTCGTCTTGAATCAAGATGCAGCATGTGCAACAAGTAGCTCGGACACAGTCCGATGCGATATCACCTTTGATTCCATATGCCTTTCTTGTTCTGGTGTGCTGGATAGTAGCCAATAGCCCTATCGCAAAGGTCATTATACGTAAATCACTTCCTCACGGCGCGGGATTGAACCTACATTGGCACCCACAAAGCAGAGCCATTCCCGTGCAAGATCCATTGCAAGTCTCATGGCCTAGCATATTGGTTGGATCTCCCTTTTTCGATTTCATTGACAGTCGGTATTGCGTCTTGCCGTATAGAATGCATGGGCAGATTAGCCCCAGACAACACGTTCCGATATTGGAACACTCGCAGAGACCATGGCTCCAGGTTCCACCCTGTACCTCTTGGTTTGGGTGCATTATCTGTCCTGGTTGGTGGTATGAGCTCAAGTCCTCGACTGTCGGCGCTCGCGACGCTGGGGCGGCGGCGGGGGGTGGGAAGTATGGTATTCTCGGCGACTGGAGTGGGTTCGCATCGGGTGCTATAGAAAATGTGTCATTTCTATTGGGAGCTTCCGGGTTGGTCTTCGATGGTAATGGCCCTGGTGAAGATGGGAGGGCGCTGTTGTGATTGTATGAGTATAGCGGCGAGTGGACCGATTGAGGCTCCGGGGCTGTTTGGACATTGGGTTCGACATAAGGTGCGTAATGAGCAGGATGCTGATCCGGCGGCGGATATTTGGAGTACGTCGGGATAATACCCTCCTCTTGTAGATGTCGTTCTTTCTCATTTGAAGAAAAGTGACGAACCGTTTGCTCTGGCTGTTGGCTTGTATGCTCTATCGCTGGTTGTATCGTCGGCTGCTGGGCTGGGCTCGACATTGAGGGCGCCGGCGAAGAGTAATTTGGCTCGGGAAACTGCGCAGCAGAGTGCATTTCCACAGGAGTTTCCATGAATGAGTATCGTCTGTCATGTCCCACTTGAGTGTCCAAATGCAATTGGCGACTCATTATGATGCCGGTGGTGCGATACGCTCCTCTCTATGCTCTTCGATTAAGCCTTGGAAGATCGATAGGTGCGGAAGATACGCCAAAAGGCTATATGGTGTCCAATCCAGTTCAAATTTCTGGGTGGGAAAGAAAATAGGTGGCTAGGGAGATTGACACTGTGACAGCTGCATCGCAAGAGCTCACCCCTGGAGACTAACGTGTGTGGCACACGCTCGGTTAACAGATCATCCGTCGGACCGCCGGTAGGCAACACGCGACAGAAATTTTGACAGCATAAAAGGGAACAAGTCCGGCTCCATGAGAAGTGTTTAGTGGAAGGCCCGTGTGATGGAAATGGGGAGGATAAACGCCAAGGTGGCGATGCAAATTGGCTGAAGGGAGCTAAGTCAGAGGTACGCGGGGAATGGACCATGTGAGTGGCTTGAAAGCTCGAGGTTCGTTATGAACCCAGTCGTTCAGCGTGGTCCTGACACCCTAATGCATCTACTTCACATGGCTGTTCGTTCTGGTTGGGCTGGAACCCGCCCGGATCCTCCCGTTGGGCGCCGAGGGCCGTTCTTATCACACGTTAGTTAAGCGCGCTAAGGAGCGTTATCACTCATAGCCTGTGACTGCTGGGGACTTGTTGCAGGGCTTGGTGTGGTGATTACGTAGGTGTTAGAGGGTGGTCCCACTGGTGCCATCTCTGTTCGACCTAAGATAAACGGGTTCGATGAAGCCATCGTTGTAAAGTCGTTGCACCTATGTTTCATTTAGATTTTCTTCTCATCTGTTGTTTCTCCTTTATAGAGTCGAGACTAGCATGAAATGAGCACTGGATTTTGTATTGGAACCAAATCGGTTTTTCTCTTTCCGTACAGTGTCTTGGTTCCTGATATGGACAATCGCAGCGGACCCCTGCTCGCAACCTATCCTCCCTTCAAGGGGATTCATTTGCACGAGCAGGTGCATAGGAAGACACAGTGTCCTCTATGACTGGCTGTCAGATCTGGAAGAAGGTATCATCAGATTTATACCAGGTTAATACCCCGATACCTCATTCATTTGGGAAACCTTGGGAATCGAGACGTCAAGGAGCCGGAGAAGGAAGGGTCTTGATTCTTTCTTCCATTTTTCGCTTTACTACTTTTTCTTACCCATCGTTCAACGGATTGTCCAAATGGCTCAATTTTGAGAAGTGTGTCATCAACACCCCTCTCATAACATACATAGGGCGCATAATCGTCCAACATTCTCTTGGAGTATATTTTGATACTCGTCACGCGCTTTTGGCGCCCAGGGATCCAACCGGTGTCTTAGGTATGACAACTACGTACCCTCGCAGCTTCATTGCGGTTGCCTGGAGAATTCCCGTGGCACTCTTCGAGCTTTGTGTCAGAGGCCAAGATCCGGATGATTGATCAGGCCCGACCGCCGGGTCTCTAAGATCACAATTACTAGTGAGGTGGCGTTTACTATTGCAAGCGGTGTCGATCATGCAAAATATGAGTAGGGAAATAAGCAGTTGATAGCAAACGGTCCTGAAACGTATGGCGCAGTAGCTTACATGAACCATGTCGAAGATCAATGTCCCAGGAAGAGTCGAGAATGTTTCTAGGGGCAATTGTCGCCCCAATCGCCGACAGAGACACCTATGACCGAGCTTGGTTGGGCCACGCCACCTCCGGCAGCCATGGTGATTGGCAGAGAAGTGAAGAAAGTGTGTTCCAAAAGACCGCCTGATCGACCCGAGAACCTTGTTGTCTTGCCACAGCTGTCTCTTGGTGACTGATGATTGTGAACACCCTGCATTCCGAGATCTCCGGTTCCTGGATTGACATTAGCTGGGTGTTAGAGTCTATACTCAAAACTTGAGTTCCCAATCTTCCAGGGGACCTGCAAGGAGAGTCAGGTGCTAGACCATCTGCAGGGATCCACTAGCAAGGTCTGCAGGATCTAGCATGAACCGATAAGTTGAAGGTATTCATTCAGATACAGGCAGGCAGACAGACAGACAGGCCGACAGGCAGACATATAGCTGAATGGTGGAGTACCCATTGTGAAGTGAGAATCGATATTGGAAGAGGGAACCTGAGAGAAGGCTAGAAGGTTGGAAGGTTGGAAGGTTGGAAGGCTACCCGGTGACTTTACTCAACTTTCCCACTTCGACTCTTTCTACTCCCGTCCACTCCACCTTGATCGAGAGATCGGACAGATCCACTCAACCAGGCGGTGACGATTCCCAGTCGTGTTACCATCTCGGGCCCGACTTTTGAGTTCTATCCTTTATCTTTCTCCTTTCCTGATCCCGGTTCTCCGACAGATTTGCGGTCTGTTCTCTCTGCCTGTAAGATTCCTCCTTCGCCCAACGTGCCCCCAATATACCATTCCTTCCCCCCTGTCATCTCTTCCCACTAACTCGCCTCAGTTCAGATTCGTGACCCCAGCCTCTCATCTGGCTCGTCCACGTCTTTCCCGCCCTTTTATCCCTCATATCGAACCAGTCCCCCCCGCCTCGTTCCCGCTTCCATACCATTCCGATCCGGGTAACTCTGACCAATGTCCACTCCATGTCAAACCCGCCGCACGATCCCGAAGACTCTCGACATGACCCCCTGGTGACACCTGCTACGCCCGTCCAACATGATTGCTCCAGGGAGGCTGAGCTCGCCCAGAGCAACCCACGTCACCACTTTTCCAAGGACTCTCACCTGTCCCAGGGGGCTCAAGAGGCGCCTTCCCCATCGCGGGCAGAATCCCCAACGGTCCGTCAATGGTCGCAGCCCGCATCTACTTTCGCCCTAAAAAGGACTGCATCAACTCCCTTGGAGAAATTATCCCGCCCGGACTCCTTCCACAGCCCACAATTGTCCGAGAGAGACAGCATCTTCGCAACACACTATCTCCCTTCGGACAGCGGCGCAAATACCCCACAATTGCCCCCCGAAAGGGCTTCGGATCATGAACGTCCGGTGAATGCCATCCCGGGCCTAGATGATATACATGGGTCCCCAAGTCCTATTTCCAAGGTCACCCCCCACCGCCCTCACGTCGACCCTTCCCCCATGGAAGTTGACGTCCGCAGACATCTCCCCTTGCGCTCGTCGCCTCTGTTTTCTCACACCGATGCCCCCCGCTCGTCTCTACTGCGCTCATCCATTTCTTCTTCGGACCAGCTGAAAGATCAGGAGGGGGGAGTCAATTGCTCGGTTTGTGCACTCTGTGCCTTTGGATGAAACAGGTACGAACATTGGTAACCCGCAAGACACTTTGGCTGAACGCAGTCTTCTCCCGTCTTTGCTAGACGATGCGTCCCGCTACCCCCAGTCCTTATCACCGTTGACATCCGGCCAGGACTGGCCTATGGTCAGTCCGGAGACCGTACCTCATACCGTTCCTCATAGTTCCTTTGCCGAATCATCTCGGGGTATTCAACTCGAGGGCGGCTCAACCAGAGGTCGCCGTGGGCGAGTGGACAGCTCAATCGAGGCAAATCTTACCAACGCGGAGCCTGCATCCAACGTGCGCAGCCGCAAATCTAGCCATTACCTCGGTCTATTCAAAGAAAACACATCCCCCGACCGCAAGCGATGGGAAGACCGTGCTAGACAGCAAGATGAGCCACTTGATATGAGGGATCACACCATGGAGCTGGAAACCCCGAAACTTAATGCCCTAGCAGAGGATGATGCGATACTCCGGAAAAGCATTTCTCTCCCCTTATTGGGCGACAGTCAGTCGCTCGAGTCACCATCTACTAACAAGTCCCAACAAGTGGACCAGGAAGATGGCTATCAGCGGCGTCCACAAGCGCTGCCACGCGGTCTCCTCGAGGAAATCCGGAACTTTCATCTTACCCCGGGTGGTAGCCACGGATCCTCCTTTTCCAAAAGCATCCCGACCCAATATTCGGAACTGAGTCGCGACTATTTCCAAAGAGAATCCCATGTCGAACGTTTCCCCAATTCGCTTAGTTCCTTCGAGGAAGGAGAGCGTCGAGAATCCGGTCAATTTGAAGATGAAGAGGAGAACGAACAAATCTCCTCTGCTGTTTATTTCCCTCACAAGCGCACAGTACCCGAAGGGCTTGATGTTTCAGATCAATTACTAGCAGATTCGGATAGTGTGCAAACACTTCAACTGTCCGCTGCAGAGAAAGGCCGTGAGCTGATGCTAGTGCCCCAAGAGCGTAGAGAGCCCCCGGAGCAAGAAGTCGGCCATGTGGATATTTCTTTTCGATCTAAAACTGAAAATAAGATCTTCTCCGGTGAGCTTGCGGAACTTCGTTCTCCGGCAGAAAGCCTGCCAGAGAAGTCTCTGAGCACGGTTTCTGAATACAATTATGATTCCACTGGCGAGTCCGAAATCGTATCCGCGGACGAAAGCTCTCAATCCATGCATGATGAATCCAGCCTCACCGACGATCTTGAGGTAACACCGACTGCTACCCCCACGCAACGAAATCGATTCCCTGTTAGACGAAAGTCGAAACCCACAGCGCCCCTCGGGGCTGTGGAATTGAAGCCGTACAGGCATCAAGTCGGTGGTCATACCACTGTTTTCCGTTTCTCGCGACGGGCAGTTTGCAAGCAGCTCAACAATCGGGAAAATGAATTTTACGAGCGAATTGAAAGAAGGCATCCTGATATGCTCTTGTTCCTTCCGAGGTATGTTTGGACCGATGCTAGTACCGCAACTCAGCCTCCTGTCATCAATGCGTGTTTATATTCGTTCACGAACTGACTTACAACAGATATATCGGTGTTTTGAATGTGACTTTCTCGAAAACATCCAAACGCCCCAAGGCTAGTACCGAGCATGCAAACCAGACTAATGGGTTTTCTGCAAAGAATTCTCAACAATTGGAGGCTCCGGAGCCACAAAGAATTGTTAGCCAGTCACAAGTCACCGGGGTCATTCCCAAAGTCATTCTTGAGAACAATCGTCATATCATCCCGGCCGACCTTTTCACTCGTCCTCAACGACCTCGACTTGGGGATGGCGGTCTGATGGACCGACCACACTCCGCCGATGGTCTTGATAATGTCGCAGGGGACTCTGATTCATCCAGGAAACAGACCAAGATCTGGGGTGCGACCACAGTGAACAGAAAGCTCCAGGAACAAGTTCTGCGGGAAGTGTTCAGTCCGCCTGCCATTCATCATCATCGGCGACAGGCGCGGGGCCCGCTTCATCTGCCGAGAGCGTCCTCCGACATGCCTCATCGGCTTGGGAACCTGTCAAAAGACCACACAGCCAATAGTCGTCCTTCCACATTGGGAAAGGTTGAGACTTTGAGAAATCCCGTGAAGGAAATTGCGCGGTCCAATCCCGATCCGGGTCCAACACTTTCATCGTCAGCATCCACTGCGTTCGAAGACAATCGCAACCGCCTCGAGAAAACGCAGACCGAAGATCAATCAAATCGCGCAACATCTCTCCATCGCGGCCAGACAAGGCGGCGGCATTCCGGCGGTGGTCTTCAACGACGTGGAAGTTTGAATTCTCGTAATGAGGGTGAGCTTTTGTTTTTTGACGACGAAGGTTATGGTGGAGATCGAGAGGACGAAATTTTCTCCATGGAAGGTGATGCACCTATTCCTGAAATCACTACCTCTAAGGTTAAGTCTTCGTCCTCCATTTCCACGGCTTCGGAAAGCGCCTATGGCACCGAGACCGAAGCCCCCAACAAACTTTTGGACGCCTCTCGTGCACGAGCGAATGTCGACACTGGTCCTGAGTTGCCAAGTAATCCCAAAGAGGCGCAAATGCGAAAGGATGACCGAGTTCAGTTTTTCCTTCTCCTGGAAGATCTCACAGCTGGCATGAACAAGCCATGCGTCCTCGATCTCAAGATGGGCACTCGTCAATACGGTATTGAGGCGAACGAGAAGAAGAAGAAATCTCAGAGGCGAAAGTGCCAGTCGACCACTTCCCGGCAATTGGGAGTTCGCCTCTGTGGTATGCAGGCTTGGAATGTCAAGAAGCAAGAGTACATCTTCGAAGATAAGTACTTTGGACGAGACTTGAAATCGGGCCGCGAATTCCAGGATGCTCTCATTCGCTTCCTTTACGATGGCGTTAGCTACACCAGCGTGGCTAAGAAGATCCCCATCATCCTGGAAAAGATCTCGCTGCTGGAAAATATGATCCGCAAGTTGGATCGATACCGTCTGTATGCTAGTAGCCTCTTGATTCTGTATGATGGAGAGCAAGCAACTCCTCCGCCAACACCTAGTCGCCCTAGTGGTGAACGACCCAGTCCGCGGCGACGAGCCTCTGAAGATGGACACAACAGCATCGATGTTCAATTGAAAATAGTCGACTTCGCCAACTGCGTGACTGGCGAGGACGAATTACCTCCGAACACACCTTGCCCACCTCAGCACCCGCAAGACATTGATCGCGGATATCTCCGTGGCCTCCGCACTCTGCGTATGTACTTCCAACGCATTATGCGTGAAACCGCCCAAGACGAGTTCATCGAGCGTGGCGAAGGCGAGGCTATCGCTCTAGGCTCCCAACCTGCCGTTCGCGAGTCCCCGTCAGACCAGTACTGGGATGAGAGCGTGATGGACAGTGACGCAGGTGAAGTCAGTTTCTGAGGTACTCCGTTTAACTTCCACTTTTCTTTTCTTTTTCTCCTTTTTTCTCTTTTTTTTTCCTTTTCTTTTTCCTTCTTCTCTTCCGACTTGATTCCCAACATCATGGCGTTCGGGGATAGACGATTCTTCACCGGAGTTTATCCTACCATTATGCGCCTTGATTTGTTTTCGCCCCGAGCTTCCCATGGGAAGTACGACTTACGATCTCCACACGGATGCTTTAATGACCCTTCCAATGGCTGGATGCATTTAGAGCCCGGTTGGTTTTGTGCTTCTCATCTCGTTGCCCTTTTTCACTTTGATGACGTGTATGAATTTAGCAGCCCTTGATTCCCCGTCCACTTTTTTTCACTCGTGTCTTCCTTTCGAGGTCTTGTTTTATTGATAATACCCCTTCAATCGGGATACCTGGGCTTCCAAGCCCGTTTTCACTTGGGCTGAAGCCCTTGTATTTTGTACATGATTAGACAAAATTTTACTTCCATTCTAACTGGCCATCCCATTCGTACTTAACTTCATCGTTTATAGTCTGGTCAAGAATAAAATCTAAACAAGCGAGCAGCTTTGCCTTGTTTTTCCCTGTGTATTCAAGGACACTTTGCATGTCAATAGTAGAAAGCAATACAAATCTTCAGAAAGAGGTTAGGAAGGACTGACATAACTAGGCTCCCTTATATTATCTATCACCCTGGTCGCGCTCCAACCTCGGCCGACGTCACGTGCTAGTCGATAAGCTCAAGCCCAGCTTCTCTCGTGTTATCGCAGGTGAGCTTTGCAACTCCCTTCGTCCTTCAAAAGTCATTGCGAATAGCTCACAATCTCAGAAGGAGCTTGTGTTGAAACGCAATGACGTATGGTGGAGACGCGACAGCACAACAACTGATCCACCCAGCTGACACGGGGTGCCAACCATTTCCATCCCCGCAAGGACCTCGACATACCAGCGGGGCTGGACGGAACAGACCTAGCCAAAGCACTTAACACCTCTCGAACCCCACCGACCTTGCCTTTCTACAACCATCTTTCGAACTGACGTTCCAGACTCGGGTCTACTCGCCCGGCGAGCACGATGACGAGCTCCCACGGCCATTCGGACCCGCCGATCGACAAGCGCGACTTTGATGCGCATCGACCACTACTTCATGCTAGAGTTTCGGAGGGACATACTGGGCACTTGACGCCGTACCCGCAGTCAGTGCCGGAATCGGTTTCGGGAGCTAGCTCTGGCGGCAACAGCGATGATGGACTGCTAAACGATGTGGTGGACGGTATTGTTGAGCGTGATCGGCAGAAGATACACAAGGAGGTGGTCCGGGTGGTGAGCTTTGCCTGGGGTGTGGTCACTTGGTAATGTCGTACTTTCTCACCTCTGGGTGTCTGAAGCTAACGTCGGTTCGTAGTCTTGGTGCTGGTAGCATCACTGCGTTCTCCTTGTACGGGCACCTGCTGCTTACTCGGCTTCGCTACTCTCAATTACAAGTAAATGCAGTGTCCATTGCTGCCGAAATAGCGATGTATCTCCTGGTGCCGTTGTTCGGGTACTTGTGCGATCGATACAGCCCCTCGCCATTGTCTCTAGGCTCGGCGATATTGTTCGGCGTGGGATATATGCTCGCTGCGTTCACATACAAGAGTGGTCCACCCACAGACGTCGGCGGTACCGGATGGCCATTTTGGGTGATGATTGTGGCCTTTATCTTGGTGGGCATGGGAACAAGCTGCATGTATTTGTCTGCCGTGGCGACGTGCGCCAAGAACTATGGCCGGGGCAAGCACAAGGGCATAATGCTCGCCATACCTATTGCAGCATTCGGTCTGAGTGGCATGTGGCAGAGTCAGTTGGGAACGTACGTGCTGTGTGAGTGGAATCCCGATGGTAGTCGAGGTGATGTGGATGTATTTAAATACTTCCTCTTCCTGGCATTGCTACTGCTAGTCATTGGAATTATCGGTACATTTGCACTGCGCATTGTGGATGACGAGGAAGAAAAATTCATTGATGAGACAGTTGAAGAGCTGGAGCGCAGTGGATTGCTCGAGGAGAGCGAATTCTTCCGTCCACGCAATGAGATCACAACTGTGATGGAATATGGTACTTTTGGTTCCGACGACGATGAAGAGTCACCTACTCTTTCGGACGAGGAACGCGAACAGCGAAGACTGGAGAAGGACCGCCAGGAAGAGGAGCGCCAGAAGAAGAACTGGCTGCTCAACTATGAAACGCGAGTCTTTCTCCAGGATCCCACGATGTGGTGGCTGGCTGCGGGCTTCTTCTTGGTTACTGGACCAGGAGAGTCCTACATCAATAATGTATGTCTTTTCATCTTGTTTCCTATGTTTCTGATATCTAACCTCAAGCAGCTCGGCACCATTATCCCAACTCTCACCCCTCGATTCTACTCTCCTCTCGCTCCGCCACCGGCTGGTCTCCCATCAACTCATGTCACCACGGTTGCATTGACCTCAACCATCGCCCGCCTCCTTACAGGCTCTCTTTCAGACTTCTTCGCACCTCCAGCAACCCATCTATTCCCACCAATTCCAGAAGACAGCCGACAACGCTTTAGTGGATCTCAAACAGGCGGCGTCACACTCTCAAGAATGGCCTTCCTCGTTCCATCCGCCATCCTTCTTTCCATTGGCTATCTTCTCCTATCATCGCCCCTCCCAATAGAACACCCCCAGGCATTCCACCTCACCACCGCCCTAGTCGGCTTCGGCTACGGCAGCGCATTTTCCCTTACACCAATCCTCATCTCCGTCGTATGGGGCGTGGAGAACTTCGCCACAAATTGGGGCATAGTCGCCATGATGCCTGCCCTTGGCGCTGCACTCTGGGGCGTGGTCTACTCCCGCGCTTACCAAAATGCATTGGATGCGATTGATTCGCCGGATGGGCAGTGCTATGGTTGGCGGTGCTATGGCTACTGGGCTGTTGGCTGCACTGTTAGTGTCTGGGTGGCTGTTGTGGTTTGGCTGGCTGCCTGGAGGGGATGGAAGAAACGCGGTGTTGTCGTATAGACGAAATCAGCACCATTTTATGACCATTTGCTATCAAACATTGTTCCAAGGTTCCAACCTTGAAATTTTCGGCGTTATACATTTTCGGCAAGGCGTATAATCTGGCAATAGAGATCATCTCATATGTGTAAAAGAATATTCCCTGGTAGCCATCTCTAGTAAACATAAGAATTACGCCTACAGCTGCCGTGGACCTCTTTAGGTGGAATTCTGGCCGCTGGATAGTCTACCTTGGTATATTCACCTCTCTAATCTACCAAAGAAGACATTCGGAAAAGTAGTCGGCAGCCTTGAAGATCTAGAATATCAAATACGTCTGCAGCGTGACCAGAATCCCCCAAATTGGTTAGGAGGACTACTCCTTCAGCGGTGGCCGAGGTCATATATCGAGGGAATGTAGCAGACGCCCACTAAAAGAAAATTTAAAGTAGAATTAACAACTGACTCAATTCTAGGACTCAGAATGTTCAATGTAGATCTCGAGTTTACTTCAATTGAGCTTCCTCACACCGCCTTCCCCACCACCGCGATCTCCGCCAAACCTCCGTCGCAAGAACCGCATTTGGCAAACCAAAGCATCATGGCCCCAGTAGTGCTAAAGAAGGTCGATGGTGAGTGAGAGCAGACAGGCAAGAGAATTTCAAGGCTAACACAGCATCCAGATGACCTCAAAGACGTCATCCAGCACCTTTTCGAGATCCAGTCCGCCGTGCACGGCTACCTAGGCCCCGAGACACAGCAAGAGCTCGTTCGGAAAATGTACGTGTCACAAAATGCTTTAACAAACCACAGAGAACTTACGGGAACATGACCAGCTAACCAATTCCAAAGCAAAAACCTCACACTCGCCCTCTCCACACTCTCCAAAGACACCGACCTCCCACCGGATCACCAAGCAGACACCACCACTGACCCATCCAACCCATCACTCTCAAGCATCCAACTCCCGCCCGAAATCATCGACTATGTCGACTCAGCCCGAAACCCAGACATTTACACCCGTGAGTTCGTGGAGCTGGTCCAGCGCGGCAATCAAGACCTAAAGGGGAAGCGTGAGGCGTTCGCCGGGTTCCGGGACGTGCTGGCGCGCGAGATGCGCAGTGCCATGCCCGAGTGTCGGGGAGAGGTGGACCGCATAGTTGCAGCGTCCGCGTCTGCCTCTGCTGGTGATCAACGCGATGGGGCCGGGCAGGGTCAGTGATATTTTTTTTTTTGGAGATGGAGTTGATCTCATCATGATATTGAGGCCATGGCCTTGATGTAACATTACATGGATACCGGTTCGACTTTTTGGCCCCCATTTATGACGCTTGGTGGCCTGGATTTTGGCAACGATGTTGCGCCGGGGGCTCTGGGCAGGACAAGGGGTTCGGGGAGTTACGGGAACTTCCTCGAAAAGGATTTTTATGCTTTTCTTTCTCTTTCGTCATTTAGCGAGGTGCTTTGGGCGTTGGCTGTCTTTTTTCACGCACTATAGCAAGTTTCAAAAAGGGTCCTTTTTGGTCCTTTACAGATTATGTGATTCGTATTCATGACCACTTTGGTGTTGAAGAAGCCACCCTCTAAAAGGATAAACAGGTCTCAGTTTCTTTTTTGGAGCTCTAACACTGGTGACTCCAATCACGAACGCGGGCAAACTTGGTCGACCATTCTCTCGCAGTGGCTTCATACAGATTGCGGTCTGTTTTGTATATACGAGCGATCTCCGGCTCTAGAGAGTCGTCCAGGTTAGGGGGTTTGAGCAATAAAGAGATGGACAGAAGAACTATTGAGCTTGTCAGAATAGCTTCATTGCTAGGGTGTGGCAAATACTTCGGAACACCTTTGTTAAGTGTCAACCCCGAGCCCCAATTATCTCCAATCATGTCTAGACCGATGTTACCCTTTGCACCTATGTTTGGATGGTAGACCTTCGTCGTAAAGGCAATCTTGGGCGGTTTGTACGGGTATTCTGAGGGGAACCAAAGACTAAGGTAGAATATACCGTTGTCGTATGGGGATTCGGCCTATTTCATATTAGGGCGAAGTTTAGCTAGACCAGACCACGACTGAGAATGGTCAAAGTAATTAGATTCGTACAGGTCCAAGGATTCATACCGACCACGAACTCTGGACGGTTTCTATCAATGTGATGTTCGAGGAAGTTTTTGTAGATCTACCCACCAGATCATTCTCATCTAAAGGCCCGGCAGAGAAATCCCGGGTTGGATTGCTATCGCATTTGAAGAGGTCAGTGGAAACCAAGAATGAGCATTCTAATGAATCGTTGCCCACCAGCGAAGGTTGGCGAGCTCTTTCAGAAGTCTTTTTTCAGACATAGTTCCTGACAGCTTATAGGATAAGAAGCACCGCAGGATCGTGGAATGAGGGATGTAGACAAGCGTTGTACAGATGCTGACTCCTGGGGTTGATTCAAAAACCATCCACCTGCCTAAGAGCGGGATTGATTAGCTTCGATCCGGTGGCGCTTCAGGCACCAATCTGATATCTGACCTCCATTGTCCTCTAGAGCAAATAAGCTAACATAGCAACTGGCGCACTCGATGAATTCATATGGTATACATCGCATATGACGAAGCAAGGGCCTTGTGTAGAGTAACCAGATTGGGAATGGGGCGATTTAGACAATTCGTTACTGCCCAGGTGTCGAACGTTGCTGTAGTGAACGGGAAACAACGGGCCGTGGATATTTAGGTATCGTCCCATGAATTATATGTGGGGCCCGACTGCAGTGTTGCTGGCCTGGAGGTGTTTCAAAGAGTGGTACAGGACCGATTGCCCGTACCGGTTGCACACCCCCAGACCACCCCAGTCCCCCATCAGACCGGTCGAGATCGTGTGGAGTGGCCTATCTCTCAAGTGTGTCACTACGGAGATGACACGAGGAAGAGCCTCTGTATTCTGACAGCATACGACTATGATACCGAGAGTGGGTCGATATCCCGCTTGGCCACATGAAGAAGGTGTAAGAAGACGTGTCTTACGTGTCTTTCGTGTCTGGGGTCTGAATGGCCTCTCAAGGACTCCTGACTTGAAGCATCTGAGCCTGTACCGCCCCGCGAGTCAACGCTCATATTGGATCTCGTATGCCCGACATCGGAATAGGGCCAATTCCACGAGAAAAAGGGTTCTGCGGACCTGGCCGCGCAAAACGCCAACCCCACAAAGAGGCGGGCAAGGCGGGCTCAGATCCCTGTCGGGGGCTGAGTTTTAGGGAACGGGGACTGGTTGGGACTAGTGGAAATGAAGTCATAAACGCCCTGACCAAGATGGGCGTTAATTCACCGGGACTTGTCCGATAGTCAAGTGTAGTCGGGCTTGGAATGTGTCGACTCGGGAGTTTTATTTGCGTTTTCTCCCCTGACCCACAACTGACACTCCTGACATTCTTGACATCTATACTCCTTACTCGAGAATTGTGAGCTATACAGAACGGTGCAGGGTAGCAAATATAGTCATAGTATCGGTGAGGGTTTTCAAGGTCACGCAGGAATCGATCCCTGCAACATTCACACGCTAAAAAAAACCGAGCGCTTTCCGATCGTTGGACTGGAGAAACTGGAGCCTCTCCGCGATCGTCGCCCCGCCCCCGTATATGTGACTCCTCTCTCTGTCCTCACTTTTCTCCCCTGCAACCTCTGAGGATCATATCATGCCTCTTTGATCTTTGGCATCCTATCATGGCCAATATCACCGCCGCCGGGGATGGCATCACCGGCGGCTATATGGGAAGCTCCCTCGGCCTCAAGATTACTATCGCGACTTTGGCCGGTGTTACCTGGTATAATGCCTTTGAACTGGTGGTTCTAATCTTTGTCACTTTCGCCCAGTATCGCGGTCTTTACTTCTGGAGTCTTCTCATCTCGTCCTCTGTCGGCCTCATCCCTTACTCGCTCGGCTTCCTGCTCAAGTTCTTCCACCTCACCGATGCGACCTGGCTGCCAGTTACCTTTCTTACCGTGGGTTGGTGGTGCATGGTAACTGGCCAGTCAATAGTACTATACTCGCGCTTGCACCTGGTGCTGTCGAACCATCGGATACTGCGACGCGTGTTAACCATGATCCTTGTCGATGCCGTTGTGCTACACCTTCCAACTACCGTCCTCACCTTCGGCAGCAATCTGGCTCCTGCGAATGCCCGACAACCCTATATAAATGGATACAATGTGATGGAAAAGATCCAGATGACCGGGTTCTGCATACAAGAGTTCGTCATCTCTGGTCTCTATATCTGGGAAACTGTTCGCATGATACGCCTCGATCCGGACCGAACCAAGCGCAAGATTCAGTACCAGCTCATCATCATCAACTTGGTCATCATTGGGATGGATCTGGGCCTGTTGGTTGCCGAATTTAAGAACTTCTATATCATGGAGACTATGCTCAAGGGCGCCGTGTACAGCATCAAGTTGAAACTGGAGTTTGCTGTCCTCGGCAAATTAATACACCTCGTCCACAACCATGTTTGGAAAGCAGAGTCCTTCTCTGGTCCAAGCGAGCTCCCTGACTTTGTTGACGCCACCCGCGTCACGTCCGACCTCACTCACGCCGCCCCCACCATCACTCGAGACCGGGGACCCTCATGGATGGACGCCGACGACGTCTCCATCGCCATGTTCGAGCACTCACCATCGGTAGATGCCAATGGCGTACCCTCGGACATTTCCAATTCCTGGAGCAGTGAGACACGCATTAATCATGGTGACCATATCACCATCGACTTCATCAACCCTTTCTGTCGGTACCAGAGCTGGCAGAGCAGATCGTCTAGGCTGCCCGACACTCCGGAAAAACATGGATGAATGAAGCGATTTCTCTTTTTGCTATTTTGTATTCTCATGAATCACGAATGATGATATACCCCTTATTTCAGGTTGATCTCTTTGACGACAAGGATACTGGTATACCCAACAATTGGAACACGTAGCCGGACGTGAAGTATGCTCCACCAGTGACAATAGAGCCACAAACGTCAGCATCCGTGTGCACCAAACATACAATATGGGTGAATTGGCAGGCATTGTCTATTTTGTGCCCCTGCAAGAAACTCACATCTTGTGACAAGATGGAACTAGTCAATCATCTTCTCATACGCATTGCCACTCTGTAGGCTCTCAAGAACCAACTGGGCAGCATACTACCGATCCTAAGTGCTGGCACTTCTGCGCTGAGCAATGCGCCCCGATAGAGCTCAAAATCTCGCCTATACCCAGAGTTTACAGACGACAATCAGCTGGTCATTTGTACCGAGTACCAGCTCGTCATGGAGTCGGGACATTTCGGCGAAGAAGACTGACTCCTCGGTTCGGATGCTCCCACCGCGCTGTCGATCTTTTGTTGCCCGGCATCCACCAAACAACCACTTGTCAGCTTTTCATTGAATTTGTCAATTGATGAGCATTCTTGACAGACCTGAGAAGTGTATTTTCTCACATCTGGGTTCGTATTATGTTTGGACTCGTTGTCGAGGCGTTTGGTTGTTCCTTTTTTGGCTGATGGACTAGGAAAGATACCAAATTCGTGTCTGCAGGCTCGCAACGGGGCTATAATATCTTTAGAACTGTGACTTCCATGACTGATAATGTAAAGAATCAAGGTTAATAAGAGTTATATCCATAACCTGAAATCTAATTTCTAATCTACTTGAATGATACATCCAATTCTTATCAAGTGCTAGCATCGTGAACAGCCACATCAAGCCAAGATGCACTACAGAAGCGAGGCCCCATCTTCCAGCAAACCGGCCTTTCTGGCCAATTCGTAAAACTAGTTACAATCACTGAGCAATTCTGGAGGAGTGTCGAACCCAACCACTTCACCCTAAGCCAACACGAGAATCCGGTCAGAGACAATAATAGTGTTTCCCAGCGAGCAATTGTGACGGTTGTCAGCCCTGCCAACGAAATTTACACTTCTAACACTCAAAACGCAACGTGTTGCACAGACTGTGTCGTCGTTGACATAGTTTGATTTCACTCGTCGTGTTTTTAGAGAGAGCGCCGGACCGGCCCATGGGCGACCCACCATAATCGCCTCATCTATTTCCCCACTCGGATAGGCTAGAGATTGACAAGGCAATTGAGTATGATAACATACGATGCGTGATCCCATAAAATGTGCTTAAATGTGGTTTACTTAGCTTGCAACAGATCTGCAAGTACTTTGAAAATTGTAAAAGGTGACACGATATTCACCAGGCCTGCAGCTTTGTTGTTGCCTTCGTAGTAGGCGATAGAAGTGGTCGGGAATTGGTTCAGGTAAAGCGAAAAGTTGTAGTATGATGATGCCTTTTCCATTAGGCTCTTCAAAAATGAAGTTGACATTGAGAAAGCCTCTTGAGTGCTTCCGCTTTTTCCGGGATTCTTGGGATTCTTTCGGTGTTGGACCGATCATTACTCTTTACAATCCAGTCACATGCAATTCCTAATTCCCCGGTAAAACTATGCCTAACTAGGTCGAAGTACTGAAAGCGGGCGAAGCGCAGGGACCTAGATGCCGGATCACTGCCAGGCTCCAACCCCCACCCCTAACCTCGTCTTCGTGTAGGTCGAGTAGGCGCTGATGAGGATTAAAGCTTTGTCGTGATGACCGGTACACTAAACACCTCTCATCTCCTATGTCATATAATTAATCTTTTGTTATATACGTAGCTTGAGGAGAGGGATAACGTTACTTAAGTCAGTTCGGCTTACTCGATTCAGCTTACGTCGGCTCAGCTTACGTCGATTCGGTCTGTGATTCAGCTAGCGAATAGAAGTTGAATTATAAATTTCCCCCCCCTCCCCTATTTCAATAACGAATTAAATTTCCTTAAGCCCTATCCTGTAAATAAGCACTCTACCAAGATGTCCGAAGTCCCAGAGAGCCGACCTGTGAAATTCACAATCACCCACTATCGTCAACAACAGCACTCTCACGAGGCATTCATTGACTGGATCGTCGAGGAGCATCTACCTCTCGCTATACCCGTCTTTGAAAAGTACGGAGTCATCAAATACTGCCTAGTGAGTGCGCATTGCTATGGTCTTTGTCTGCTCACCGACTGCGGCTAAACATAGAGATCTAGTTCGTTACGCCGCCGTCTCAGAACGGTGCACTTAAAGAAGAAATTGGAGCATTTCGGCCTACCTGGGATTTCGCTACTTTTGACTGCTTTATCGAATACATGCTCCCTGACATGGAGACCATCAAGAAAATAATGTCGGATCCGGATTGGCAGGTGGCAGTAAAGGACCAGGATAAGTGGGTTGATGTCCCGAAGGCCCTAGTTTCGGTGGGGTACTGTACTGGGAATTTACTGGATAAGAACCAGTAGACTCGTTAATTGACTGCGCAAACATGCGAGACTGAAGCACAGGATGAAGGGCTGGCTCGCAACTTTATTTTCTCAGAATATCCACCACTAGTTAAGCCATGGTCTTAATTTCATTTACACTAGATATGATGCACTTATCTGTCTATGTACGTTTAACCGTAACAGTCAGATTACGCAAGGAGAACTGCGAAAGGGGCACAGTGTGCGAAAGGGTAACTCACGTAATTTTTTCATTTTTATTGGTTTGGAATACTATAAGCGAAATGATGGAGTGATCAGCCTGGTGTTCAGGCGGTTGATCTGAAGAAAACACCGGCCAGTATCGTTCCAAAGACTTGGGTCCTTGATTATTCATCCACCCTAGGAGACTGTTATCACATGGAATTATCAGTAAATAAGGAAATTTAAGCTACTATTGACTAGTTAAATAGTCACTATAAACCCCACTTTACACATAATTACTAGGTACTAAAGGTAGATCCAATTTTGTACATTTTGAGAGTATAGTAATTTTTAGATTGCAATTCAGTAAATTACTTCATAGTCCAAGTTCTTCAACGACTTGCCAACTTCACTCTAGCTGGCTGGGATGCTGTCTCCCATCCTACATGGCCCAAATGAGAATCAAAAGAAATATAGTTGACAGACAACATGTGCCAATTATGCCTGGAGACTGAAGTAATAATGTGGCTTTCTAAATTGGAGAAATCTTTCAAGTATTGCCCAGTCACGGCCACAATGTCTGACTAACAGTACTAGCATTCTTGCATCCAAAACAAAGATCCCATGCCGTTCTGTATTTCTACCTATGCCATTAATTCCTCCAGCCCCTCTAGGCATTACCTCTAGGCAAGGTAACTACCCAGGATGGCAGGTAGACATTTGCATACCCATTCCATCCCACCTAAATGGGAATTGGGCTTTACATAGATAGGATGTATCGGCGGGCTCCGCTCACCCACAAGGTTCCGATATGACCCCACCGCTGACATATCACGGCCTGCCCCGCACTCACCCAACATCGAAGCTCTTCTGCCCGGAACCACCTCGCTTTCTCGACAAATTCTAAACACCATTGCCCATCATGACTACTCTTCAGCCCAGTGATACTTTCCCCAGTGATGTGACCTTCCAGTAAGATGCGAACAACGAAAGCGAATGTGAAACCAGCTCATTGCTGATTTTGTGCGAACAGGTACATCCCGTGGTCCGAAGAAAGCAGTGACTTTTCTTCGTGCGGTATTCCAATCAACTACAATGCCTCCAAGGAGTGGGCGGACAAGAAGGTCGTCCTTTTCTCAGTTCCTGGTACGTCCCAACTATTCAAATCTGGCAGTAAATCAATAACTAAACAAACAAACCCGCCACAGGCGCCTTTACCCCCACTTGCTCCGTCAACCACGTCCCCGGCTACATCCAGAACCTCCCCAAGCTTAAGGAGAAGGGTGTCGATATCGTCGCAGTCCTCGCCTTCAACGATCCCTTTGTGATGAGCGCATGGGGCAAGGTGAACGGAGTGCGCGACGACATTGTGAGTAGCCCCGGTAATACTTTTCCACATGAAGTAACTAGTGGCTCACTTTTTTTTTCACACAGCTCTTCCTTTCGGATCCTGATGCCAAGTTCTCCAAGAGCATTGGGTGGGCTGACAGTGCCTCGGGTCGCACTGGCCGATATGCCATTGTTATTGACCACGGCAAAGTTAGCTATGCCCAGATCGAGACTGAGAGGGGTGCCGTCAAGGTAAGAGATCGAGTGTTAAGCTCAGTATTCGTGGATTCAGAATGCTAATCCATTTTTCAACTTTACAGAAGTCCGGAGCTGACGCTGTGCTTGCTTCGCTGTGAATGACGTCATAGAGCGAATCCTCCGGTCACTCGGAAATTCGATTGAGATCAAGATCAACACAAGTTCAATATGTCAATTTTCACTACACTACTTTGACTAAGAATAGAGAATAAATATATCGCCAATGATTTCATCGTGCAATTTTCGTAACGAGATAGCTATGCATGCTGACTTGATAACAGTTGATAGAAAAGGTATCCTAAAACAAAGCTCGAAAGAGCGAAGACCTAATGCAGAATTTTCCGCTCAGTGATGCATACTTTGGGAAAAGAACGGTCGGGAGACCATACATAGTTCAGGACCGGTTGCCACACCGTCCAGGCTACAAATGAACAGAGAATTCTGGTATCGAACGGGTGTTTCCATTGATTTCACCTGGAGATATATCTGGAAATGGCCCTTCATTGTCCACAGGTCGCAATTTTGGAAAACGAACATGTCAATATTTAATAAAAAATTGAATCTGTGAGGGAGGCTCATCCACACTGCTCACAGCCTTGGATATAGAATGCACTTATAGCTGCCGGGATGAACGATATCCACAACGAATAGTTGGGTTCTTGGTTAATTAAACCTCTCTTCGAGAACTCCGAGTTTGGGTATATCTTTGGATTCGAGATCGGCATCGGTGTAGACGGAGAAATATCGGTAACCACAAACCTTAGTACATTGTATTCTCCACATCCCCGTGGGGAAGCGGGCCGCCTTTCGTCTGTTCAAGCTTCATCAGGAAGGTCGATATTTGTGCTACCACGTCAAAGCTATCATAACTCATGGCTAAATAAGCCCTTATTCCCGCATCTAGCGCCCACGTCTATCTATACATCTGTCTACTTGGGCATCATGACCAGTCTACTAAAACTGAGTCTGCTGGCGAGTGTCGCTGTATCTGCGGCGAGTGGTGACGTCCACGTAGGTGGCGCGCTGCGAACAACTACCTACTCTCACTAACTATCTCAAGGCTCTTACTGCACGCTCCGATGCTCCAGCATGTCCTAATGCAGCTTCTACTTTGTCACTTAGTGACCCGCCCTACGACAACTTCTTCTACTCAGACTGCAACGTCGCCGCACAGGCTGTGATTACCAGCCCACTACCAGACAGCGATCTCTCGATTATTAGTCCTCGACTCATCGTGGCATGGCCTGCCGGTGACAGCGGTGCCTGTGCATTCTTTGCGCCTCAAAGTGGCGTCAATGGATCTCTCTCCATTGAACTGATCAACTCTACCGATAACCAGCCCTTGACTCCCGTCTACACTGCCCCTTCGGACGGAAATCAGTACCCCAGTGTGGGTGTACAGGGAATTCTGCGCTTCAATTCCTCAGGGATACTCACGATTCCCATCTTGGGAAGTATTCGTACAATCCGAGATTTCACCGAGGGTCCTAGCATTCTCTATCCAGAGATCCAGAACGCTATCAAATTTACTTCAGATAATGATAGTAGCGCCACGCTCCAACGACTTTGGTTAGACAATACCACGTCAACACTGCTACGCTTCAGCCCCAATAGTACCGATGGCAAAGTGACTATATCTAACAAGACTGTCAATTTCTCGGCGGGCGACTACCTCTTCACAGCGGAGATGAACTACCCACAGTTATCTCAGCTCAAAGCAAGTGCAGCATTGAATAGTAAATCGGCAGACTTGACCACACAAATGCCAGACCAGACAACCGCGCTCTCCTTCCTGGCATACTCGGAGAAGCTCCTTGCAGGTGCATGGCGATTTTTGACGTACTTCGGGCGCGACTCGATGATTTCGGCATTGCTCTTGGAGCCTGTGCTCAGTAGTGGAAATGGTAGCTCTATGGAGGCAGTTATCGGTGCTGTTTTAGAGAGGATCAATCGTACGGATGGAAGTGTTTGTCATGAGGAGACGATTGGGTGGGCTTTTCTCTGACTCTATTCAAGTCAATTGTGCTGATATCTCGCAGTGACTATGCAACTTGGACAAATATTCAAGATAACATAACCAGCAATGCTATGGTTTGTGATTACAAAATGGTCGGTTGCTTCAACAAAAATTGTCAAAGATGAATTCCTCACGCTTGACACAGATTGACTCGGACTACTATCTGCCTGTTTTGATGGAGAAATACTTCTTGCAAAACCCAGTTGGACAAGAGAGAGTTTCTGCATTCTTCAAGTAAGCTGACAACCTTCAATTGATGTATCTTATTTAATCTTCTTTCAGCACATCGTCGGATATCAACGAAGCGAACCAGAACTTGACCTGGGGACAGCTCGCAACAATAAACGCAGTCAGGATTATGCGTCTTACAGGACCCTTTGCCCACAAGCAGATCAAAGAAAATCTTATCCATCTGAAAGACGGACAGACCGTGGGAGAATGGAGAGATAGCGAATACGGTACTTACTACTCGCCCTTAACTTCCCAGACTCTAACCAACCATCTAACAATGCGACAGGTATCGGAGGTGGCCGTATTCCCTACGATGTAAATACAGCCCTCGTACCCGCAGCGCTACGCTCCATCGCCGCCCTCTCTCGAAACGGGATCTATCCCAGACACCAAAACTGGGCCCAATTGGCAGATACCTACGCTCAGGTCTGGGAAGACCAGACACTCCCCTTCTTCGAAGTAACAATACCGCAAGAAAAAGCACAATCTCTCGTCAAATCTTACGCCAATAACTCATTCGCAGGTCCGGACCAGTCCTCAACCATCGACACAGACGTTGTTTTCCATGCCCTATCCCTGAATGGCAACGACAACCTAACTCAAGTCCAAGTCATGAACACTGACGATTGTTTCCGCCATTTCCTCCTAAACACAACAAATGACGCCCAACTCACTTCGTTCCTCAATAACTCTGCTACTAACATCCGCCGCACATTCCCAGCTGGCCTAATGACTTCCGCCGGTATGGTAGTAGCCAATCCAGCCTTCGGCGAGGATCCCGTCTATGCGCAGAACTGGACTACAGGCGCATACCACGGCACGGTCATCTGGTCTTGGCCACTGGCGATGATGGCTAAGGGCTTAGAGATGCAATTAGGTCGGTGCGAGGTCACAACCAACTTTTCGATTTCTTCCGTGAACAAGGCTCCGATGCGTGTACCTGATTTCTGTACCGATGACTCAGTCTATGGGAATGTGAAGGAGGCATATAATGTTCTTTGGGAATCCATTGAGGGTGTCCATGATCAGCTTTCGCAGGAAGTCTGGTCGTGGGTTTATCGTGATGGTGGGTTCCAAGTTACTCCACTGGGTGTTATTCCACCGCCTGGAGGCGGGAGCCAGACTGGTACATTCTTTCGTTCCTCGATAGATCTATATGATTCATTTGTGCTGACTGGTTCTAGAATCCGATATTCGGCAACTTTGGTCACTTTCTTTCCTTGCTGTGACTAGAAATGCGAATTATAAGTAGGATTGGAGGATGAGGAATTGTAGTATACTGGTGGGACTTGCAAGTTCAGTGAATACATTATATGGTTTTCGATTTGTTACGGATTTGACAGGGGTTCGGAGATCTCTATTTGGAAGAAATTCGCTAGTTCATCCTGGGACGAAATATGTAGGAATTGGATCCTGTTTTCCCGTTTCCGTTTTAGTACTCACCCTTTGCCGCTTCTTGATCACTTGATAGAATTGAGCACGACCCTGAGCAGCCTGGGTTGCTCAGTGAGTATTACATAATTATAACTTCCGCGCCCTGAGCCTGAATTAAGTGTCCTGATTCAATCACTGATGTCGGAATGACTTTGTATACAAACAATCAACGATGTCTAAAGCTCTGTCATTGTATTACCCCTGAGTCTCCCAATTTATAGGGGGATTCTAGATTATATAAGTAGTAAACATGAAGGATAATTATATCTCCGGTCCAGCGCGGTAGCGCCTTGGTGAGTCTATCGGCTACTATACTTACGGTAGGTGTCTACTTAATGGTAATTCGATCTGCTTTAACCTCTTGGCGTAGCTGGTGGTAGTGTATATCTATATATTAGAGCTTAGTGTCGAATACCATGTTGTCTCTTTGGAGTAGCTTGATTACTCGCTTATTATCGTATTAGATAGTGATGATTAGACCTCGCCCTCACGAAGTCAAGCATCCAAGCTTGTTCGTTGACGTCATTCAAGGCCGCTTTCAAATCGATGGATTTGACAGCCACTTAAATGGTCATACTGAGGTGACCTGGTACGGTAAACAAAGTGTGATTACTTGTGGCACATTGGAACCGGTGCCAACCCATGGGTAGTTTCAGCAATGACACGCTACACTGCCGGCCTATAATTATCCTTTCCTGGGAATTGGCGAAATGATTACCAGAACGACTCGAACCATGTAGCCAAGCAGTCGTGCTTTTTCACGCCGTCAATGCATCGGTGTCAGACAGCTTTAAATGTGTGACCAAGTAAATTGTCTCTACCTATCCGTTGAGGAAAAATACTTTGAAGTTATACTACAAAATTGGCAGCATATAAATCCACATGAAATTATTTTACTATTTGAAGAAGTTAGATCTCAGTGTCAGATCATCGGAGCTCGATTCAATTGAGGTGAGCCAGAGTGATTCCCGTGAAAGTGGAATCACTGTTGTAAATCGCCGTTTTGTTCTTCCCATCAGCATCAGTGCGATACACGGTCCCTCCCATATCCGTAAAATAAATTTGCTTGTTGACTTTGTCTAACCTAAGACCGATTGCCTATGAATATATCAGTATTATTACTCAAGCAGGCGATGTGTTATACCATACCTCATGCAAATGCCTTGAAAGGACCTCGTAAGCTTTGCCATTCTGTTGGTCACCAACATAGCCCCGGTTGAGCGTATTACCCAGTGGATATTCACCACGGTCGGTCCAATAAATTGTCTTGCTCTCGGTGTCAATCTCGAGATCAATCGGCTCCGGCAGGTTTTCAAAAACGGTCTCAATATCGGATCGCGTCGAGGCTGTTGCGCCGGGCGGCATGACGATATTGGACCTCAAAATCCTGCCCTTTCCAGATTTACTGAAGCCTTTCTGAGTCCAATAAAACCTTCCGTTTTTGGGGTCGACGGTTATTCCAACACACTGCATGAAAAGTTAATTTTTTAAGTCAGACATGCACTTTTGGTGCGCTCTCAGCTGGCGTACCCATTTAGTCTGATCCTCTTTGTCTGATGTATTCCTGAAATCACCCGTCTCAATCAGAATTTCATGTTCACTTCCATCGAAATTGGCCCTATGCATACGCAGGCCTTCACGGTCACTGAAATATAGCTTTTTGTTCGAATGGTCAATCGAAATTTGTTTAGGCGTGTGCACAGATCCTTTTGCAATGACTGTCTGGATTTCCGAACCATCAATCCGAGCTGATTGAACGGATCCATTATTCTGAGATGGAATGCCCATATTAGTCCAGAAGATACGGTCATCAGAAATGCTGATATCGATTCCATCCGGTGCCTCAAGACCAGTGATGAGCGGTCTTGCATTTTGACCATCTCCTGAAGTGACTAGAATCCTTCCAGCGTGCTGGAAATCATGGGTGATATTCTCGCCAAGTCCGACGTCTAAAATGTATAATGTCGGAGTTGCCAAATCGTCATGGGAATCTTGTTTACCTTCTTCAGACTTGGTGGTGGATCCAGGAGAGTAAAAGCCTCCGTTTCCTGCTTTAGCTCCGAGGCGTCCTTCATTGATGTAATTATTTCGCAGAAAGTCAACGGTATTTGTCCCATCTAGATGGCGTTCTTGGATGTAGTGATCTTCAATGAAGGCTACGGTGTCGAGGCCAACAGCATCCATCATAGCGCATGGACCCGCCTTATCCCGTCCAAACATTTCTATCTGTTATCGAAAAAGTCGGTATTATTTTATGTATGGAATGATTGTATGTATTTACCCATAAGGTGTCAATTTCCTCTGGATCACTGACACCCTCCGCCAATATGTTCAATGTTTCTCTCTTCACTGCAGCCCAAAGCCGGTTGATGATGAAACTGTCATTGTGAATTTGAGTCTTTTGATATCTAGAGAGCCTGATGAACTTACCCAGTAGACTCTTTGCGTGCTACTGCAGGCAACAACCCAATATCTCTGTGCTTTTCGACCAAGAATGGAAATATTTCGTCATGAGTATACGTGCTTGTCATTAGCTCCACAACTCTATTGCTCGGAGGCATGGTGTAGTGCACATTCAAAGCCCGCTTTTTGGCTTCTTCATCCATGTTATCCAGCATTAAGCTAGATTTATATGAAGATGAATTGGAGCCAAAGATGCAGTCTTTGGGAGCTTTCATAGCCAGGATCCCGAAGGTCGAGGTTTTCAGGTCAAGCTTTTCAGGAACTGCCTCAAGTACAAACCAAGCATTTTTGACTGCAGAATCCAAATCCTCAAATGCGGCATATTTTCCAGGCCCCGTGGTTGTTTTGTCAAGGATTTTGGAGAATTCAGCGAGGTTGTTATCGATATAATGGATTGCGGCTTGCCGCTGCTCCGCGCTGGGGTCCCGAATCGTCACGTTGTAACCCCCCGCAACCCATGAGCAGGCAATTCGACGGCCTTAAATATATTATATGAGTTTTGATATTTTTATATTGAAATGGTGATAATGGTCCTTACCAAGCACACCAGCACCAAGAACCGCAACAGGGCGAGAATCAATTGTGGGTGTTTGCCACGGCATGGTAGCGTTGCAGCAAGCAAGGTATCAGAATTGATTTCGATAAAATCAGTAGAATGTTGGGGAGTGGGAATAATAATGACATTCACTTGTTGTATAATGGACCTTTAAATACTTTGGGTTCTCACGTTTTCTTACTGGTGACGTTGACGGAAATCAAGTTAAAGAACAAGATAAAAGAGTTCTCCAAATAAAGGTGACATCATCTCGTATCCAAAGGCTGACGAGATCAACAAGAGCAGATAACCTAGTCCGCCACCGAAATGGACAAATAGACACCCTATTGGATATTATGACCACTGTTGGAAAGGGATATAAAGATTCTGCCCATACTGTTTCTCAACAAAACCACATGCATTCAATGCAAACTGAGATGAATCATCCCCCAAGGGATTTGCGGGGTCCAATTGGGGTCGTGACGGAGGTGTGACGGGCTTTGATATTGGACCATTGTAGCAAAAGTGACGTTCCATACGGCAAATCTAATTTTGGCGAAATAACTTGTGTCTGAGATAATGTTTGCTGATCGTTTCTACGCCTCCCATCCTTAGAATTGGCACGAAATTTACAAATTGGCGACTGTACATGGAGGACCAGTTCCAACAAATGAAGTCATTATACTCTCAGTTGCAGGGCAAAGACAAGAGTTTGACTCCAAACGAGCAGAGGTGACGAGGGTGTTTGGTATACAGTGGGTATAGAGCATATAGATAGCATCTTACAATCCAGAATTACGCGGCAGGAAAGCGTAGAAATGAGTTTATCACATGGATTCGTTCCTTACATTATGTTGACACAGTGACCCCCACTTATTTTTTATCCTCGGCTTTGTTGCTCGGCTCTGGCCACTCGGTTCTCTTCCTGGCCCGGACATAAAGGTTCATTGGGCGAATAAGCTGGTAGTGGGGATCATACTCAATTGAGCTTTCTCCTTCACGTGTAAACTCATATCTGTACACAAGCGCAGGTAGAAGCACCTTAACCTCGCCAAGGGCAAAGTTGAAGCCGATGCAAGACCTTGGACCAGTGGCAAAAGGGATGTAGGAGTTCTTCGGTCTATTTCTCACCTCCTCGCTATCCCATCTATCGGGATCGAATCGGCCCGGATTGGTCCAGATATCGGGATTATTGTGGATGGCGTAGAGTGCTGGAATGATAACTGAGTCTGCTGGGAGTTGATACCCCCCGGGAACAATGCAGTCAACCTTGGCCGTTCTTCCTGGTTGAAAAGAGGGATTATGAACTCTGGATTCTGTCAGCCAGCTATCTACCGTCAAAAGAGCAATAGGTGTACCTCTGGGTCTCCTTGATAAACTTATCAAGATATGTTAAGCTCCCTGTCAGATCTGGGTTCCAATCCGTGCTCTCGTCGATTCCGGCATCAACTATCTCTTGCAAAAGGCGATCTTGGGTGCCTTCATAGGCGCAGAGCGAGTAGATCAACCAGGAAAGCAGAGAAGACGTCGTTACAAAACCAGCGCCCACCACTATTAGTACAAAGCTGTCAGTATGCCAGATCCAGTAACCAATTATTAATTCCTTGGGCAGTAACTGACCTGGTAGCATATTAGGGATAATGAGTTCCCTTGGAATTTTGTCTCCTTTGTCATCGACCGCTCTGTTGAGAAAGTCAAAAATACATGCAGCTTGCAAGGCAGCATCATTGATAGGTAGATCCTCGTCACCACCTTTAGGACAATTGTTGATTGCTTCATTGAGCACATCATGGATGTGTTTTTGGGTTTCTGCAAGTTCTTTTGGGTCTCCAAACGGTAATTTTGAGTACCTGAAGGCCATCAGTAACAATTTCTAGGCTCGAAAGTAGTATAGCGCGAAACAAACCACTGTCCTCGACTGGATATCCTCTTGTTTAATGAAAGAGATTTAGAGATGGACGTGACTATGGTGTGATATGGAGCATCAACCGAATCGAAATGGTGAAAGTCCTGCACTGATATTAGGCTGCGTGACAACAGAGTTAAGTACCCCGACTGGACTTCAGAGTGCTCACCATGCCTAGAGCGAATTCTCCAATCGTTCCGCTGAAATCCAGATCAGCCTTGAGCTAGCCCATAAAGAACCTGGTAAAAGAAAACGAACCTGGCCAGCTTAAGCATATACTGGTAGACATTCCACGCTTCCCCTCGTTCGTCTAGCTCGTCGAATATGGGGAACGACTTCTCAACAGCAGACTGCATCAAAGGATGATAATGTCTGATGGCTTTCGGGTTCATTGCCGGGGCAATATAGCGATGAGCTAGACGCCAGTCTTCATTTGTATCGCACAAAAACAGGGCTTTTTGTGAATTGATGGCATGGAGTGGGTGATTCACATTGGATGTCGATTTTGTGAAGAATGGACTCTCGGCAAAAGCGACGCCTGCAACTCTTGGGTCGCACGTCAGGTAATTCGGTCGTCCGTAGGTAGTATATTTGATCACATTTCCATAATGGCGAAACATCCGGGCGTGGTTACCGATATGATCCGGGAAGACCTCATAGTATGCTCCTACGATCGGTAAGCCTTCCGGTCCCGACTGTGGCAATGGTCAATCATCTGTGCTCTAATAAACCGGTCGGTACTGTGATACTTACAGGCTCCCGAACTTGATGGCCATCAACAAGGATCCCCACTGGCTCTTCACTGTCGAGAACCGCCTCGATGTCCGCAAGGTCACCATTGGCATTGTTTTGAAAGTCGATACCTTGTGGTTCAATGACATTGAACTGAGCAGCGACTTTCAGTCTCAAAGCATCGATATCATCGGTATGATCGACATCAATCTTCTGGCATGTTTTCTGGAGCTCATGCCCAAAAAGGAAAAAGTCCCTGATCATACTGCAATGAAGGTATAGGTGGTAAAATTGTGATGGAAATCTCAAACGATGTCTGAATATATTCCTGTGAAAATGATGATTTTTGGCTGAAGCCACGAATTGTAAATGTTCATTTATAACGACAATTGCATCATTGTGTCATCGTCATGCGGATAAGACATCATATCTCAGCTAAACCTCGGCACGTTGCTTATTTGGATGGGCGGCCCGATCCATGAGCTGTGCCTAGACCTCGCCCAAAGTTCGGTCGGCTTACAACCTCGGGCCAAACCTGCCAAGAGAACTGAATGCCGGTAATATATCTAATTTTACGGGGTTATTATAGGTAGTTTCTGGTATTACATATGCAATATTGTATTGTATGTACTTTGGAGGTGGCGAGATGTGGCTATACCGACCGAGGTCCAATCTCGGAAGCTTAATTCTTGCCGATAATGGTGCTTAAACCCAGTTTTAAGCAACAGTCGACTGGGCAAGTCCGGTTTCTAATAAACTTTGACATCATTGTCCACCACATTCGTACGAGTACTTAGTACCTTAATAATATTGAGGTAGAACTTTTCTGATATTGCAAACTATTTTGCGTCATTCTGCAAGTTCTAGTTCAGTGATTTTTTCCTCTATACGATTGCATCGCGACTAGACGATATCTCGCCGCCAAGTGTACATCAATCAGAATGGCTGACAAGGGCGATAACACTGGTGATCTCAAAATCATCACCAAAGATGAAGTTGCCAGGCACAAGAGCAAAACGGACCTATGGATGATCTTGCACAACAAGGTAGGCGTTCTACATTGTAACTAAATAAAGTCGTGCAACTAAGATTGGCCAAGGTCTATGATGTGACACAATACATTGAGGAGCGTAAGTACTTTTCTCATCTTGAGATACGTTCCTGAATCCTCGCTGAAGACAACACAGACCCTGGAGGGGTGCCTATTCTAGTTGAGTCAGCAGGTCAGGATGGCACGGAAGCTTTTGAGGATATTGGCCACAGCACGGACGCACGCGAGATCATGGAGAAATACTTGATAGGCAAAGTACCTGATGAGGTAGGTAGCCCGATGTTCTGACGTGATCATTACTTACGATTGAATAGGAACGAACTGAAACATCAGTTAATAGGGAGCCAGAAGTTGTCCCTAAATCTGTTCATGTTGCCTACGAGGGATCATCCGACGATCAGGGTCCACTTCGCTCCATAAGAACTGTCTTCATGGGCCTCCTTTTTACCACCCCGTTTGTTCTCCTTGTCACATGGTACATTCGAACATTACAAAGGCTGCGTAGCGCTACGGGCTTTTGGAAAGGGATTGGCATCTCATCTCTGGCTAGCATATCGCTCACAGCAGCGGTAACGGCCTGGTTGCGGAAGTATTCGAAGGGTGCAAAGAATACTTCTTACCCTGCGCATTACAAACCAGAAGTGACGGTCTCTAAGAGAAGAAACGTCAGTGCTGGTGTCCTAAACCCGCGGGAGTTCCACAGCTTTCCTCTGGCGGAGAAGTATAAAGTCTCCTCCGACACCTACAAATATGTGTTTAGCCTACCGAAGCCTGACTCCATCCTCGGCCTGCCAACTGGACAACACGTCTATATTCGTCATGAAAACAACGAAGGAAAAATGGTGAGTCGGAGCTATACTCCGACCTCAAGCAACACCGATCGGGGTCGTATGGAGCTGGTCGTTAAAACCTATGAGAAAGGTTTCATGTCACAGTATCTGAAAAACTTGAAAATCAACGAAAAAGCCGATTTTCGGGGGCCCGGTGGGAAGATGAAATATTCCCGATATCTCGCCAAAGAGATAGGCATGATAGCTGGCGGTACAGGTACGTATCTAATGAGAGAGCATCAATTTGGAGATGGCTAACCTCATACTATCTAGGAATTACGCCGATGTTCAGGTATTGATCGTCCCACTCTCAGTAATTGCCAGAATAGCCTGAGGCTAACCGGCAGTACAGCATAATCAAAGCCGTTTGCATGAACGACAAGGATGACACAAAAATCAGCTTGCTATACGCCAACAAGACGGAAGAGGATATCCTGCTTCGGGAAGAACTCGATCGGTACGCCAAAGAGCACCCCGATAAGTTCAAGGTTTGGTACGTGCTAGGTTCAGCACCAGAGGGTTGGGAATATGGCACTGGACATATCGACAAAGAAATGGCCAAAAATCAGCTGCCTGCCCCCAACGGTGATGAGTCGAAGATCCTTCTCTGCGGGCCTCCGGGACTACAAACGGCAATGACCGATAGCCTGGTCGAACTAGGCTTTCATCGCCCAAGTGCTATTGCACGAATCACCGATGAAATCTTCATATTTTGAAGATAGAAGTATTTGGCTGTTGGGTGATTCGCTGGTGTTGCAGAAACATCTTAGATGGAGCGATAGATTCGCGCTCTATATTCTAGGAGACTGTATGAATGCTTTGAGTCAATAACTGTGTCTTACGCTCCAGATTCTAATATGCACTTAGAAATCACTGGAGGGCTGGAAAAAAAAATCGATGGTTTCTTTGTCTCGAGATCTTGTTGGTTCGTAAGGGGACGAACAACAACTTGAAAAATAATTAGATAAAACACAATATTTCTTAATGTCTCGCTCATAAACGACACATTGACCTGCTATCCTGTCCGCTTGAAGAACAGTAAGTGACTCGCGGTAAACTTTTATCACAACAGAAATGGGTAGACCTACCAATATGAGGTGAACAACTCCGAGAAATGACAGTGTTAAGCGTAGCGGTTGGAGCCAATACCAGATCTACAGGACCCGTCCACCTTGTGATGTCTGGTTAAAATTAACCGATGAAAACAATGCCGCTTCTTTCTCCAAGGTCTGACCCTAAGTAAGGCTCTAACTAAAACCACACCTTTGGCCGGCGGGCTTGAACACGACGAACGTGCTTAATGACGCCATTGCCTCCCACTCCATGTATTGATCAAAATAATGCCAGTAATAATGCCATTGCGTACACAGAGCTCTGCTGTTAGTCGAGGACTTTGCAGCCAACTTTAGGCCAATAACGAAGATGTCTTGTGAAATGATATCATTGGAACATGTGGCCCGCCATCTTCGGCCAGGAGGCCAACCAGGTTGCATCACAGATTGTTTTGTATCGATCAAACTTGCTTCCTTTCCTATCCATCGGCGATCGAAATATCTTACCAGACTACCCATCACGGAATAAATGGCCCTGTGGGTCCTGTCTATTTTGAGTATGGTCTATGTTTGTGCTGGCGTGGAAATCCGAGGGTGCTCAGAAAGGAATCACCGGGCACGCACTGAGCATGCCTGAGTGGTCACTGAGCCTGAACTCGTGCTGACGTCTACTTACTGATCCTGAGCCTGGGCACCCTCATAAAAGCGGCGGCAACCCAGATAGGAAAGGCCCCACCCGGCAGACTTTATCCTGTCTATATAGCTGCATATATCAGTAGAATTCATGCATAAATGGATGGGATGTAACAAGCCGAGAGTATTGCTTAGTAGTGTATTACGGACATGGAACAGACGAGGTATAGCAGACAGCCAGGCCCAAACTAAAAAAGGGAAGACTGAAGAATAAAACGAGAGTGAAACGTCGTTCGAACATTGAAAAAGAGCTAGTTGACAGCCTGCTTCCACCCGGACTCTCCATGGACAAGCTCAAACTCCCGATATCCCTCGACCAGTCCATCAGACAACTTAGACAGAGCCACCCAGGCCGGTGCATATTGTCTAGCCTCATCCAGGGCAGGGATCAGTCCGGGTGTGTTGTTGTCGCTCCAGAGACAAGACACACGGCCCTTGATTGACGATTCCTCGCTCTCTTCGTGATGCTTGGAAAAACTGACATCTACAGTCCACTTTCCATCCCAGGTTCGGCTCCAGAGACGAATCTCCTGCATGCCATCTGAGGCAGGGTGCAAGAAACGATGATCTGGAGGAGACGAGCCAACCACGCTAAAGTTTGTGATCGGGTGGCGGTCCATGGTGATACGGCAGGCCCGAGTATTCAGGCCCGAGATATCGAAACGTACAGACGCGCTGTTCTCTGGGTGTGAGATGCTGTATGATACCCAGTCGGGGGAGGGAGAGGATGGCTCTGGCACAACGTGGGGTTCGGGGCCAGCCCAGGTACATTGTGTGCGCTTGAGCCAGGGGTAGCACTCAGTCTGTCCACCTGAACTTGGGAGATCCCGGACCACATCGGCCACGAACGGGTACACCCCGGTAAGAGAGGCGGTGGTGTTTCCTCGGTCTAGATCAACTTGCTGAGAGAAGAAGAGCTTCACGCGGCTGGAGTTGGAGAAGGGGAAAGCAATGCAGTTGTAAATGACTGTGCCGATAAGGACGAAGAACAGGAAGATCGGGATGTGGTATGTATAGCGGTGGATATATGGCAACATGGGGGCGAAGATCAGCGCTGTCAGGCTGGCGAGTGCAATGTAGACGAACAATGCCGGGTTGCCATCTTGGCCGGTTTGGTAGAAGGCGCTGGTGAGCAACAGAGCAAGTGGAGCGACCAGGGTGAGGATGATGGGGGCAGTCAGGAGAAGCTGGAGGACCCAGGTCCACGATGGCATTGATGCACTCCATGTCTGTTCATTTCCGTAGACGTTCGGGTCGTGTTCTTCCTCTTCCCCTTCGGGCTCTGATGCATAGTCTCCAGAGACATTGACATAGTTTGCAAAGGTAGTGCGCTGGCGGCCATGCAGCAGTGATGTTTGTTCAGTTGGCTCCTCCTCGTCATTATCATGGTGTTCATCTCCGGACGCAGTGCCAAGTCGGCTACCATATGTGCTGGGACGAGAGCCCAGGGCAAATTGACCAGTGTAATCTGCTTTCTTTGGCAGAGAGAAAAGCTCAAGATAGGAAATCCAGGTGGCCAGGAAGGTGCCCACGAAATAGAAGAAGACGAAATAGCCACCGCCCAGTCCTTCCTCTCTTTCGTAGACAGTAGCGACCACCATCAGGGCCCATGTGAGAACAAACAGCCAAGTCCAGGTATACACCCGGTGGAATGCTGATGGTCGTGCAAAGTCGGCCACGCGAGACACAAACCAAGCCAAGAAGATCCAGGCAGAGATCATCATGCTCCACACGGCATAGGCGCTGCTATGCACGACATAGGGGTTGACCTTAGTTACCAGGTAAGCCAGGCCAATAGTCACTGCTGTCGGAACCCCGAACAGGAACGGGAATCGGAAGAATCCTCGAAGACCCCGAAGCGCAACTCTCTCTTCACTACCATCAACCTTCGCCGCAGAACGGAACAAGTACATCTTGTCGGCCTTGGAAAGTGCCACGCTCGTAATGAGCAACGTCAGCGGTGCTATGATCAACATAGTAACCGACAGAGCAAAGAGCGTGTGTACTTGGAACACAGCAAATGCAGTACCGAAAAGATCGAACCAAACAGCCCGAGAGCCCGTTCCACTTGGGACGGAATCGTCGTCGTGGAGATGACCATCAAACCGATCTGTGGAATCAGAAACAAGACCTTCGGTCGTTGCAACCGCCGCAGAAAGCATATGCCAGACCGAATCAATGCTCGTATGCCGGGTATCATCCCGGTCAGTGTGATACCGAGCCCTAGGCTCATAAAAGGCAACATCCAGTCCACGCAACCCCATCATTCCCTCGAAAACAACGTAATCCGTCTGGCTACCGATTTTCTCGAAGCCATTGGCGCTTAACACAGACCCGAACGGATACGGTGACTTCGCATAGGCCTGGGTGACCTCTGTATCCGAGCTTCGGAACAAAGTCGCACGGCCACCAGCACCAGCACCCTCAAGGTTCAAAAACGTATGGGCGAATTTCGCCAATGGATGCTGGCTGTACGCTCGAGCACCGTTCAGATAGTCCTCTTCGCCATTGTTGAAGAGCACCACCAAGCCGCGGCGTGGGGCATTCTCCGGCATAGTGAAGTACTTGAGTAGCTGCAGGCATGTCACGACACCGACGCCATCATCCGTGGCGCCGTACCCGGTCGACACACTATCGTAGTGCGCGTTGACCAGCACTCCGCCCTTACCGGCGGGGACGTTGCCAGGAACCTCCCACCAATTATCTTTCTTATCTTCCCAACCACGAATGTAGACCAAGATGTTGGTTCCCTCGAAATAGACACCGGTTCGGGCATCAATGGAAGTCAGGTTCGAAGTCATGTCGTCGAAAACGAAGACCTCCGGCTGTTCCTCGGAGGTCGCGTATTCTGCTGGCGCGGTATTTTTGATCGCGTCGATGCGCTCCAGTAGCCAGTCGCGGACCTGGTCATTCCGGCGAGAGTTGTAAGGGTGGAACCCCCTGGTCAGAGTCTGAAGGTCCTGCCATGCTTCTGTGAGGTTCAAGCCACTGGGACTGGTTTGCGGAGCGGCTGGGACGTTGAAATGGATAACGAGGATGGGAATGATCAGGGCGAGGTACACCACGGTCGTTATTATGGTGACTGGCCACGGCGTAAAGGCCAGAGGGTTTGTGGCCTTGGGAAAAGCCATCGCCGGGGGATGGGCAGCCGAGGGGTGGGAAGGTTGAGGTTGCGTTGGAGAATGCGGGGGGAGCTTTCTAATTTACGGGTAGCGTTGCACGGGCTCAGCAATCTGCAACTACACTAAATTCGAAATTGCATCACCACCTATTTGGGGAAGATCTTTTAGTCTGTGGAATAAATGTGATGTAATTTCTCATAGATAAGTCATACAGCTATAAACTGTTGTCGCTTTCGCAGAATGCATTCCCTGGATAACAGACACCAAGGGCAGAGGGTAATCTTTCGCTCACATGGGTAGAAATATGACAGCTTGCGCCTGATCCTCACTCCAGGCCGTCGGGGTAGATGGGAAGGGCCGAGGGGTATGACGAAAATATAAAAAAAAAAGCAAGGGGTGCAGGTCAGAAATGTAGGCCTCCTGTATCATGGACGGAGAAATGCAGCAAAGGAGAGGGGTATCGTAGTTCATTCGTTGGTAGGCCCAACGTCGATATAATCTTCGTCATTGAGGTCTGTCGCATGCATCAGTCCGGTCACCTGGCCCTCATCTTCGTCCAGCTCTTCGTCGTCATCGTACATCGTGGCCTCTGTCTCTCCTCGCGTCGTTCTGATGTCGCGATTGAGGTATTCGCGAAGTCGTGTCACGCCCTCGCCACTGAAGACGCAGAAGACATCTCTTTGTTGCTGCGTGAATTCTGGAGGAGCTTCTCGGCAGAAAGCAGTGAGGTTGTCTTCCAGGAAAGACTGGACGCCAGTCAAACTCAAGTGGGTGAGGCGCGGGCAGTTGTTGATCAGAGGTCGAATGCCCTAGGGAATCAAGTCAGTATATAGATAACTAGGAGGGCTAGCCAGATTAACTTACCTCCATGTTCAACCCAACGCAGTAGCTCAGGTGCACACGCTCCAGGTTGCTGACCATCGGGTGGTTTGCTCGGGGGGGATGAGCTAATGCTAGGATACTCTGATTCGTAATAGCCTGGCACTTGACCAACCCGATGCGGCGCAGCTTAGGCAAACTAGCCAATTGTTGCACACTTGTATCGGTCAAGCGGTTGCAGCAAGCCAGATCGATGTATCGAATGCGGTTGCAAGATTTGATGAGTTGAATCACTGCTGTGTCGGTGATGTTTGAGCAGTGGCCGAGATGAACATAGTGAAGGTTCTTGCCCAATCGGCAAATAGCCTGGACTGAGCGATCTGTGATGAAGCGGCACTTCGCCAAGACCAGATTTCGCAGTCGGGGAGCAGCATTCACGATTCGCTCAATGGCATCATCCTTGACATTTTCACAGGCTGTCAAATCAAGGATTCGCAGACTGTCAAAAGTCATGCGCTCAGGCAAGTTCATGAAGGCCGAGTCATTAATCTCTGTGCAATGAGCAAGGCGAAGTTCTCGGAGGTGACGAAGTGTGGTGATCAGTGCCGTTACTGATGGGCTAGTGACGAGTTTACAGTCGTGCAAATCGATCTCCAGGATGGCCGCGCAATTCTCTGCGAAAGACATGATTGACCGATTCGTAACGTTAGAGACACCGTTGAGTTTTAACTAGAGAGAGATTCAGTTAATACAATCTTGACGATCCTCAAGAAAAGTCCACATACCCTTTTTATCTGGCGACAATTCTGCGATATGATCAGTAGCGAGTCGTCAGTCACCTTGGAGCAGCCTGTGATGTTCAGGCCCTGCAAGCGCGGGCAATTACGGGACACCGCATAGAGAGTGTGGTCGGTTAACTCGCGCAACTCAGAGACATCCAGCGCCTGTAGATGCCGATTGCCCTCTACAAGCTCCGACACGCCTTTGTCCGTAAGTTTAGAGCAATTCGTCAACGTCAATCGCTCAATACGCTTGCACTGTGTGAACGGCGCAACCGTGCCATCGCTGACCTCCTCGGTCAGCGCCGAAAGATTGAGCCGCTTGATAAGATCCCCGTAGGTAAAGAGACTATCCGGCGCTCCAAGAGTTGAAGTCACGCTCTTCAGGTTATCCCAGTTATTGCAAGACGGGCGGTGCCATAGAATACCCACTGAGTTCGAAGCCCAGTTGCGACACACGAGCATGCAGTTTCGCATGTCGAGGGGCGAGACGAGCTTGGAGAAGATGGCGATCAGGATCTCGGGCGGGAGGCGCCCGATCGGAGGCACAGGAGCCGATCGACTGCTCTGCACGTGGGAATCGCGAAAGTTGGCGACACCGATCGAAGACTGCGAGTCGTTGGCCTGGGCCATGAAGAAGTCGGTGTCATCGTCTGCGGCTCGTTCCGGTGACGTCGAGGATGATGTTTCGGAGGGGGCTTCGCTCGACACGCGAGCCCTAGGAAGAGGACGAGGCATTTTAGCCGGCGATGAATCGAGGTTTACGGTCCTATCCGATTTTCTTCTGAGGTGATCGTAGGGTTGAAATCTCATCACTCCCGGGGTGACGTTGGCATAGGTGGTGGGTATGCGAGAGGCGAGGGACCGCTCGGTCGAGTAGGACGTGGTGAGACAAGAGCTTTGCGGGTAGGCCGGTCGAAAGTCTCAGAAGTGACGGTTTTGTTCAGGGAAGAGGGCGAGAGGTCATGCGCGGGTGAATGGTGAATGGTGAATGGTGAAGGGTGGAGGGTGAGCTGAGAACGCTCAGTCGCACGTAAGTTGCGAATATTGGGTGGTGAAGGACGGGCTGGGTGAAAAGAACTCGAGCGGAGTCAACATATAGTTAACCCCTTTAACGATCCCAAGGGGGTTCAGGTGCAGGATGGAGGATCTAGGCGGCAAATGGAGGGGGATGAGGCAATCCGGTCTTACAAGCGCGGAGTGGGCGCCAAGCTCAGCTTATCGATGTGATAAGATGCGACCCTCAAGTACTGGACAAAAATAGCACATGAGCCCTGAAGAAAAGTAGCCCGGGAGCAGAAGTGAAGGTCTTTCACGTCACTTGAAATATTTGTCTACGGAATGAATTCGAAGTCGTTTGACGTGGTCCCGTGAAAGTCGTGGATGATCCGAGCCCCACAAAAAAATAGGTATTACCTCATTCATCCTCCTATCTATATATTGGATATACCACTATGTACATTCCTCGGTTCTATATCTCAGTTGCCTCTCGGCCCTTTCACCCATTCGCGCAGCACATTCTTCCGGATTTTGCCCGTACTGGTTTTAGGCAACTCCTCGACTACCTCCACCTCGCGCGGAATCATGAACTTGCTGATCCCACTGTGATTCCGGGCCCACTCAATGACATCTTGTCCCACAAGCTGTTTGCCTTCTTTGACCGTGATAAATGCTTTGGGCCGTTCTCCCCAGTGACTATCAGGCACAGAAACAACGCCCGCCTCAAGGATGTCGGGATGTGTTGCTAGCATGGACTCCAGTGCCACGGAAGATATATTTTCGCCACCTGTCTTGGTCAGCAATGATCGGAATCTCCTAGAACACCACAAGATGACATACCACTTATAATGATATCCTTGGCTCGATCGAGAATCTGAATGGCACCATCGGGGTGCCAAACAGCTAAATCTCCCGAATGAAGTACGCCGCCCGAGAACAGCTTGCGGGTAGCCTCGGGGTCCTTGAAGTAACCTCGAGCACAGATATTACCAACAAAGACAATCTCACCGATCTCCTTGCCATCTTGTGTAACATCGGTGACCGTTCCTTCGGGTACCTCAGTCTTGACCACCCGCGCGGGAAGACTAGTAATGAAGCCATGGCCCTGTCGGGCCATCTTCTGGTACTTTTCTTTCAGTGGGATTTGGTCCCACTGCGGTAGATAGTATCCCTTGGTAATAGGGCCGTAAGTCTCGGTCATGCCATAGACATGGACCGGGTGCAGGTTAAGGTTTGTCATTTGTTCAAAAAGATGAGGTGTTGGTGGGCTGGCTGCCACCGTAACGCGAACGGGGTTAGGAAGGCTCTCGGCCTCTTTAGAGTTGCAGAGGAGGGTGTTGACGGTTGGTGCTGCATTGAAGTGGGTGATATGCTCTTCTTTGAGGAGTTTCCAAATCTGCGGATAGTCAATCTTGCGTAGACAGTAGTGAGTACCACGGACCGCAGTCACTGCCCAGGGGAATGTCCATCCTATTGCAAATGTTAGAATCAGTCTCAGATCGTTGGAGAAATCCACGCACCCATTGCATGGAACATGGGCAATGTCCAGAGGTACTTTGCCCTACCGCGGTCCAAGTTAAGACCAGACTCGATGACATTTGCTAGACTCGCAAGGTAGCAACCTCGGTGGGTAAATTCAACACCCTTCGGCTTAGCAGTGGTTCCACTGGTGTATGCCAATGCGATGATGGATTCTTCATCTGCAGCTTGGCTCTCAAGGCCCTCCCAGCCCTGCGCGCCGGTCTCCAAGTCGTACTTCAACCCTTCGAGTACAGCATGATCAAATGGTCCCGTCAATTCTCCCTCCGTAGCATCAGTATCAGTATCGATGATTATGGGAATTTTGGGATGCTGTGATCTGTATGTCTCGAGCAGCGACTCGAATTCCTGGTCGGCGATGATCACATCAACATCTCCATGCTCGAATATATAGGCGATATCTTCATGCTTGAGACGATAATTGACACCTAGTAGGTCAATTCAGTTGATTGTTCCTAAACCTGACGGATGCGAATATCCTTACCAACGTTCACAGCCCCGGCAGCGGCGATCCCGAAGATCGATTCCAAGAATGCAGGTGTATTTGGACACAGAATGCCCACTCTTTTGAACCCACACTTTTTCAAATAATAAGCCAGACCACGGGCCCGATCCGCAAGCTCGCTGTAACTCCGGTGGAGAATCTTGTTGTTGGCTGTAACGTGGTAGACTGCTTCCGCCTATGTACATGTCAGCAGCTGGTCGTTGTGCTGAGCACAACACCGCAGTAACACCTGCGGGGAGGCTCCAATGGCCACATACATCAGGTTCAATTGCCGCCGCCCTGGGCAAGAAGAAAGTCGGCGAGAGAGTATGGTTGTTGAATCGATGCTCGAAAGGAGCTGGTGTCGAATCAGTGAAATGGCCGACCAGGCTCGCCAGCCGGGACTTGACGCCAGACATGATTAAGTTGCAAATAGGGTTGTAACACCAAATACAGGAGAAAAAGGGAAAGGGCGGTCGAATTTACTTGGAGAAATGCGGGGAATGTCAATGGCGTTAGTCATTAACCTAGGTTCGGGGCGGGGATTTCGGGTAGGACCCTGTCCTCATGGGCTAGGGATTCGTGGATTTCGAGAATCGGGACATTTTATGTCTGGAATTAGAGTACAGCTACCCGGGCCTACGTTTAGGTGTCCACTCCATGCTATGGTGATTCGTTGGGGTGTTCCGACCGATTTGCAGCGAGTTGGTGTTTATTCGGGTCAAGACGTGAGCGGGCACGCATGTGGGCATGTGGGCATGTGGGCGACCACCCCCAGATCGTGAAAGCCCTCCCAGATGGACGCCTCTACAGCTGGACTAAGGGAATAGTCTGAAAATTCCGACTTAAGCGACAATGACTTATCTTCCGCATGTGTTTCAAAAAGTGCTTCAAGGATACATTGAAAAGAAGCACAGGCCGTCTCCAGGTCTCTCCAGATTATGTTGCTGGTCGAATATTACGAGTGACCATCCGGTCGGTAAAGACTGAACAGTAACAAACAATATCGTGGATCAAACGCATTCTGATACTACTAGGGCGGGACGGAGTATCAAACTAATAGACTCAAGTGTGCTGCACCGGAATACGAGATAAGCCGACGAGGCTTGAACATACGTAGAAGAGGTATGGAAGAAGATGAACCTGCATCATCATAAGATCATGTTTGAACTCTTGGAAATTTGTTTTGGATTAAACCGCCACGGCGCGAGATAAACAGCCAGCTATTTTGAACAACCTTTCATCCCGCGACGTTTTTTCTGCTTTTTGAGAACTTCCGAAGAGCACCCAGTCCCGCCAGCCAGCCCATGTTCGACACAACGGCGAAGTCGTGGTATTCCATAGGACAGCCAGAAGGCCCGAGGCCATGGAAAAAGGTCGATCGGCTTGCCGTTCAATTTCGCTGAAACAAAACCGTTCGCGATCCCAACCCGCTCACAACAACCGGCCGCACTTCATCAGGTATCTAGTAGCCGTACTGAGCAAGCTGGTCCTTGGTCTTGCTGTCAACGTTCGCACCCTGCTCCGCCTTGGCAAGGTTACGGCGAGCGGCCTTCTTGCGCTCGTAGTAAGCCTTGCTCTTGACCTTCCGACGCTCCTCAAGGCTGTGGAGAATGTGTTAGCAACTGCTGTCAAACTTGTTATAGGAAAGAGAATCATAACGTACCGAGAGACAACGTCCTGGTACTTCCAGCCAACCTCGTGGCTGAGACGGCCAACAGTGCAGTACTTGCGGCCGGGGCGGAGGCGCAGGACACGGAGAGCCTGGGGAACGACAACGCGCTTCTTCTTGTCGTAGGGAGGGGGGACACCCTCGAAGACCTTGAGGCGCTCCATGGCGGCGGCACCGCGGGCGGTCTTGTGGGGAATCATGCCGCGGATAGCCTTGTAGAAGATACGGGAAGGAGCGCGGAAGTGGAAGGGACCACCGCGAGTGGGGTTGAAACGAGTCATCTTGCGGAGGTAGGCGTGGTACTTGACTGTAAGTCGACAAATATTCAATGTTAGCGATCTGCGTGCGATGTGTGATTTCCATAGCCGTGGATGTCGTCTTGTGTCGCAGTCGTCTCGGATCCTCCATTCGCAACACATTTTTCCTTCCACGGCACAGATGGGAAGAACGGGGGTTGAACGTACGCTTCGCACGGAAGAACTCGCCGGAGATGTTGAGGGCCTCACATCTCACAACGACGATCTTCTGGCCGTTGAGCAGCTGCTTAGCAACAGTGCTGGCCAGGCGACCAAGGAGATGTCCCTTGCCGTCGATGACGACCTGTAAAGCGTTCAAGTCAGCGATCTTGATCTCGAATTGCACCATTTTGAAGACGGTGGTATTTTGGCGATATAGAGTGCAGTGGGAATGAGGAACGCACCACTGATTCGAAGGAGGACATCCTGCAGTCACCGATTGAAGGATATGTCGGTTGGTTGTCGGCGGTTGTTGTCGTTGGAGTCAAGTCGACGCACACAACGAAGTCGAATGGATCTCAGGCGAAGGGGGCTAAGCGAGCCCGAAGGCCTTCTGTGTGTGGATTAGTGGCGAGGGCCGCAGCCCTAATGTGGGCCAATGATAAAAAATAATCATCATGTGACTGTTCCCGCTCGCCCAGTCGTTGCTGACTGATCTATCCACTTGTGCGGTTCACCCACTCGACTCTTTTAGGGCACTTTTCTAGGGCTGCCCTGCCATGGTCTAGAAAGTTGGAAGTGGCCATACCTGGTGAGATGTGAGTGGATGCTGTTCTTTTATAGATGCAACGAGAGATCAGCCAACATATGGTGTTTTAATATACCCTTCTGCTTTGGACCACTACCTCCTCCATATTCCTCTACATCTCTTTCTTCATCACTATCCAGTATGATCCAACTTGCACTCTTTCGTCGGGGTCTCCAGTTGTTTAAAGACTGGGTCCGATGACTAATAGTCTACCATGGGCCTTCAATGTTTTTCTTCCATCACCTGCCTCCTTTCTACTGTACTCCTGTTCTCGCTATGAGTCCCAGACCAGCCCATTTGCTTCGCGCTCACCGCGCCGCTACCGGGCAGCACCAACAGCCCTGCATAGCCGCATAGTCGAGATCAAAATTTCTACCAACAATAATCATGCGTCGCAAAACACGTTTTGTCTGCGTTTCCGATACCCATGGCTATACCCCCTCTGAGGCAGGGTTCAAGCTTCCGGCTGGCGATGTGCTGATACACGCGGGTGATTTGACTAACAAGGGAACCATGTCCGAGCTCCGCAGGACAATGGACTGGATCTCTAAGGCTGACTTTGAAATCAAACTCATCGTGGCTGGTCAGTCTTTTTTTCCCCTCAAGATGCCCGACGGCGCTTTATTGGGTGAATTGTACGAGTTGGACACTGGAGCGTGCTGGTGGTTCACGCCACAGCACTACTTGGGGCAACATAAGGTCTAAGGGCTTCGCCGATTGCTGAACTCACCAAGTTACAGGGAACCACGATATCACGCTAGATTCAGAATTCTATGCACAGCATGGACAGGGCTTTCATGGCGACCAACTCGAAGATCCACGAAAATGCACGGAGTTTATCACGAGGTCCACGCCTTCTGTCGTACTGCTTCAACACCAGGCAGCTGTTATCCGATTAGATCGAGCCGACGGTCCAAAAACATCATTCAAGGTGTTCGGGTCCCCATATTGCCAATTCCAGGGCAAATGGGCTTTTGGATACGAATCAAGCAAGGCGAAGGCGCTCTGGGATCCGATTCCCCTGGATACTGATATTATCGTGACGCATACGCCACCACGGTCTCACTGAGACCAGAAGCCGAACGGAACGTTCGTCGGGTGCGACGCGCTTCGCCAGGCCCTCAGCCGCGTCAGGCCGCCGTTAGCTGTATGCGGTCATGTGCACGAGGGACGAGGCTACGAGAGAATCCGCTGGCAGCCCGCGCTTATCAAAATAGGGCTTGATGCTGACGGCGTCGATTTTGTCACTCGGGGCGTTCTGCCACCCTCTGGAAGTAAGAAGCAGAGCCTGGTCGACCTCACGGGTAGACGGGAGGCACGCCTGGACAGCGAGGGGTTTTCGTGCTCAGCGCCGGCCTCCTCCAGTCCGATGTTACCATCGGGGGTGTCAGCTGTGTCTGGGCAGGGCTTTGCTCCGTCTCTGAGCGCTGCTGATACCCATGGGCTCGATCACGCCCTGCGAATGCTGAGAAAGGAAACTTGCATCGTCAATGCTGCTATCGTCGCCACTAGCTGGCCGCATCGGGGAGGCAAACGGTTTCATGCGCCGATAGTGGTCGACTTGGAACTACCAGTTTGGCAAGATACGGCTGCCGCTGATTCACAATGCATCTGACCTCGAGTCGATCTCTCCGCGGTGCGTTCTCTATGGAGAATGACTCGTCTTCCGCGGGCAAATCGATCGCCGCACAGTAAGGTAGGTGTCCTACCATGCACGCCGTGGCTTGGGACCGATCCAGTGCTTGCTGCCATGCAGGATCCCCGGGGGGGCTTTGGCCTTCGGCTGCATGGTGGTTGGGCGCTTTGATGCATGATCGCTCTGGGATTCGTCGACTGGTGACCCGAGCATTCGAGAAGGCTGTCAACGCTTACATCACTCCGCACTGGCGGGCTGCGAGGGCCCCGAGGCTGTTGATCCTTGAAAACCCGACCGTAGGTAGTTTCAAGTACATGGATATAGAATAAAATCACTTGGCCGTAGAGCCTCCAAGTCAACTTGCATATCCCCACCCTCGTAGAACCCCGCAGATCAACATGTGCCCGCATCTTCTTGCGCATCTGACAGATCGCAACGGAAGTTGGCGCATCACCAACCGTGATATCCTATCTTCAGTCATCTGCAACGGAAATCCACAGAACTCAAACCCCCGGTGATTCAGGTTCCAGAAGCATCGGCGCTTGGAGCCGCGCCATGAGTGGGTGAGGATAACGGCAGGCGACCCCGAACCAACCAGGCCACGGGCCTCCCACCACCTTGACACGACCCATGCGAGGCCGATCATGGAGATTCTTCACAAGACCAGACGTCTCGAGGGGATGAAAAATTGATACACCAATGCCAATGACGCAGGGGGAACCTTCCAGTTACCGTTCAAACACGGGCCCTGCATGTTCAGGTGGCCCAGGGCCAATCCTTAATGTACTGAGGTGCTTTCAGATCCGACGAGTTTACGCTTAAGCTTGGAACCCAGCTCAGGAGGAGACACTTTGTGCAACATGACTGGTTCTCCTGGTGTGATCGGAGGATTATGATTATAGACTATAGGGTGTTGCCGGTCCAGATTGAAAGTGACGGGCCACGGGTCTCCTCAAATGACGGGATCTTGTTTCCCCGTTGAGTCGTGCGTCGTGCGTCGTGAGTCGTTACACTCACGCAGTCCTCTCCCAATTTCCAACCCAGCTGATGGGTTCGCAGATTAATAGATCAGGCCGCGCGGACCGCAGCATCGGGACCAGATGACAAGCTATCCGAAACTAGAAAGTGAACCGTGTCGGGGTGGGGGGAGGGGTCAACACCTGGAGGTGAGCAGAGACACGTTGGATCATGGGTCCAAAGTGGGACAGAGACAGCTGGTCGACTTGGCCCCCCTCTAGCAGACTAGCAGACTAGTCTCTATGCAAAGGGTCCATTGACTAGAAGATCGGCTAGATCGACAATGCCTATCACGTTTGAATACAATCAGAAGTCAAGATCGGATCTGATCTGAGGCACCTGAATATCCTACACGCGGTCATTAGTGTCAGAATGAGTAATCGTGATCAGTGATCGCTGTCGCAGATAGAAAAGCGGTGAGTGCTATATATAGGAGCCAAGGTTCAAGCGTGGAGAAGAGAAGTGCGTGGCCGAATCAGCCACGAATTAAGGTGTCGACGGAAGCACCCGGGGTTTCCACGCGAGCCACGGATCTGGCTCAGGATCAGGCACGACACCTAGGTACGTGTCTATACCTAGCCAGTACATCTACTTAGTGCCTACCTAGATAGGACAGGACAGGACAGTCAGACCGACCCCGGGAGGGAAATCGTTGCGGCCAACTGCCATAGAGAAAGCGAGGCGCAGGCAAAGGCACCCTATGCGGGGGGCCCATTGGACACAGGAACGGGGTTACCAAATTGAGAGAGCTACATAGGCTAAAAAAGAAAAAGAAAAGAGAAAAAGAGCGAGGGAAGAATACCGGACGACGGTCCAGCCCCGCAAGCATCTCACATCTCGTGTTGATTGATCGCCCCGCTTCCTGTATCCAAGGCGAAAATGCCTCTGCGCGGGCACGGCGTCATTGGTGGACAGGGTAGCAAATCGGATGAGACGCACGGCCGGAAATGGGCTTGGGAAAGTAAAATCTGAATAAAAGATGAAAGATGAAATAGCTAGGTGATTGTGATGAGGTGCTGGCGCCCTGGAAAGAATGGATGGGCGCGACCCAGAGCTTCTATTTGAATGAGGCCCTTGTTCTTGTCAAGTGTCAAACCCCCTAGCAATCCGGGAAGCGTATCCCGCCACTTGCAAATCCCTCAGTGGCGGAATGCCAGTTTCCCCTTTATTTCGTTTTCCATTTTCCATTTTCCATTTTCCATTTCCATTTCCATTCCCCATTTTGCCTTGCATATTTAGTGACATCGCTTTTTTCGGTCTTCTCGGGGGGCGGCTTGGCTTATACACTCTGTCTGACCCCATCCGGTCCATCGGACGAAACTACTCTCTTAAAGAATAGCGTCGGGCTGGCCGTTTTGAATGTACCTCTCGGTCATCTATTTCTAAGCTTGACATTATTTGCCTCCCATCTCCTGATCCTGCGAGAGCCTTCTGGATGCACCGGCAACCAAGTTGGGGCCCATAACATACGTCGCTCCCTCCACCGCCTCTTCCCCTCTCCCCTCTTTCGTTCACTCCACTCCCCAATTCCCTCCCAGGGGATTCAATTCTTACTATCTTTGTATGGTTATCCCCTGCCATCATGTCCTCATCGCCGGATATAGACCCGTATCTGGCCTTAGGGGTCGCCAAAGATGCCACCATCGCAGAGATCCGGGCCGCCCATCGCAAACGAGTGCTCAAATGCCACCCCGACAAGATCCAAGATATATCGCAACGCAATGCCGCCCAGGACGAATTCCAACGGGTCCAGCAAGCCTACGAACTGCTTTCAGATGAGACTCGACGAACCCGCTACGACAGAAAGGTCGAGTTGATCGCACTCAAGCGTGAGTTGGAACGCAAGCGATCCGAGGCCATGTATTCGCAACGCGGGAGTGGAAGCTCCCGGGAAATGCGAGGCGGTCACATCGTGGAAGAGCGAGTGCCTGTGGATGTCTTCTTAGACGAGGAGTTGCAATACACAGAAGAACCGCGGACAATGTCGCGCAAGGACAATAATGAGTTTAGAAGGCCAAAGGCAAAGCCAGCCGAAGACAAGAAGAAAACTCGTGCACCCCCGACCACCTACCGTGCAGCCAAGGATGATCGCGAAACCGCCAAAGCGACGCAGGCGGATAAGGCCAAGCAACGGGATCGAGATCGCAAGCGCCAGGCCTCGGCCAAGCGCGAGGATGTTTACGAGACTTACGGCCCGACTGTGGTATCTGATATGTCAGATTCAAGCGACTCGGACACCTATGTGCCCCCAAGGAGGCCAGCCGCCGCCCGCAGAACAACTCGTGACTCCTATGAGACCCGTGAATTCCGGGAGTCTCGCGAGCCGCGGTCCCGCCCCGCAGAATCTTCCTCGCGGAGGCGCGAGCGCATCTATGAAGACGAAGACGACTACTCTGATCGCTTTTCCTCCCCTAACAAGCACGAAGGCTGGCAAACACAGGCGGAGCAGCACATTCAGCGTTCCAGGAACGAAGTCCCGCGAGCCTCTCGGTCTCCACAACGACCCCGTGGTTACGACTCGACGGAACCAGACTCCAATGCTACAAGGCGCTCGGGACGGTCCTCCCGCTCAACCCGGGATCAGTCTTCTTCACGCCACAATTCCCACGAGCACCTTGAGTCATCGCGGAGCTATGACTTCAAACTACCCAAGATCCCCACCACCGCCACCTCGCCTGCCCATAAGGCATCCATGCGGCCGTCATTGTATACCCGCGCCGCCACTGCTAGTGCCACGGGCTTTACTCGCAAGCGCGAAGGGTCCAGCCGCGAGGAACCAATTCTGGAGAAAATGGCACGGGAGCCGGTTCGTGAGCCTCGTGAGCCTCGTGAGCCTCGTGAGCCCCGTGAATCTCGTGAACGTGATCGTGATCGTGATCGTGAACCTCGCGAGCGGGAACCAATCTCACGTTCCTCGAAGCGCTACGACTCCGGCTACTCAAGTCCCAGCACACCCGAGATGCCCCAGCGCGGTGCCTCTCCCAAGACAACGACTACACGCTACAAGATCGATGACCCGGTGGTGATCGAGCCCTCTAAATCGAAATACCGCTCCAGCTCCCCTGAGCGTCCCCGCGGCCCACCCAAGCGATCAAGTACCTACCAGTACAAATCTGAGGCCTCACCCCGCATCGAGGTGCGCACTGTGCGACCATCTAGACCTCACGGCGACGTGGATTACGCCCCGCGCCCCCGCGCCGAAGACGTAAAGTACGCCCGCGAGATCCGGCCCGAGAGTGTCAGTCGCTCCAGCCCGTACTCAGAGGAATACACTCGCCACCCACCAACTCGCCGAACAACATATGCTTGAAGCATACCCTCAATAACGACTATCTATGCATTTTACACAATCCAAGTAACGACAGCTATACCAGCTATAACGCCCATGCACATTTTTCTATATTTGTTCTTCTTGTTCATACTTCGAGCTGCTATCAGTTCTTTCCACAGACCTCAGTCTCCAGTCACATCACATGCCAATCACATGTTCGCCCCATTGCTATTCAAGCTTGGAGTGTACCTTGCACATGGCCAGACTGGAGACTGGGATCCAACCCTAAGCATTGGGACGGTCTTGGTATCGCGTGATTAGCACGCTATGTTCTCTTTGTCGGCGTAATGGGACAGTTCCCGGTGTTCTTTGCTTTGGATATACACACACAAGAAACACCCAATGGCGCAATTTCCTTTTCTGTCTGTTTTTTTTTAATGTTTTTATTTTTCTTGTGACTTCTTGTGGGTTGGTTGGTTTCTCTATTTTGCGACCTCCCGGGAGATGGTTAGATACCCGTGCATAGTACCGGGAATTCTCTACGAATTGATGTTTTTTTGAAATGGTGAAATGAGATGACATGAGATACGATAGGTGATGCTTTCCTTGGATTTCGGGGAGGTGATTCTAGTTGAGTATATTTAGTTCAGTATAAGGCTGAGGTCTGGAGTTAATATGACTTCATCAAGATGTTATTTAGCTAGAATGGAAATTGCGCACTTAATAATTGGGTCGTACCAAACGTTTTCACCAAGATATCGCAGAATGAACATAGACTCTTACGGACTTTTAGTGAATGTTTCCATTTAGGATGGACGAGATCCGTCGGCCAGGCTCAATATTTCTCAACCTCCATATTTCCTTTTCAAATTGTTATTGTTGCCTACCATCACCGCTCCGGTACCGCGTCTCCGGCCCACTAACGACTTCACCTTCACTGTTGAATCCCACTGATCCGTCCAACCCAACAAGCCCTTACTCTTTCTGGTCTCCCTCTTCCGCCATCCTATTTAAACCCTCCTCAAAATGCCAACAGAATCATATTCCCCCTCCTGAAGCTCGTGGAGGATTTGACGGGTTTGAGCATGACGATGCCTTATGGTGAGAGCCCGCGGTTGGGCTGAGGGTGCTGGGTTTGAAGCGGGGGATGTTGAAGCTTCTGCAGCATTATTTTACTACTCGAATACGGAAGAAGTTAGGTGGTGGGGAGAGGCTATGGCGAGGCGATTGGAGCAGAGCTATTTACTTGATAGAGGTATCCAGGAAGGTTTCATTGATGCAGACCAGAAGGGAAAATTCCCGATGGCATGGAGGAATTGGGCTGAGCAGACGGATGCACTGTTTTCTAGAACGGACGTTCAAGTTGTGTGTAAGAAATAGTTCGCTGGTAGTAATTAAAGTTCAATTGAGGAATACACTGTTGCGACTATATACAAGGCCCTGTACAATAGGGATAGTCTAGACTAAATAGAGCCGTCCAAAGCAAATGCAGATGGGTATAAACAGAACACTCTTTCCAACCGCGGCCAACATACACTCCAGTATTCAAAGAGTTTGAGTTTAGAACAAGACATAGAGTACACACATCTAGAGCCTTATATTAGTATCTGCATGAAGTCTTGGCGAAAGAACGTCAACTTACTAACGAAAGACCGAGAATCATTGAGAACCAGAAAAATACATTCTAGACTAGGTCAATAACAAGTTTCTCAATCAAAGGGGATAGAAGACTGGAACTTACATTGAGGACCGTTCGGCCCCGCATCAAACGAGACTTCTGGGCTGCCACGATGGGCAGTTGCAGCATCATGCAAACGAAACCGTATCCACGTAGCTTCTTTGTGATGCAGCTCATGACCAGCTCGTGGAAAACGGCGCTTACCAAGAAGGTAATGAGCATGGCAATGGGCTTCGAGAAGTAGGTACGGGCTGGGAAGTAAACGTGGCGGAAGAGGAAGTTGTGGACAGGAACGTTCCACTCGCGGGAGAACTCGAGCCTGCGATTGTCAATAAGGAAGAAAACTGGGTTCAGTAGGACAACTTACCAGTCACACGAGTTCCACCAGTCGGAGTAGAAGTGTCGGTCCGCAAACCGGGTCAGTTCGGCGAATGCACCCAGAATGTATTCGAAGATAACCAGGAATACCAGCAGGAAGGTTATCATAAAGGGGAATAGAAGCATGCTGATAGTCTCAGCCAAGACGAGCGCCTTATCAACCATGTTGGTAACCGTTTCGAGCTGGGCATGGGCTTCGTTGAGGACTGGCAGGATGAACTCCTCACTTGTCAGTGTCAACAGGAATATGCAACCAAACACGGCCATGGTCTTGTAAGTAATCTCTGACCAGCGCCGGTGGCTTCGGCGGGGATACTCAATTTCGTAGCACAGGGTCGGGCAGAAGAGATAATCCACATAGTTTGCTACGTTAAGGTTTTGAGGGTACGAAATATTGCCGAGAGGAGAAGTCAGCTCTGTAGCCAGATCTTCGCGCAGACGGCTCAGCGGTTCAGCGGGAGCGTCCTCGTCATGTTGCAGCTTCTTCGGTAGCCGCCGTCCGGAAGAGTCTGGGTAATGAACTGCAACCGGAGAGCTCGGCGCCATCGAATCAGACTTGTCAAGAGCGGAAAGACGGCACTCAGTCTCGCTTAGGTGGCCATTGTAGAAAGCGTATGAGTGCAATTTCATGAGAATCGTCAACAGGTGGAGGGTAAAGAACACCTGGGCAGTCCAGGTCCAAATGCGCATGAACGGCCAGCTATCATTTTGGTCAGCAGCAAATCCTTCGAGACTGTTTGAACTACAACTCACTTGACCCATACAGCTAGCCAGATTGCTTCACCGACACTCTGCAGAAACACTCCACCGCGAGCCCAACGAAGCCAGCGCGGACCGCTTCGGTACAGCTTGTGCATTGGCAAGACAAGCGCGGAGCTCGTGACCATGGCTAGATCACTTATGGCCAATTCCCACACATTGGCGCTCAACAAGCTCCAAACCCGGACTCGCAGCGGATACCCGGTATCTTTGACATTGCGCAACACGGTGGTGACCACCATGATAAACAAAGAGATCCAGAAAAGGATGAAGAAGCCGCGGAAGTTATGGTAGTCGCTCTCGGGATCAAAGTGAGACACGCGGGGTACGTAGTCGATCGTATAGAAGAGGCGATTCCGAGCCCGCACTTGCTTGCGAGCAGTTGAGATCGAATGCGCTGAAGGGGGCGCATCTTCGGGGACCGGGGTAGAACGGCCACTGTATGGGAGGTGGATAAGCTCAAGTGCAGGTCTAACAGGGCAGCTTGGAAGCTATAAGCGACCTACCTGGTGTCCGCAGCCAGCTTGTCCACCACGGGCGGCGTGAGACTCACATCTGCCTTGGGCAGGGGGATAGCGCGCGGCCGCACGACGCCAGACGCATTATGGGAGATGGCACTGGACATCCTGAAGGAGATACAGTTGTAGAGTCGAGGAAAGGGGCCACATCGATGGTGGTGAGAAGAGATCCACCGAGGAGTGGTTTTAAGCAGACTGGATCTATTGTTTGACGCGGTCCAACAGGGGACCGAGTATTGGAGTACTGTAACGGGGCCACTACGTCAACGGTTAGCCCTACGGCGAATGATGTGCACCGGAGCTCTTCCGAGTAGAGAATTAACAAGGCTCAGCAGCAAGCATATTCAGCTGGTATCTTGGCAATGGTCATTCGATGCATAGGGTTACATATAGGCAGCTATTTTGTTGTGGCATCCACAGTACCTCGAGGTAAGGTGATTTACCTTACCAGGGACATGTAAATTACGTCAGGGCGCATGTGCTGAGTCAGAATCGACACCTTGGAATTTTCAGATGGTTTGTCAGGTGACTTGTCAGATGACCTTACACACAGCGATACCCGCACTATTCCTAATAAAGCCTAGCCCATCCTCCCGCGCCAAGAAGCCAGGTCGACCCAAGTCACGGGCTCATAATAAAGCACAGTCCAGACCGGCTGCTTCACTTTCTGACGAGCTACCTGCATTATCTTCGAGTCCCTTCGCGGACTTTATTGATTTTCCCCCCATTCGCCCCTTCACTTCCCTGACCCCCAGCGGGGGCTGTGGCCGTCATGTCGTCCCGTACGTTGCCCGCCGCCCCTCCTCCCCTGACGATGGAGACCATCTAACCCCAACTTGTCCAACAGTCAAGCAATTCATTCGAAATGTGCGGTCGGCCAAGACAATCGCCGATGAGCGGGCCGTTATTCAAAAGGAAAGCGCCGCCATTCGAGCTTCATTCCGCGAAGAGAGTCACGACTCCGGCGTTCGGTATCGTCACCGCACCCTATCCATTGCCAAAGCCTCGTCTAATACTGTTGCAGGAGGAACAATGTGGCCAAACTGCTATACCTTTTCACCCTCGGGGAGCGGACTCACTTTGGTCAGATTGAATGCTTGAAGCTACTCGCCTCACACCGGTTCGCAGACAAGCGTCTGGGTTACCTGGGGACGATGCTCCTGCTTGATGAGAACCAAGAGGTCTTGACACTCGTCACCAATTCACTTGGAAAGTGCGTGTTATGAGCGGGTCATTGGATGGGGAAAGTAATGCTGACAACCACGCAGTGATCTTAACCACTCCAACCAATATATCGTCGGCCTCGCCCTTTGCGCTCTCGGCAATATCGCCTCTATCGAGATGTCCCGTGATCTATTCCCCCAGGTTGAGGCTCTCATGTCCACGGCGAACCCTTACATTCGCCGAAAGGCGGCTATCTGTGCTATGCGGATATGTCGCAAGGTCCCCGACTTGTATGAACACTTTTTGGAGAAGGCCAAGACCTTGCTGTCAGACCGAAACCATGGTGTGTTGCTCTGCGGCTTGACATTTGCTATCGATCTCTGTGAGGCGGAAGAGGAGGAGGAAGAAGGTGGACCGGAGGGTGTGATCGAGATGTTCCGGCCGCTTGCTGGAGGACTCGTCCGCGCTCTCAAGGGATTGACAACTTCTGGGTACGCGCCGGAGCACGATGTCTCTGGTATCACGGATCCCTTCTTGCAAGTCAAGATTCTTCGGTTCCTGCGGGTTTTGGGCCGAGGAGATGCGGCAACAAGCGAACTGATCAACGACATCTTGGCCCAGGTGGCCAGCAACACTGACTCGTCCAAGAATGTGGGTAACGCTATTCTTTACGAGGCCGTGCTCACGATTCTCGACATTGAAGCCGACTCTGGTTTGCGGGTCCTCGGTGTCAACATCCTTGGTAAATTTTTGGCCAACAAGGACAACAACATCCGCTACGTTGCATTGAACACACTCAACAAAGTCGTTGCCATTGAACCTAACGCAGTACAAAGACATCGCAACACCATCTTGGAATGTTTGCGTGACCCCGATATCAGTATTCGCCGACGTGCTCTCGATCTCAGCTTCATGCTGATCAACGAGAGCAACGTACGGGTCCTCGTGCGGGAACTGCTGGCTTTCTTGGAGGTTGCTGACATCGAATTCAAGCCTATCATGACCTCGCAGATTGGTATTGCCGCTGATCGATTTGCCCCCAACAAGCGCTGGCACATGGACACCATTCTCCGAGTTCTCAAGCTGGCTGGGAACTACGTCAAGGAACAGATTCTTTCGTCATTTGTGCGTCTCATTGCGACCACCCCCGAGCTGCAAACCTATGCCGTTCAGAAGCTTTACTCATCATTGAAGGAAGATATCTCGCAAGAGGGTCTGACACTGGCTGCTACATGGACAATTGGTGAATATGCCGACAGTCTGCTGGAGGGTGGCCAATATGAGGAGGAGGAACTAGTCAAGGAGGTCCGGGAAAGTGATATCGTCGATCTGTTCACCAACATCATGAACAGCACCTACGCCACGCAGACCGCTATCGAGTACATCACCACCGCATCCATGAAACTTACCGTGCGCATGTCAGACCCCGCTCAGATCGAGCGTCTCCGACGTTTCCTGACCGGCCGGACTGCTGATTTGAGCGTCGAGATTCAACAACGTGCCGTCGAATATACCAACCTGTTCGGTTACGATCAGATCCGTCGTGGTGTGCTCGAGCGTATGCCCGCGCCTGAGATTCGTGAGGAACAGCGTGTTCTTGGTGCACCAGCCAAGAAGCGCCAGAGCAAGGTCCTCCGCGGCAAGTCCACCAAAGCTTCCAAGCCAGCGGAACACGACCTGCTCCTCGACCTGATGGGTGGCTCTGATGCTCCTGTGACCAGCCCGACATCTAGCGGGTCCAACACCGCCGATCTGCTGGCAGATATCCTTGGCGGCGACTCGGGCCTGTCGTCGCCCGCCCCAGCTCCCGCCCAAAACAGCATGAACAACAGCTCCGTCATGGACATGTTCGGTTCAAACGGTGCTTCACCTTCCCCGCAGCCTCAAGCTGCATCCGCCGGTTTGGACCTGCTCGGTGGTGGTGGTGTTGCACCTTCGCCTACTTCCTCACCCGCTCCCGTCTCCTCCTCGACACCCGCACACACGGTCTTCAACAAGGACGGCCTAGTCCTTGCTCTACAAGTCCAGCGGAGTGGTAACAACGCTCAAATCATGGCCCGTTTCCGCAACGAGTCCAACTTCGACCGCTTCACCAACGTCGGCTTGCAGGCTGCAGTACCCAAGAGCCAACGCCTGCAACTGAGCGCGATTAGCAAGGCCGAGCTCGACGCCGGCGACGAGGGGACCCAGAACATGCGTATAACTGCAGTCAGCGGGGTAAGCAATTCTCCCTCCTCCTCCCTACCTACCAACCACCAAAGCTAACATACCCATTCAGTCCCTCCCTCCCAAACTCCGCCTTCGTCTGCGCGTCACATCCGGCCGCGATAGTGGAGACAGCGTTACTGATCAGGTCGACTGGACGGAGCCGTAAATCGGTTGAAATGAAAAGAGGAACTCTGTTTTTGCTTCTTTGGATCTTGATCATGATCTTGAATGAGTGAAAAGGAGATATGGCAGAGCGCTTCAAAAAGTCGGGCGGATGAGCGTCTAATTTCTCACGCAGCACCTCGTTCTATACACCTCTAGTCACTTTTACACGGACCCCCATCTAGACATTTTAGTTTCCTCTTTTGTTCCACGCTTTGCCTTTCCGGCAATTATTTCTTGTACATGTTTCGGTTGCAGATGAGTCAACGCATGAGCCTGTGTTACATGGTGCAGAATTGAGGCGTTTCATGAAATGATCCTTTTTGCGAAGCCATCCCCTAGGTAGCGTAGCATGTCAGCTTTGAAAGTCTTGGAGAATAAGGACTGATTATGTAGCCAGCTCTCCAAATTTAGCCAACCTTTGCTCGTGAATAATTCATTTAAGGCTTTGCCAACTCATTATACCGACATCCAAAGATCTCAATTGAACAAATCAAGTGGACTCCATATATTTTACAAGAATACATGAATGGCTACATAAATCCAAAGATGCTTATTGTTAGAAAGTTTCCGTGATTGTAGGTAGGGTCAGCCAATAGTGAGATGAATCAAGCCATACGGCTCTATAGATCAAATAGAAACAGCAAAACCTTGAACGCAAAGAAAGTCCTATATATCTCCCAGAGATATTCAAACAGATAACTCCAGCGATGTATCAGAATGCAAAATCATATCCAAAGTATCGAAGCACACAGCTTCGAATTATACACCAAGAGACAGATCTTCCCTATTATCACAGATAACTCATGTTAGACCTAGATATGCTCGATCGGCTCCTCGGGGAGCAAAACCTGACCCTCTCTGGCATGGCTCGGAAGGCAGGCCTTGAGAGGAGGTTGGACGATGTCATTGAATAAGAAGGTTCCGTAGACAAGAAGACCGAAACCGACGACTTGGAGCCACTTGAAGGATTCCCAGCCCAAACCTAGCGAGACGACCCAGATGAAGAGTGTGCGGCAGGTATCGATTGTGCTGCGCGAGGTGGCAGAGACGGAGCGAGTAACGGAGAGACCGAAGAAGTTGAAGCCGCTGGCTTGTGTTAGTATGGGCACCGGAGAGTATCTGGAAAGAAGGGAAGGGGGAAACATACCCAATGCTGATCATGATCAGCATGCTGGAAACGGCAACGGCGCGGTTCGAAGTCATCTCGCGCCATCCCTCCTTCACATCGAAGTAGCCGTAGCGACCAGCCTCGGTGTTTCCAACAGTCACATACATGACAATCATGCCGATCACGGTAACCGAGAACCCAAAGATACCTTCCCAGCCAACAACCTGGATAGGATCCATGGCATAGTTCTCCAGGACCCACTCTTCCAGCACAAATTGTGAAGCAGTAAAGATCTGCGCAGCGGCAATGAGGAGCACACCGATAATGGTCTGCACAGCCTGGGGGGTATTTGTGACAGTCTCACCAGAGAAACCATCATCCTGAGTGAGATCGTGGCCGCTGTCGCTGCTGAAAAGTGCGCCGGACAGTCCGACAATTGCCACACCAAGAACAACGACGAACAGCGCGCTCCACTGGTACAGGAAAAGCTTGCGACGGAGGAAGAGGACACTGAACAATCCAACAAAGAGAACAAGAGCACCACGCGTCATCTGGTAGATACTCGCCGCTACAAAGAGCAAGCCCACGTTCATAAGAGTCGTGCCGGCAATGTCGCAGCATGAAGGCGCAGCAAGAAGAAGGATTCGCCATCCACGAAGCGGAATTCGATCATCATCTTCATTAATGGGCTTAGGATGTCTCTGGTTCTCCGGTCCATCGATCGTGTGGGCATCATCGTCGCCTTCCTCCTCGTTCACGGGACGGTAGCCGCCCGCCAGAAGAGGTGACGCATCGCGGGATAGACGGGGAGCAATGAAGCTCTTGTATAGCATTGAAAGTCCAATAACTAGCCAGCAGCCCATTTCACCAACGAACATCTGTGCCCTGTACGAGCCATACATGGTCAGCTTGTGTCACGCTAGTCATCGCCAGCACGCTTTGTGGTGTCAACCTCGTAGTATACACATACGTTTGGATAACCGGTTGCTCGAACAGCTTGCGCTCCTTGGGATCGGCAGAATCGCAATTCCGTACACATTGCATGTCCTTTGATTGGGGTTAGCTGGGGGGACGCCGGTTGATGGGAGAGGCGTGCATACCTGGTACTTGTTGAGAATGGTGTTGCAGACCCCGGTCACGAGCATCATCGTGACCAGGATCGGGATGAGATTACGGCCTGCCATGATTGCCGTGAAGAGTAGTAGGGGAGAGGAGAAGAGGAGGGGAGAAGTTGAAGTTGGGAGTTGAACAAAGCGGAGATGCCTTATCGCGTGATAAGCGGCAGCTGACAGTAAAGTGGGCCCTGTCGATCTATCTATGTTTTTATGCTTAGTTATGTAGCTAGTTTATTAGCACGTTGAATATGTACTATGGTCCACAATAGATATCTATGGGTTACGAGGATTACAGGATTACAGGAATTAGAATTATTTGCAAGCAGGTTCCATTTAACCGTACGAAAATCAAATATTTGCCGAACCATCACACTTTCCCGGCGGCGAACAAGTCCCATCTTTTTCCCCCTGAAGAACGCCCTCGCTGAGCTGGGAAATCACAAAGACAAAGAAAAGAGGATAGACATCGCTCGGAAATGAAAGACAGAAAAGCAGGAGTCCCGCGTTGGGTATTGTACACACACTTCGCCCCTGGAAAGAAACAAAAGAAAAAAGACCCTATGTACGCCGTAAAGCCGCCAGTAACAAAGTCGTGATATCGGTCCATATTAACGGAAAATGTAAAGAAAAAGAAAAATCGGTTGTGTCGATCACAAGGCAGGAATGGGAAGGTGGGCGCTGTCGAGATTCTTCGACTCCTGGTGCATGCGCTGGAGACGCTCGAAGTCAACTTGAAGGGCCTCCGCACCACCAGTGAGAAGCTGGTCGTCCAAAGCGATGGTAGGAGGAATAGCCATCCACCCAGCCGATGCCTCCAGTGATTCGGCATCCCAGGGCATCCAATCGGGCCATTTGACGGATTCCTTGGTGTCGGGGTTGTTTTTGTCCTCGGGGGTCTGAGTCGCTAGGGCAACATCCAAGGAGTCGGGGGTGCTGTCGGACTGTTCTCCAGAGAACATGTCGGCATTCATAAACTCTTCGAAGGGGTCGTAGCCCATTTCGCGGCGTCGGCATTCCGCAAATATGGGCTGGAAGGTGTCGTGGATCTTCTCCAGAGACATCGGGGCGTCCGCCCACGGATCCCTCAGCCCATCAACCTTGCTGAGATCCTTCTGGTTATCCTTGCCCGGTGAAGGCTTGACATTCTTGCCAGCCCGGCCAGGAGTGAGTTGCTGGGTGGATATGGCAGGAGAAGCAGTCTTGGCTCCCAGGACGCTAGCCGCGTGCAACATAGGGGTAGCGGTGGGGGTCACCGGAGCCGGCTTGGCAGGAGAGGCTACACTAAGCTTGTTGGGACCAGATGCAGCTGCTGTGGCGGCCGCCTTGGCCTGCAAGGTCTTCGGGTCAAGGCCCAGGCCAAGGTCGATGCTGTCAAGATAATACTGCATAACGTCCTCAGGCGTCTCTTCTTCCTCCGCTATGTGGTCGGCTCTCATGTGCATCTCCAACCCGGTTTGGGTCGTGTAGCCTTGAAGGTGACGTGGGCACTCGGCAATAGCGCACGTCCACGGCCCTCCTCGAGATAAAGCTGCGGCTTGGGACTTGGCCTCTGCCACGTCCTGCTTGTACTTCGCAGCGGCAACGGGGGTAGCGCTGGCCTGCACGGGAGAGGCACTGGGACCAGCATGGGATTGCTTTCTCTTCTTAGGCGGAGGAAGCTTCAGCTTCTCGGGAGCAAGACCACCGGGGCCATAAGCGTGTGGAACTCCCGAGGGAGACGGCGCTCCAAATGGCGCTGGCGCGACACTTGCAGATTGGCTAGAGGCGCGACGGGCTCGTTGGAGAGCTTCTTCTTCCTGCTGCCGCTGGAGCTGTTGGAGATTGGTCGCGTTCAATGCAGATGTGCCAGGCTGTGTGCTCGGAGGACCCGAGGAAGCAGCTTGTTGTTGCTGTTGGTTGGCGTTGGACCGTTGCTGGTTCATACGAAGCATCATAACCTGGAATAATTTTCGAATGAAAAGAATAGAGCCGGTCAAATAATCCGGAGTGATTGTAAACTGCTCGTTGATAACCCATTCGGCTGAAGGTTTGAACTGCCGCATCAACTGAATTCGCATGGCAAGAAGATTCCTCACGTTCTTCTCCTGGCCTTGCAGCCGGGGAAATCCGTGTAACACCAAGACATCCAATCGACCAAGCACATCCAAAGAATCACGCAACTGCTGAGTCATGATTGCCTTCTGCTCTGGAGAAACAGGTATGGGCTTCGAAGCAGGTGCGTTCTTGGCGATTTCGGTGTAAACCTCCATGACCTTGGCCGGGAGGTTCTTGTTCCAGGCTTCTTCTGCCATCGCCCGGTTGAGAACTGAGCCACGGAATTGCACACTTTGCTGTCGACGGATTTGAGCCTCGACCTGTGAACGCTGCTGCGGGCTCATCTGGGCAATTTGCTCCTGTGTGAACTGAGCACCAGGTCTAGCAGGCCCGCCAGGGGGTGCTGCGGGTTGAGGCTGCTGAGGCATGGCCGTGACGCGAGTCTCGGCAGTTTCATCGGCGTTAGGTCTTTTCTTCGAGGCCTGTTTGGCAGGCGGCACCTTGGTTGCCTTGGCTGCGGCTGCAGTCTGCGCCTTCGCAGGATCTGGTACCTGGGGCTGATGTGGTGTCGGAGGCTTCGCCGACGGGCCGGGCTGGGGTACAGAGACTGGAGGCTGTTGAATTGATTGGTTCGGAGCCGATGGCATGTTTCCTGTCATCTGTGCTCGAGTCTGAGCAGCTTGCATGAGAATCTGTCTCTGGCGGTTGCGTAAGATCTCGCGAATCTGATCGTCGGTGAAGTTTACAGAGTTAGGCCCCAGCTTTTGACGGGCCATAAGAACGTCTTGAGCGGTAATTGGGCGCATGGTTGGCATGTTAATAGGAGGCTGCGGCTGGGCGGGCTGGAAATTTTGTGTGCCGCTCTGCGTGTTTGCCATCTGGGGTTGAACTCCTTTGAAAGGAAGTCCCGCACCCTGTGCATTGGGGTCCTTAGCCTGGTTACTGACAACCTGCGCGAAATGAAGTTTTTGAAGAGTCATGAGTTTCGGCAGATCGACGCCATTCGAGGCTTGTGGATTTGAAGCGGCCCATTGCTTGAGCTGGCCCCAGGTCTTGATGGTCTTCGGCACCTGAGAGGAAGAATTGCTGATAATGGACGGCGGGAAGGGAACCTGGTCCATTTGTTTGACTTGCTCCTGGTTCATCTCAATCCCATTGTTCTGGTTGCGCATGAGTTGCATCTGGTGGAGCTCTTGCTGCCGTTGCCGTTGTTGCTGCTGCTGCTGCTGTTGTTGTTGCTGTTGTTGCTGTTGCTGTTGCTGCTGTTGTTGTTGTTGCTGCGGCGTCAGCTGCTGACCTTGAAGCTGCTGTGCTTGGGTCTGTCCTGCATTCATGCCCGGTTGCATGCTCATCGAGTTCCTCATACGATTGTTTGCCATCTGTCCAGTTGTCATTGCCGGGTTCTGACCGGGTTGCGATGCAGTCTGCTGAAGAGAGCCAGGCGGCTGAGGGGCGTTACCTCGAGCCATGTTGTTTGCCAAGTTGGCGCGGCGCTGCTGATTCAGAAAGAAAGCATTTAGTTGCTCGTTGGTCATCTGCTGTAGCTGGTTCTTGATCTGTGGGGGAAGATTCGGAGGAAGCTGCGGTCTAGCTTGCATTCCAGGCTGCGAGACACTGCCAGGTTGTTGGCCCATGTTTGGTGGACGGGACGGAGGTCGAGATTGGGCAGAGACTTGAGCTGGAGACATCTGACCAGGCATTGGTTGGTTCAACATTGGCATCGCCGGGCTTTGCTGGGGGATATGGGGTTGCGACTGAGGGTTTGCCTGACCACCATGTCCTGACATCGCCATCTGAGCCTTCTGGGCTGCTTGAGCACGAGCCTGTGCGTGAGCCTGGGCTTGGGACTGTTGGGACTGAAACTGGTTGCTGTTTTGCATCTGCTGCTGGTTGAACATATGAGGGTTGACGTTGGCTCCGTTCATGTTGGCTTGGCCGTTCTGACCCATTCCCTGTGGGAACATGTTCTGCTGATTTGGAAAAGCCTGGTGGTTCATTTGTGACGAGCTGGCGGGGACAACCAGCTGGCCCGCTTCCTGCGATCGCAACCCGTCTGCCTGCTGGCCTTGGATATTCTCCACATTTACAGTTCCGATGAAGGGATTCGAAGGATCAAGACTCTGGCCGGGGCTTCCGGAAAAGGCGGAGTTGCGTTGGAGGTTCATCATGTTTTGGAACATCTGAGGATTGTTCATAGGATCACCACCAGCCATCATTCCATCTTGGTTAGGTATTTGGCCACGACCCATCTCCATGCGAGCGCGACGGTGCCTTCTCAGTTGATTCAGTGCTTGCGAGCGGAAGAAATAGGTCAACGGATCTAGATTCTTTCGAGCCAAGTACTGCTGCTGCTCTGGATTCATGTTCGACAGATTCATCCTAATCTTCTCCATGTCTTCGGGCGAGGTCTTCGACTGCATTTGCGAAGCCAGACGGGCCACATGGTCGAGTTCTTGTTGGGAGAGGGTATTCAGATCATCGGGGAGGGGGGCGCCATTGCCGGGGCGTTGCTGGGCTCGCTGTTGCTGTTGCTGCTGTTGATGCTGCTGTTGTTGCTGTTGCTGCTGCTGCTGCTGCTGTTGCTGCTGTTGCTGCTGTTGCTGCTGTTGTTGTTGTTGTTGCTGCTGCTGCTGCTGCTGCTGCTGTTGTTGTTGCTGAAGCATCGCGGCCGATTGTTGTCGACGCTGTTGCATTGCCGCCTGCTGGCTCATGTTGTTCATTCCCATCGCCATCTGTGGCTGGCTCTGAATGGGCGACGTCTGCATGGCCGGATTCATCTGTTGCGGGAAAGCACCCTGGGGTTGGTTCGGCATGGCACCTCCCTGGAGGGACATACCACTTTGTATCGCGACGGCGGCCTGTCTCTGTCGAGTATCCTTGATGTGGAGTAGCTTCTCCATACATTCCTTATCATATTCGGCCTGTGTAGGATCGATGTCAGCATGAAACTACCTCGTCAAGACACGAGCGGAAAGGACGAACACGTTCGTTGGCCTTTTGGAAGGACTTCTGCTCAAAACTCAGCGCGGCCTGGGCGGCCTGGTTGATATCGATCCGAGGTTGGATGAGACGAAGGGAAGTAATCCTATTGTAAATGACAGTCAGCATGCAAAAAGTAAGAACAAGACAAAGGACCAAACAAACATTTGATAAACGTTCATCGCCCGGTTCTTGATCGGAACCTCAGCCTTCCATCCAGTGTACGGTCCTTGGTTCGACAAGACATGGGCGACATGGGCCATGATGGCCTGAGCATTCTCGTTCTTGGGCGGCTGCATGCCCGGCGCGACTGCACCAGGCATGCCCCCGCCAGGGTTGGTGAACTGAGCGGGATTCATGACCGAAGCCCCATTCGATGGGGATCACTGATCAATCCGCGAAGGGGGTGTCGTTGCGATCAGCATTCGCTGGGGCGGTGTGGTCCGTGTCGGGGGCGTGATAAAAGACGAAACGATGACAGTCGCGAGATCGTGAGACGCAGGGTCGGAATACGGTTCAGGTCGCAGATCGGCGGGAAAGGAAAAAAGGAAAGGCGGGTGCTGATGTGGAACCGTACTGAGTTGAGTCGATCAGGGAGGGTGGGGATGAATTCAAAATGACCCAAACGGAAGGCAGAAGAGTGGATGAGCAGCAACGAGCGACCAGCACGGCGGAAAAGCAAGGCGTTCGGGCACCAGCGTTAATTGGATTCAATTCGCTGACAAAAGCCTGGTTGTGGCTTGGAGCGAATGAGGTCGACGGGTGCAATCGTAGGGTGGATGGGATCCGTGACAGGGATGCTGCAGCTCTGAAGTCGCACCAGGCTGTCCCCCGTCGTGTCTGCAGAAGCCGATGGGAGGGTTGGATGAAGCAGCCACGAATTCGGGAGGACACCACGTTCGAGGTACGAACGAGGAAAAGGATGAATATCGACACCGAGTGAAGGGGGGGGGGGATGGGAGGGAAAGACTTGAGGCAGGGTTGGGTCTCAAAAGGTTGTTTCAAGAGTGCACAGGACTCTTTGGGTGGAGGGGCCCCGGGGAAAACGGGCGGAGGGGCAAAGCTGAACAATCCCCCAAAAAAAAAAAAAAAAACAAAAACCAAAGTACAGTACGGCTCTGAGTATGAAGATGAAGAGGAAGAGGCCTAGATGGCTGGGAGAGAGAGAAAGAAAGGGTATTGTAGAGCAATCGCATTCACTGGAAGCTGGTGACGACGAATTGGGTGTATTGGTAAGGCTGTATTGCGCGAGTATTGAAATGTCAAAGGTCACAAGGCCAGGCACAAGAGCCGCGTGATCGTCGATGTTTGAGTAATTTATACGTATTTTAAGTATCAAAGTTACACGTTTGTTGGTCTCGACAATCCAAGTTCTATACGAGAGCTACCCAGGTATTGAGGTATTGAGGTACTGAGCGCATGTTTTCCCTACTGAGGCCATGGAACTATACCGATTGTACTATACAGATAGCTCTAAATCGACTTTTCCTACGTTGTGATGGATATATCTCAACGATTAGTCAACCCTGAGATCGACGTTCTGGACCTGTCCTGATCCGGTTGCCTCAATTGGTCCAATGGGCTCCGCAATTGAGGCGTCACTCAAGTACCGGTACCTGAAATTGCATACAAAATAGCATGATAGAGAAAGTATCGCTACTCCTAGCGCATTGCGTAGCCCCCCGAGCTTAAGTCAGCCACTTCTCCCCTGGAAACGTCAACTGTTCTATTTCCATATTCCCTACTCCCTCCACATTTCTCCGGGTCTTCATCCTCGCCATGAGCAACGGCTAGACACCTCTTCGTTCCTCCCTTCTCCTATACAATGTTTTCTGTCTCTGTTCCGGCCGTCTCCGTGGGCTCCAATGTCTTCTTCGTCTTGGCCCTCTGCTCAATCTCCGTCCTCGTTTTGCTACTCTTGCGCCGCTTTTTGACCATCCGCGCCACTCCAGCCTACATTATACTTCCAATATTCCTGGCTCTCGCCCTTCCCGCGAGCGTCGTTCTCCTAGTCCCCATCGACTTGGCCTCTAGTTCGCGAGATGGCACCGGTATTAAGGCAATCTGGTTGCCGGATCGCGTGGTCCTGGTGTGCTGGCGCATCGCGTACTGGCTGATCTTCATGCTGACCTGGTATGTTCGATTATGCGACGCGACTCTTGTTTGCTTCTAACCGGATATCTATAGGGCCATTCTTCCGCTTCTGGGCGATTATGTCGACTCCGGTTACCGTGAACCCAAGGCCCGCATTCTTTACTCCCTCCGCATGAACGCCCGATACCAATTGATCGTTCTGACATGCGCGACTGTGGGGCTCATCTATGTCTCCATCTCCAATGGCTTTGACTTCCTTACGATCAAGGGCCTGGTGATGGCCCTAGCGTACGTGTGGGGTCTTGTGCTCGCCATCTACCTGATGGGTCACGGCTTGGTCTCGATCCCGCGCAACCTCTTCAGGAACTCCAACATTAGTGGCCGGCTGCGCCGATTCCAGGCTCATGCTCCCAAGGTGCATGAGCGCCTAATGGACGCAGTCAATGAACTGGAAGGGCTCAACTCGCAGGTCACCCAGTTGCAGCAGCGCAAGACTGGCACCGCCCGCGATTTCCAGGAATGGATCGAGGATCTATCCGAGAACCCCGGTACTTCCGATGTCCGCGTCCCGATCCTCGAGTCCGCCGATACATCTGCTACCATTCCATCAGTTATCACGGAGCGCTACTTGGCAGACCTGACAAGGCGACTACAGCGCGCGCGACACATGAAGGCACGGTTTGTGGATGAGTGGGATCGTCTGGTTCAATCCGCTGCGGACATTCAAACCATCATGAACTCGGCCGCATCGAAGAAGCTCGAGTTCGCCCCCTCTCCGCGCCGGTCCTCGTGCCTTCCTAAGATGAAATTTTTGACTCCCTACATGCGTTATCAACTATACTACAACGTTATTCCTACTGTGAGACTCATTTTTGGAGCCTTCTTCGCGGTAGCATCCGTGTGCGTTGTCTGGTCAGAATTGATCAAGTCTCTGGCGCCCCAACTCTCCGCCGTGACTTTGACTGTGGTGCCCAAGTGGAAGGATGAGAAGCCTCTTGGATTTGGTAACCAAGTTATCGCGTCTGCATGGCTGCTCTACATGTGTGCTGCAGCCCTGACAGGTGTCAACGATGTTCAAGTGTGGGGTAACCGGGCCCTCGTGCGCCGCAACACCTACGGCGAGAGTGCATGTTGGTACGCCAGTCTCGTGGCTCGATTGACTGTTCCTATCGCCTATAACTTTTTGACATTCCTTCCTAAGGATTTCCGCCGACGTACCACATTCTACGAGTTCCTCGGCAAGTTGATCAACCTAACGTATCTCGGTACAGGGTTCGACTACATCTTCCCAATCTTTATTCTTCTGCCCATCTGTGCAACTCTCTTCAACTTGTACGGCCGTATCAAGAATATTTGCGGATTTGGCCTTGCAGAAGATGATGAAGTCCACGATGTTGAGAACAACCCCGCCGGATACGGCATGGGCGGCTGGCGTGAGGGCCGCGACTTGATCGAGCGAGAACTCAATGGCTTCGGTTCATTGGCCGTCTCTTCTCGTGGAGGCCGCTCCACCTGGGCTTCTGACCGAGAGGAGGGCGACTCCCGGGGATCATCTCGACTGCGGGTCCCGGCCGCTGAGGGTTCCCGGTCACCTCGAACCTCTCAAGCCCCAAGGCCTGTGACGGCTCCTACCGTGGTTGACGGTGAGGAAGAGGAAGAGAACTTCTTCCAGTCTTTCGCCCACCGTGTGCGCAACACCTTTGAAACTACCAACACGCCGCAGTGGTTCAATGGTGGTGAGCCCCTCCGCTTACCTCGCTGGATGTCTGGTGATAACACCACCACTGAGGACGGCGGTATTAACCGACTGTTTGGAGGCCGGGCTGTGCCTGGTCGATTGCGCCTGGGCTAAGCTTTAGATCATCTGGCTTGAGATTTGTATGTGCATCGATGCGGCGTTTTGGTCTTTCCATTGTTCCGTCCGTATCACTGCTGGACAGTGTAAATAATATCGAATTTCTTTGACTTGTACATATTGATCATGATTATTCGAACATTTTCTTGAATACTTTGGAACATTAAATTAGATAATTTGCTGGCGACTACGCCTGCTACTAACTATGCATGCTTGTTGTCTTCACAACCGGCAAATGGTTTGTTGGTCCCAGGTCATTATTGCCCAGGTGTAGATGAAGGTGGGTCTGGATCGTCCCCGCGCAAAAAAAAATTATCTCCCGTTTGAAACGGGGAAAAAGATTTGCCCTCAGCCAGGATCGAACTGGCGACCTTCGGATGGCAGTCCTGTTAACAGGGCCGTCAAGGTGCGATGCTCACGATATGAGACCGACGTCATAACCACTAGACCATGAAGGCATTTGATGATGCACGTGACGGATTTAGGATCTCTACCCACTTCTAGAATGAATGGGGTGTAGCATAACTCGCGAGGTAAAATCAGCACGATAGCCTTCCTAAATTTGAAGGGAACCCCTATGAGTCTCGCTAGTGAAAAACAGTAAAAGGATGAGGGGAAAAATGAAAGAATCTCTTTGTTAGAAATTGGCCGATCAAGCTAGATGTTTTGTCATATCAAACGTGTGAAGTAAATCGGTCATACTCGAATTGTCTTGCCGTAAATTACAATTCTGGATTCTATGGCAACATAAAATAATTAATAGCTCAGTTTTTCATCAAATGCCTTCATGGTCTAGTGGTTATGACGTCGGTCTCATATCGTGAGCATCGCACCTTGACGGCCCTGTTAACAGGACTGCCATCCGAAGGTCGCCAGTTCGATCCTGGCTGAGGGCAAATTTTTTTGGTTAATTCAAGATATTAATCTATACAATCAATACTTGATCGGTAGTAATTGTTTTTTAGGTCCTTTTGATCGTAGAGGTTGACTACTAATCATTAGCTATTATATATTCCGATTGGACCGTGTCTTAGATGATCCCTCCGGCCTGCCCTGTTCGTTTGACAATTGTACATCCCAACCCAAATTTAGCTATTCCGCTCTTCAAATTTTCCGACGTTTATGGTTGTACTGGTTTAGGATTTGGTTTGGTTTTTATGGGCGAATGTGATGAGTCTGGTCCCTTGAAAGTTGTGGAGCCATCACGGGGTCCCATGCGGCATGAAATACATATATATATTACGTCTTTAACCGATTGTCAACATCAAATACCCACAAAGCAAACCCAAAGACGATATAATCAGAAGCGAGTCCACCCACAATCAAAAAGCATTCAAGGTTATCTCAGCAGCGCAAATCATACCCTCGGCGCATTCGATATGTCCCTTGAGTGTACGTAGAGGTGAGGTTATCATCACATCACCACGTGACGAGGCACTAGAATCTAAACGCAACAATTTAAGTTGATCTGCACAATGTACTGCTATCTATCCTTTGGCTTGAAATCCAATAATACATATTATTTCAGCGCTGTTAACGTGCAAGTGATATCGCCACAGATGGTCTCGGACACGATGTGTCTTGGCCCGATACTACCAGATAGCATTAGGCAGCATCGGGGTGGCACAAGGCACCCGTCGACTTCTCACGAAGATTCCAAGTGATCTGTAAGAAACCGCAAGACCTGCGCCTCTCACAATGGCAAACTGCAAGGCAACTGTAGGGAGTGAACATATAGCGTACCATACGATGGCAAAAAAAAAGTGCGCTCTCCGCCTTGTCTGCCTGGAAGCCAGTTATGGGGGGCATGACTTCACCACCACCTCGGACCAGCTGCCCCTCCAGCGATCCATGACTCTCCTGCCCTCGCCCCTCGCTCAGTCCACCTTGGGTGAGAAGTGCGCATTCTACCTGGACCACGTTACAGACAGTCTCTCGTTCTTGCAGTCACTTCGCCCTCGACTGGACCCTGTTCTGACATACTCGGCCACGTCTCTCCACTCCATCGCGCGAGCGCTGCCATTCGACGCCGACGAACAAACCACCACTGCCTGCGCGGCTGTTCTGATCTGCATAATTACCGTTGCCGTGATGAGTTGGACCAACCCCCTTTCGAACCTCTGGCGCCGCTCGCCCAGCTACGCATCTGCCCCACAAGTTCGCGACGGCGACTTTAGTTATATCGGACCGGGCGATATTGTCGACCCGCCCTCCCAGGGCTACAGCGCCACCGCAGATGAGAATGAGCCTGATATCATTTGTCTCCGACACCGCGGTACGATCTACCCGCTCCACTTCCGCGCATATGCTATCGATGATGGTGTCCTATCCGTTGGCGCACTGCGCCATGAGGCGGCCGCAAAGATGGGTGTGAGCAATCCCAACCAAGTCCGTCTGTTATACAAGGGAAATCTCCTCAAGGATGATTCCCGGGCATGCAAATCGGAAGGATTGAAGCAGCACTCCGAGGTGCTGTGCGTGGTTTCTGAAGTTGGAGCCAACACACCTAGTGACGTCTCCGACTACGACGGCCGAACGAGTGACCCGACAATCCAGCGCCCCGGGTCCTCTTCATCGCGCCTGGACGGCGAAGTAGAGCCGACACGGACGACCAAGAAGAAATCAAAGAAGAAGAACAACAACAACAACAAAAAGAAGAACAATAGACCCGCAGGCGGAGAGGATGCGTTGGGATCATCGACTTCCCTTGCCCCTCCGCAACCCGCGTCTGATCGACCGTCTACCCCTATGCAGCCCCCGAACCTGAAGCTCATCAAGACCCCACTGGAGCAGATTGCTGCCCTGGTTGGATACCTTCAACAAGAACTGATCCCACTTTGTGATGGATATGTGGCCAACCCGCCCACCGATCCTAAGAAGCGGGAATTCGAGTACAGGAAGCTGAGCGAGACCATTTTGGCGCAGATCATGCTGAAGGCAGACGGCATCGAGCCTGATGGCAATGAGACCGTCCGTAACGCGCGCAAGGCACTCATCAGGGAAGCGCAAGCGAATCTCAACCGATTGGACCAGGCCAACAGATAAGACTTGGTCGGATGGGGATGTGTATGTACATTTGACGCGTTGATTTGGGGTGAAGGGTGTTTTCTCTTACACATAGACTATCGATTCTACATACTAGTCCCGGGAACATTTCAATTGGGGTATTATGATCAATGTTTTAGGTGATATCGGATCAGTCCAGCGCTCAGATCGAAGCCAAGCGACGTAGAAAGTGGGGAGATCAACCTTACAGAGTTGACGAACCTAAGAACGTTTTTCCCGAGTGAAATTAGTGGGATCTGAAAGTTGATCAACATGGTTCAGGGGCACCTCCCCGACGCACGGTCCAGGCTTAGGCTCGTCCTGTCACGATCCTGGACTCATTTTTATGAGATAGGGGGAAGGGCAGAGCTAAACGACGCGCCTATGCTTTTACGGAGAGGGTCCCGAGCTGTCAATTCTGTGATTTGACGTGGGCTCCAAGGTTAAGGCGCGTGTCAGATAGAAAAAAAAGGGAAAAAGAAAAAGAGACTCGTTCAACGACTATCGACGTGCTATTCCCAGTTGGGATGGGCCCAGTTCGGTCTCTTCCTTCTCCTCTTTTCTTCTTCCTCTTCCAACTTGGACCTTGGGTCTTGAGTCTTGAGTCTTGTATGCGGTCTTGATATTCTTACATGTCGTGATATCTCTATCCCCTTCCCGCTCTATCCCCCGCATCGTTTTCCCACTTCCCCTCCTCCATAGTCGCATCGCACGATCTGCCCCAACCTCCCCCCCCCCTCGTGCCTCTTAACCACAAAGTTGAGAACAAGTTGAGAAAACATCCTCACGTCTTGTCTCGGTTGAGGTACCTTGGAGACATCCCGAACCCCTGCCCTGACCACGGGGTGTTCCCACGGAACCAAAGCACGCGGTTCCAATATACCCACCCGTGGATCGCTACCGGCTACCAGAGTCCCTTGAATCTGTAGGTGGCGCCCGAGACTGCTGCAGCTTCAGCCCCCCTGCAGTCTATTTACAATTTACTGCTTTCGGTCCTTTCCCCACCGTGTGCGGCCCACCCCCCTTACCACGGAGAGCCTGCAATCCCTCGGGGTTCACCATTCCGACTTTTGGTTCGCGACGCGGGACTTCGGCAAGAGCCTGTGATGGCTTAATCGATACACACGATACTCGTTAAAGCGAACCTGGTCTTCACCCTCGTTTGCTTTCTACATTGAAGCAGGTTCCAGCTGGTCTGGCCTCAGTCTTTCCCCCACAGCTCCCCGAAAACCGTTGTAATGGCGGGCGTGGCCACAGCGTATTCAACCGATGCCTTGAGCTCGTCCGGAGGCTTGGATAGCGAGAAATGGGACTTTGCTGTGCCGATCCCCAATGATGTAGGTTCTTCTTTCTTCTGTAATCTTCGCTCCAAGGATATTTCGGGGTTGGATGAAGCTGGGAGGAAATCTTTGTGCTGATCGTCATTTTTCTTTTCACAGGGCACTCAGCATTCCTCGAAACCGCGAACCTCCCACGATTCGAGCTCGGCCCGGGCGACATCCACTCGGCAGCGCAATTCGAATGGCTCTCGAAGCTCCTCCGTCTCTCGAAACGTCCACGATGGCTCCTACCCTGCCAGTCGAGTCCGACGCGAACCCAGTATAAACAGACATGGGAGCGAACTCAAAACCGCCCTAGATGACCCGTCTCGCAAGGAGTACGCAGAGGGTCCGGACGGCTGGGGGATGTATTTTCCAGAAGAATTGAACCACGAGAATTGGATTCATCGGGACAAGCTGGCAAAAATCGAGAGCGAGGAGCTTCACCAGGCTGCCATCATGTTCCAACGGCGGATGACGGCCGACAGCAAATCAAGCGCAGGGCATGGGCGGTACAACGACCCTCACCATAGCGGTGCTCCTGCATCGGTTTCATCGCCCAATGCAGAGCACTCGGAGCCCTGGCCTGAACTACGGGAGGAGCGGAAGACCTATGATGGAGAATATGGCGATGAACGGCTGAACTGGGATCTTCGTCGCCCTGAGGAAATTGCCGCAGACGAAGCAGCTTCCAGCATCTACAGCCACCCTGGCCTTCGAAAGAGCTCTTCGCGAATACCCATTTCAACAGCTAGCCCAGTGCCGCTCATGTCGGGTCGGGATTCTCGCGGACCTCGAAGCCGTGCGGCCACAGACGAATACGACGACGAGGATAGCAGAGGTCGCAGAGCAAGCGAGCCTACGGGTGAAGGAAATCCCCACACCCCTTCGCCAGGAGGTCGACCGGGCAGCCGTGGCTTCAGCACTACTCAAAACACGCCAGCCAAAAAGACACAGGCAAAGGCGGGATCAACCACCCGGAAGACATCTGCTCCACCTACAAACAGGAAGACGTCGGCTGCTAGATCGCGTGCGGTCTCAGGCAATGCGTTGCAGCGACCTGGCACTCGATCTGGCGAAAGCCGGCCTACTACTGCGGCCAACCGACCCGAGGGCGACCCACCGTGGCTGGCAACGATGTACAAGCCTGATCCTCGTCTTCCGCCTGACCAGCAGATGCTTCCCACTGTTGCTAAGAAGTTGCAACAAGAGCAATGGCAGAAAGAGGGACGAACGCCCAACACGTATGACCGTGACTTTGCACCCCTTGCTGTCTACCCTAACGATTTGCCTCCTGTTCCACCCAAGGTCGAGGAGCCTCCGATGCAGGAGAAGCCGAAGACCCCAGAACCAGAACCAGAACCAGAAACAGAACCAGTGACTCGGCCGAATACGAGCATGGGATATAGCACAATGCCCAAGGTGCAAGATACGCCTCCATTAGGGCTGACCCCCAACCCCAATTGGAATCCCCCGGTGGTCTCCGCCCAGGAGCCGCCGAAGAAGGAGAAGGGATGTGGATGCTGCATTGTGATGTGATGGACGTTCATTTCTCATCCTCTACCAAGTTTTTCTTTGTGCCCTTCTCTAAACCCCGAGATACCCTCGTCACTTGCACAGACCCCTTGATCTCCTTTCTCTTCATTGCCTATCACTCTTGTTTTAATCTCCGTGGGACGGTGTTCAGTCGGATTGTGATTTTTTTTGCTAAGACCAAAGGATATTTGGTCTCCTTTACCCGAAAATCCTTTTAATCTGGTTTTTTCCCACCGGAGCATGGCGCCCCTCATGCATCCACTCCTTCTCTTCTCCTGTCATCATTTCTCCCGACTTCTAGCCAGAAAGGCAGGAAGCCAAAAGAGACACCGTCTCCAGCAACGGGTCATTACCCGTGTACATTTTCTGCCTACATCTTTTTGACTTCTTTGTGTTCATCTTTATTATGCCTGTTTTGCGGACATTTGCTGCCACTTTTGCCAGATTCCCAAGCCTCGTTTCAAGCGGTTCTGTTCTCACTTTCCTTATTTTCAGTTGACTTGAGTCTGGTGTGCTAGAGCTAGCCTATCAATCAAAAATCATATAACCGGGAACGGAGAGTTTAGTAGATCGATCCGATGTATGGAACCGGGTAGCACGCCACATGCATATTCGACCCCTGTCTATTGCGTGCTCCAGCATAACCCAAGCAGCCTTGTCAATAAATCCCGAATACTCTCGAATGACCACTAACGCCCCATCAAACATACCTCGGTACACAGGTCCATAGCTACGTATCTTAGAATCTACTTCGAGTACAAGCCCCACAGGTTGCACGCTGACCAAGCGAGCATCACCTGACATCATAGCGGCAAACGATGACAGAATCGCCGCCTCTCGCCCCCTCACGCTTATCCATCTCCCCTCCAATTTATAAAGAGACCGCGAACTCCCTCGGTTTCTTTCGTTAATTTCGCCCACCATTTCGTTCATCTTCCAGCGTCTCTTCGGCTCCTTCGCCGCTCCATCTCCCGCCGCCATGTCCGCCGCTAAGACCAAGGCTCAGACCCTCATCAATGAGAACGGCGTCGTCGTCTTCTCCAAGAGCTACTGCCCCTACTGTACTGCCACCAAGAAGCTGTTGACGGAGAACGGTGCCAAATACACCGCACTCGAGCTTGACCAGATTGGTGAGTGAATACTTGATTCTAGTGGCTTGCGCTGCACCTTATATTTTCTTTGAGCGCGGAGAGTGGTTGGGCTTTTCTGTTGCCCGGGCGTCTTTGGCTCCTTCCCCCGGGGCTCCTGTGCTTGATCAATGCGCTGTATTTTTTTTTATAATATTTGGCTGCATACTGACTTCGTTTGTTGCAGATGACGGCTCTGCTATCCAGGACGCTCTCGAGGAAATCACCAAGCAGCGCAGCGTGCCCAACATTTTCATCAACCAGAAGCACATCGGTGGAAACTCCGACCTTCAGGGCAAGAAGAAGGAGCTCCCTGCCCTGCTCAAGGCTGCTGGTGCCGTTTAAAGATGATTGCCTTTTAAGATAGATCCAGGCTCGGGGTACGGTACTCGAGTCTTCATAATTGCACAGCCTTGCATCTGCACATACTTTCCATGGTCCTTCAACCTAAAAGAAATGATTGATTCCAGATGACTTTGAACACTGGTTTGAGCTTGTAGTGAGTCGAGTTGGAGGTATATGCTATCTTCTTCGGGAATCCCCGAATCGAAGTAAAATGCAGAACCGCGTAGATAGTACAGGCGGGAAAGTAATAACGACACGAACAGAAAGCCACGGCCATAGTAGTACAGCTCACACACAATCTAAACAACCCTCTGCACAAGCGTTCCAACAGGCCGCTCAACAACAGCCATCAACCCATCAACAATGTTTTTCCGCGCTCCATCACTAGAAACCGTCTTTCCAGCAAGATAATTCAACCAAACAAGCCGACTCACCCGCTCGTCCGCAACACGGCCCATCCACTTCGGCGACTCCTTAGGATCAGCCTGGAACAGCGCATCCAAAGCGCCGTGCGCATTACGCAGCAGAACCAGAGTCTGTCCCTTAGGCACATTCTTCTGCTGCCCGCCACCGAAAACAGCCTTGAAAGTATTCACTGATGTCCCGAACTCCACATCCTGGAACTCACCAGGAGTCGTAGACCCAGGAAGCGGCTTCTTCGTCTGCGCGCGAGCAGTAATTCCGCGGACCCAGGCGTCGCGCAGGTGCCCGAAGTCAGTGTTGCGGGTTGGAACGATGCGGAACACTGTGCGAATGCCATCTTCCTTCAACACAGCGTTCCAGGCTGCCTCGCCGCGCTCGGCGTCCAGGAGGAGATCCTTCAGCTGGGCGCGCTCAGGCGAAACAAGGGATGTTGCGGCGTCGGCACCAGTTCCAGGGATTGCGGCGTCATCGTCAGAGGGAGGGTGCATGGCCGTGTGCACCAGGCGCCTTTGTAGTTCTGTGATGTCGGACTTGGCGACGTACATGCCGACGACGTAGACTTGGATTCCAAGGAATGAAACGGTGCGGATACCCAGGCCCAGAAGCTGGTAATCGTCGCCTCCTTCAGTAGATAGTGCATCACCGGCTTGCTTGTTTTCTCTTTCTGAGTTTGAGGGCAGGCGAATCGTCGTCGGGAAATAAGGGACGGTGCTGTTTCCTGTTGCGACCTGTTCGATGTTGACGAGGTCTTGGCCTTTTAGGGGAATCACTGAAGGACCGCCGTCAGCCGGGAACCCGGGAGGTCCATCCATCTTCAGTGCGCCGTTCGTCGTGGCCTTGATGTTGTTCTCGTCCGGTCCGGCCTCGACTGCTTCCATCCCGAACACGTCCATTTTGATCACGCCGTACATGCTAGCTGCGCAGAGAACCATTCCTGCCGCTGAAAGGGCGATCGACCGACGTGCGCCATCTTGAGCGCCTTTTGCGCGCGAGCGGAGAGGGTTGTTGCCGGCTTGGCCGGTAGATCGGAGGATGTTGCTCGTGGAGAGGTAGCGGGTGGGTTGAGGGTTGTGGATACGCTGGCGGGCGACGCCCTGGCAGGTTCGCCAGGTATTGGATCGGAGGACTGACGCCATGGTGTGTACTTGGTGTACTTTGTAATGGGAGGACGGTGAGCGGTTGATGTCGGCGTTGGAGGTGGATGTGGGGATACACGTGATATGGGCTGATGTATATAGAGATATCATTAAAAGCTCCTATAAGCTCTTCAAAAAAAACCGAAACCTATCTTAAGCAGATATATATCAATAAGATAAATTAAAATTCGCGGCTTCCCTGGATGGCAGAGTTGGTTAAACGATGACCGCGGGATGGAGACCAAACCTTTGTGTGAAGAGAATTCTGAGAAAGGCCGACTGCTGGTGCCCTCCTTATACCAAATCACAGATTCAAATCCGCAGAAATTTTAAGAACTATTTCTCTTTAAGAACATATTTTAGATACTTTAGATGTTTGACAGTATATCTGCTTGATTGTTGTTTGATGAAAATTCAATGTTGTGTTGAGCTTTGGGGGTGGATGAAAGTACTAGGGTTGGTCTAATTATCTCGAGCTCATTTCGAATGATTTTTGAGCTCACTGGAGGCTCTATAACAAAGACGTGGGCTCGAATTCAGCTACTGGCATATATTTTCTTCATCATTTTTCTACTATTATGTTTGCTGGACGAGAGCTCTAGTGTTTCACTTTTTATCCAATTGACGATGGCGGAAAAGATGATAGATGATTATTCAAATGTTGTGAATCAACGAACTACCACTTTGTAAGAGCCCCCATACACACCAAGTATCGCCGTATCATCCGCATAGACCACGTCCCTCGTCACCCGGTCCCCATCGATTGTGATTGACGGTTTCTTCGACGCAGTAATATATGGTAGAGTAAGATTCCCCAGAGTGCCACCAGGAACAGTAAAGTCCAGGGTGTAGTGATCCGACTTCTTCGTCCAAGAAGCCTGGAACTTCCCAAGGTCGGTCACAAAGCCTGCTTGAGCAAAATCCAGATCCGCAAACTGCGGCGAGATAGACCATGTCATACCAAGCGGGGAGCTGACCGAGAGACCGACAATATACTCGGTCAATGCAGAAGTCGGACCAGATGACCATCCGTGCGAATGGGAAACGTAGGAAGCATCGTAGCCATACCCTCGGCTGCTGCGGTATCCAAAGGTTCCGTTTGCAAGATACCCTTCAATAACGGTACTCTCTGTACCGTTGGGGTTGTTGATATACCAGCCCCAGCTACGGCGGATAAGGTCCAGTGCCCGGTCAGGCTTCTGGACGACAAAATGACTTTGGATCTCAAAAGATGAGATGAAAGAGGCGATATTGTCTGGTAGCTCAGGCGCCACAGCTCCAATCGGTGTCCAGTTTTCGGTGAGTTTATCGGAAATGCTAGCTGCGCGTACGGAGTCTACAACGTTGAAGAGAATTGCCATGCTGTTTGCATCTTGAGGGTGGAGCGTTGTGTCGGTTGCGTTGTCCTTGAAGGCGCCATACGATTCATCCCAGCAGTAGGTGTTGATGGCAGTCTTGAGCTTTTCTGCTCTTGAATTCCAAGTATCCGAGAGGTTTGTTGAGTCCTCGGCCCACGACGCAAGAGTTGCACCAGTTCGCAGAGTATGGTATAGTCTAGGGACCGTTAATTGCTGTATTTTCACACAAGGGCCTTCACCTACATCATCTGGGCCTCGGTATTGTTGTATCCCTGCTGCCAGCGGGCCCAATCGCGGATACCTGTCACGTTGAGGAGACCACTCGGATATGTCACCTTGCCATAGATATAGTTCATGGCATGAAGATAACCGTCCCAATTCTCCTGGAGGAAGTCGGTGTTGTTGGTATAAAGCACGTAATTGTAAGTGCCAATCATGGACCACATATGGTAGGTATCAGAGCCTGTTTGGCTAAGTGGGGGTCCAGATTCGGCAAAAGCACCTGTTGACTTGTCCTGTTTGGATGATCAGTATAGAGTCAATAATTTCTCTCTGGAAGAATAAAAACAAACCTGTGTGTCGTACATAATTTGAAGAGCATACTTCACGCTGTCAAGATCTCCTAAGCTCACAAACGTTGACGGGACCGCGATGCCCATATCGCCAGGCCAGACAGCGCGGTCTCTTTTCGCACCATCGACAATGATCGTATCGCCTGGTCCAAGAGTTCCATTGTTCAACCATCCGGACTTCAGCCCACTGGTGATTCGTCCAGTATCAACCGGCACTTGATTGCTTTGCAGTGTGTAGGCGCCACTGTACCAGATACGATTCAACAGCTCATCACTGCAGTGGAAGTAACCTTGATACGCGCGAAGATTGGACCAAGTCGGTTGGAAGTCCAGCTCAACACTCAAATCGCTCAGCTCCACGTCCACAGAGCCATTGGTGTTCAAGAAGACGGTCAAGTACCGGAATCCTCCACGCAAATACCGATCAGGCATGTCGTAGGAGTGCTTTCCAGGTGAACTGAAATTTGCATACAAGGCACCATCATGGTACAGACTATTCGAAGAGTCCGACCACTCTCCGATCCAGTTTTTGGCTTCACTGAATGCGAGTCCTAGTGCCCCACTTCCGCTGGAACTATACTCCAAGTGGACGATGCCTCCGACTTCTTTGCCGAAATCGAACACCACCAAAGAGCCATTGCCCTGCAATGTTGCGGTTGCTGGATGGGATGAAGTGGTCCTGGCATTTCTTTTCAAGTCAGAGAGAGTTGACACAGGTCTGACTGTTCGCGACGACGGCGCATATATATTCTTCTCCCAAGCTCCGCTGAAAGCACTGTCTGTAGGACCGGAACATGAAGTGTTGCGCCAACAACTTTGCGCATTAGTCAAAGTCAGGAGTGAACCGAGGCCCACCAATAGACTGGACCAGTACGCTCGTACCATCTTCAGTTTATACAAAGCAAAAGTGGATGTGATTGCATACAACAATAGCGACCCACAATAACGCGCTACATATAGTCCCCAGACGATTGAGGGGAACTTCTGAAAACGAAAAAATCTAAATAAGAAAGAAGTTTTCGGCATCAACTAGCACGAGTTATGAGTTCAGTGCCATTTGATCCGGCGTGGACAGTTGCGGAGTTCGTGCGTAGCATGGTACTCATTGGTGGAGAATCCCCACCCCAAGCGATATTGACATCAGCCAGGATCGGGGTAAGGATCGGCGCAACAAGCACTCCAGTGGCTTTGATGGCTTGATTGCCGTGGTAATTACAAAAAGCTCCGGTGGTTTTCCCCGCAATTGCTTTTCTCCGCAGCCAACGTCGGCGCAAAGATGCCCGAGTTGATGTGGAGAAAAGCGAGTCTGGAGCATTTGCTAGTATAAAGCATTGACTCCGCATAGAAAACAAATTCGCTCATTTCTAAGCCTGAGCTACCATGCAGCTACTGAGGATCTCTTTAGTGCTCTATGCAGGATTCCTGGCAACTGCAAATGCAGCGGTCCTAAAAACGGGGTCGAATGTTTGCACAGTCAAGGCTAATGGCCACCAAAAAGACGACGTTCCAAATATTCTCAAAGCATTCCATGAATGTGGCAATGGCGGCACAATTGTATTTCCCAAAGACCAGTCATACTGGATTGCGACCCGCCTCAACCCCGTCGTCAGCGACGTCGTAATTGAATGGCATGGTAAATGGACTGTAAGTCACTACAAGTCATCCTTACAGTTTGAAAACTAATTTCTCAAAGTTCTCCGATGACCTGGATTACTGGCGCAACAACTCGTACCCAGTTGCCTTCCAGAACCACCACGCAGGCTTTATCATCACAGGCCATAACATTACAATTGATGGATACGGTACTGGTGGAATTGATGGCAATGGAAATGTATGGTACACTGCAGAAAAAGGCGATACCCAGCCAGGACGTCCGATGCCCTTCGTTTTTTGGAATGTATCTGAGGTCAACGTGGACAATTTCTACATCAAGGACCCGCCGCTGTGGAGCTTGAATATTATGAACGGAACAAATATGCGATTCAACAATATTTACGCCAATGCAACTGCTGTTGACGCACCTTATGGTGATAACTGGGTCCAGAATACCGATGGATTTGGTGAGTTTCGTCGATGTACTGTGGCAAGGCGCCAGCTAACAATTTGCCATAGACACAATGGATGTTGAAAATGTCCAACTCACAAACTTTGTCTACCAGGGTGGTGACGACTGCATTGCAATCAAGCCTCGCTCTTACAACGTCGATATCCGCAACGTGACATGCCGCGGGGGGAATGGTATCGCCATTGGCAGCTTGGGCCAGTATCTTGAAGACTCGAGTGTGGCTAATATTCGCATTGATGATGTGAAGATCACCCGATATAATGAGGATATGCACAACAGTGCCTATATCAAGACATGGGTCGGAGCCCAGGTGCCCCAATCCTCGTACGAGAGTGCTGGCCTACCAAATGGTGGTGGGTGGGGAAGTGTACGGAATGTTCTATTCTCGAACTTTCAAATCGATGGTGCAAGTGCTGGACCCGGTATTTCGCAGGATAGTGGTAACAATGGCTCCTATACGGGGACGAGTCTCATGAGCATTTCAAATATTGCCTTTATCAACTTTACGGGTACTATTGATACCAGTAAGAGCACTGTTGCATCTGTTTCTTGCTCAGAAGTGCATCCGTGCTACAACATTGACTTTGAAAATGTGGTCCTGTATCCGGAGAACTCCACGACAGTGGGAACAGGGACCTGCAAGTATACGGCGGATGGTGGTGTGCATGGTCTCGATGGATGCTAATTAAGCATAATAAGATAGGAGTGAGACCCAAACAGTTTTTAATTTCCATCTCTAAAGCCTGTCTTTGTTCATTTCCAGAGAGAAAAAGCGTATCTCCACCCAAACCAGGCAGCTCCTCCAACTGCCACCCAGCTCAGGACACCTTTCGTGACCATAATGCCCTTGATAATCGCAAATGTCTTCTTCTCGTTCATCTTAGGGAACTCTGTTCCTGGAACATCCTTTTCCAAGAATGCGCACAACGGGCCCCAGCCATCCTCCGCTTTGAACTCTAGATGCGAGCGTCCCCTCTCCTGCACAGCCATCCTCACCGAATCATTATACTGCTCATACATCGAAGCAGTGAAAATATTTTTATCCCGAAGATCATAAGTCTCATCACACCAGTCAATAATACGCATATTAAGTTGATACCACAATCGATCCGTCTTCCACAACAACCCACATCCATAGAACCAAGGGCTGAAGAAAAAGCTCAAACTGTCGAAGCAGCTCTTAGCCCAAGTTTCGGCATTGGGTCGGCTACTGAGGACCACCTTTGCGTCGGGGAACATGTCCATCAAATCCGGGAGGAAAAAAATAGCTGGCATGTCGCATACCGCGGCATAGCCGTCCACGAGCTGATGAATGAGCTTTTGTCGCCGAGCGGTATCTTTTTCACGGGATGCGTCAAGAAGAAGTTGTTGTCTATTAGCATGTGGAATAATCTGTGCCATATGCAAGCATGGGTCGAAGCCCAATTGTTCTAGGGCTGCTTGGAGTGATGATGTTGCGGTGCGAGGGAGCCCGGCTCCGATGACGCGGAGGGAAGGGGTCCCCGTTGGAGCTATGCGTGAATCGGTAACAAAGCGGACCATTTTGGAGGTCAAATTTTTGTTTCAGTGTCTTCAAAGTGCAAGTGTGTTATAGTTGTAGTTCGTCGTTCCATCTGACGTCAGCAACAGGAACTCAATTATTCATGATCACTTGGCAAGACAGGGAATCATAAGGCAGAATTTATGAGGCATAGACTCGAATACGCTTATTACTCAGATTTGATTCTGTAATTTTCAACTGAATGCGTGTCTCGGTGGTTAGTGCAGCAATGCGATTGTGAATCGTTCATAGAAGAGGGAAGAAAACATGACGTCATTACTCCCAGCTCCGTCCAAGCTTCACCAACTCAATTGCTCTCGTGCCTGTACTCTTCTTTCCCTATCTAATTTCCTCCACATCAAACATAATGTCCGAATCATTCGCTGTTCTTCGCCGCCGTCGCTCCGACGAGCTCGCTAAACTTGCCGATGAGCATATGCAGCATGACCTCCAGGCCGACGATCGCGACAAGCTAAAGGCGGCTGCCAGTAAGGTATCCCTGTGGACAACGGTTGGATCGGCAGTCGGTATCTCACTTGGGTTGTACGCTGCGATCCGACTCCGCAGCACTCGCAAGGCATTCTTCACTGCCGTCCGTGCGCAAGAAAGACCAACCAAGGTTGTCTTCGCTGACGGCCGTACTGGTAAGTTGAACCGTGTCACACACAGATGATTGGGTCTAATATGTAGATTAGAAGCTATTCCGGATCTGACACCACTGCTCAAACCCACAACCCTCGGTGACTTTGCGACGTATTTCTTCGCCTCGGCGGGTGGTCTGTTCCTGGGTGGAGAGCTCGGTAAGATGTCTCATTGATCGTCCTTGAATGCCAACGGTACTGACAGGTTTTTTCTGAAGGATTCCTTGCTGGCTCAGCCAGCGCAGCTAGCAATATCACGTCTGACCCTGAAAGCCGGAAGAGAATTGAGACTGCTTTCAGGAAATTCCGAGCCGATGTGCTGCGGAAAGAAGCGGATGCTCTGGACAAGGGAGACAAGATGGAGGACATGATGTTCTAAAAGCTCTCTAGACCAAATTCTGAACTGGACAGAGAAGAGGCCGCTAATAGAAAATACAAATAAATATCAAACATAAAAGGGACGAGTCGTAGTCTTTAAAGTCATGCTTTCTTCCCTCAATACTACTGCCCCAAGAAGAAACCACTTGATGATGCTAGAATAGCTCTGGGTTCTAGGCGAGAACATTCGATCTCAGGTTCACCATGTTGGCCTGCTATAGCGGAGCCTTAGGTACGGGGATTTGTGTAGGGCAGAGACTAACGCCGATTCGTATAAAGCCTAAAAGGACCCCAATTTCTGGCCCAATGGAAATGGGTTATACATTTGAAAAGGACTTGTCGTCGTCGTTTTGATTATAACCGAAAATGTTGCCTAATTTAATGAATGCTGCTCAAGTAAATCCGGACTTTCCTCAATCAAGGCGGCAGATGATACGCGGAGTTTCCGCTTTAGGATATTCACCGCTCAGTGGCGTCACCTTTCTTTCTTGCCGCGCGGGACTTCCTTCATTGATCCCTATACATACCTAGATATTGACTGATGGAGTTGACTTTCTTGGTTAGTCGTGATGGGAAGAATCTCAAGCGAAGACAGTCACGGGGCGCGTGTGCCTGTTGCCGCCGAAAAAAGGTACCGTCGTTCCAAACGGCGTTAACTATGGCCAAAGGGGAAACTGACAAGCTTAGAAACGATGTTACCACAACGACCCTAAATTGCAAGCATCCACACAGACCCAATTACTGAGCACGTCGGATGCAGCGGATGACTCGGTTGCCAATCAAGAAGGCGTAGAGCGAGATCCAGCGACAACAGGCACAGCTACAGTACTGCAAGACGAACGACCGCAAGCTACTCGAGTTGGAGAAGTTGATGAGCAAACACTCAATAATCCTGGCATTCCTAGTGTGCCTGCATCCACAGAAGAAGATGAAGAAGGAGAAGATTCAAGTTCTCGTCAGTTCGCGTGCGACTCGAATCCTGTTGTGACCTTTTTGGAAGAGGAAGGGTCAAGATTGGAAAGAGGTCGATCACACAGAGGAGACGTGGGAGGATGGTTTCGCTATGAGAACGCCACTTCACATAGAGAAGAGCCCTGTGGCTCTTCAATAACGACACAGAGTCGGCCACAAGGGCCGGAAATTGCCGGTCTAGTGCCCTCGAAAAATGATCAAGAGGCATTGATGAACATTTACTTTCGTCGCATACATCCTATACTGCCACTCTTGGATGAGACCGATATCCGCGCTAGCTTCCAAGAAAATACGCTGTCTCCTCGCCTTATCCAGTCGATCTGCCTTGTTGCATCGAAGGACCGAAGTGCGGCACCTTTCTTACGGTTTGGCCAAGATCTAGCCGTTCTCACAGTCGAGAAATTCAGCAACATCCTCTACCAAGTTATTATACAGAATATGACGAGAAAGGCTGAAAGAAAAAGGGTGACCGCGATACAGATTCTAGCACTGTTGTCCCTCCACGAATGGAGACCCACTGGATATGAAGATTGCTCTTTGCACTTGATGCAAGCCATCCATCATGCTCAGACAATAGGCCTGCACTTAGTAAGGCCTGGCGACCAACAGTCTTCAACTTCACTAAAAGCTTTGTTTTGGTGTTTGTGGAGCCTAGACAGATGGAATGCTGCCATGAATGGAAGACCAGTAATGATTCATGACCGGGACATAGGCCAGAAAGTAGATGACGTTCTTCCGATATTTAAATCACCATTTCGCACATGGCTTCGCCTTACTGACAAGCTTGGCGAGGTAATTCGATTCTACCGACCAATCGTGGATGGTATTGATGAACAGGAGCTTGATATTCCAAGCTTCGCGGAGCTTGTTGATGGCTCCAACGCGTGGGACACTCCCCTAGATTTACTCGGTATTGAGAAACTTTTTCAAATTAAAGACGAGAATCTTGACTGACAGTGAAAAGAAACCCTAGATATTCTTTACCACGGAGTTGTTATTCTTTCAACATACTCAAAAAGATTGCAAGGTCGCTCACGACCGAGGATGGCCATCATCCGTCAAAGCCATTCAATCTTCACGATTGCATCACTCATTCGCAAGCAAGATATACAAGATTTTCTCCCTGTGCCCATGGCAGCCTATGTCCTATCACTTGCCTTCTCGATTACATATAAACAGATGAGAGAAGAAAACTTACCCAGTGCGCGGCAAACAGCGAAAGAGCACCTTCACTTGTTTCATCAATGTCTCAAGACCTTAGGTTCAACGTGGTGGTCAGCTTCTATAATGGCCCGCTTGGGAAATCGTGTGTTGAGTGACACCCAGTGTGGAAGTAAACTAGAACAATCTATTGATCAAAGACGATCAAGCTCCCGGGACATGTCAACACGTTCAATCTCTCATCAGACTCTTCCAGATGTCCACCATATGTCGCACTCCGGCATCGGCCTTCCGCAAGCTTTGGAAGAAAATGAAGGGACAAGCATGAATGTGAACTCAGTCGATCACCACAATATCGGATCAGACCTTTCGACCAATTTCCACGGTCTCCTTGACAGCCCTGATATGATGGGCGGCAACATTGAGAATTTTGACATGTTCTTTGATAATTTCCCCGATATCAACGTTCCCAGGTCTGCCGGTGATCAATCATTCTGGGATTTTGAGATGCTCGACTCCTGACCTAAGCTTAACCTATTGGTCACATGTACACACTCTGGTGTCTTAGGAATTACAATCAATTATTCATATTTCCCCATAGATCAATGGTTTTATAGAAGCCGTTCTGCTGCAGTCTTCTTAGAGGCCGGTTGCCTAAAAGATTATGCCACTAAGTCGTTCTCCACAGACTCATGTATGCGAAAATTGAATGTCGGGAGCCTCAGTTTTAGGGTTCTGGCCGCTCTTCTGAGAGAATTCTCAGCGCGACTACACCGGATCAGCCTAACCTATTAAGGAAAGTCCGACAAAACTTCGAATTGGCGACTCCAAGAAGTGGCCTACTTAAGAGGATGCACGGAAAAATCGCTCTAGAATATTTCTAGCAAGATATCGAGTCAACATTTGAAAGTACAATTCCCTTCGCTCTTACAATCCCAACGATGTTCAGCAAGTTCACTAAAAACATTTCAAACTACGATTTAAGGTATGATTACCCGCAATACCTATATAGGTAACCGATAATCTTTTGCTCAAAGGCTCTAACTTCCTTTGTCTTTCTCTCGGCTATCAGACTCGATCGTTCATGCATATTCATTTCAACAGAGTATGGTGTGGAGCCTGACTCGTCTATAACCGGAAGGTTCTCATTCAGCCTATCACAACCCACTTTGATAAAAAGTATTGAGGTGAGGGTGCAGGGAATGTTAGAAATGTGAGGCGACCTGGGAATTCAAATTGCAAGGATACCAGATATCTAATACTCACAGACCTCGTGACGAATTCTTGATATCAAATGTCCGTCGACAAATCACCTTTGAAAGAAGGCAACCTATAGCTGCATCGAAAACCCTCAATTCATTTACATTACCGACCGGGAACTATGAGTTCCCCTTCAAGATATGTATAGGTAGCTCTGCTACCGAGACTATCACAGGGATCAATCATGAGTATCATTCCTACAAGGTGCAGGGCGTCATAGAGCGCCGCTTCGGCAAAGACTTTGTCGTCTCACAGCCCATTAGAGTCTACAAATACTTGGGGCTTGAGACTAATCATCCATGGCCAAGCTTTCCTGAGGTAGGTGCTGGCTTCTTTCTCACCACTTTGATCATAACAACTCAAACTATGTAGTCTATCGAAAACCAGCGGGATGAGAATATCCACTACAACATTTCAATCCCCGATCGGAATATCCCCTTCGGCTCCAGTTTCCCGGTGGAATTTTGGCTTACGCCATTGTCAAAAGACATACAGCTAGCAGCGATTGAAATCCAAGTTCTTGAGAGACACAGCCTCAGAATTGAGGCAACCGCTGCAGAGTCAGTACGAAGTAATGTTCATTTTTTGACCTCGAGAAGAACCTACGTTGTCTTTAGTGAGAGGCATGATCTCACGGTCGAGAACTATGAGACGCCAAACCCGGAATTTTCGGACGTTGAGTGGCGCATTACAAAGCCTGTTCATCTACCTCTGTCGATGGACGCTTGCTCACAGTCAATTCGACTAGAAATTATCAAAATTGCGCACGTTTTGACCACTACAATTGAACTGCGAACTCTGGAAGGGTGTATATCGACAGTAAGTTAGCAAAAAGGAATCATCGGCGAGTATGAAAGCAGGAACTTACTTCAAATCAGATTACGGAATCCATTCCGTTTGATATTTTCATGTCCCCTGATGTTGTTGGGGAAAATGGAGCTGTCCATGGCCAAGATATCGAGCAGTCTCAAAGCAAGAACATTCCTCCTCCTCCCTACGGAGCCCATACCATGGATCTCGCGGTACAAGATTCCTTGGAAGGCCGAGGAGATAGTGTTTACGGGAATCAAACAACAACAGGTATAAACATTGGGCAGCTTCCGGACGAACAAAATCATACCTGCCAAGTCTTGGAAAATGTGCCCAGCTACGAAAGCGATGTTTGTATGGTCACTTGACTTCGTGGAAATGTATTGTCTCTGCCTCTCTATGGTTGTTGGCCCATAATTTTTACGAGTGCTGTACTTATATTCTAGCTTTGGATCATGTTAAGAAACTCTTGAGATGGAGAAGCAATGGGTGTGCTATTCCCGACATTGAGATACCGAGCTTTTTGAGCTTTTAAATTTACTAAATTTATTCCGAAAACAAGTTCCCCGAATTGGAAAGCATAGTATATAGGCTCTTATTATCGAGTTCAAAAATTATTTGCAGGTCAGTCTAGAGAAGACCATGAGCTCCGTTCCCGCCAATTAAAGGGAAACCAAGAGTGCGAGAAGTCGCTTCTTGGAAAATGCTGTCTTCTGTCAGCCCCGAAGAGTTGGCGTTAGTTCCCCGACAATACTCTGCACTGCGCAATCTCGCCTGTAGCACCGCGCATGTTTCAGCCCACGCACAGACATTACCGGCAAGGCCTTCAAACAGTGAGTATGGGTCGTCGGGCATGCGATAGTCTCTGTCAGTGTTTTCCGGCGCCGTGTTATACGGCCGCGTCTCGCGCGAATGCAGCATGAAAGCCAGGGCCCTCGAGAGGAAGTAGTCCGGAGTGAGCTTTTTGCCCAGATGTCCTTCTGGGAGGCTTGAATCATGGGGCAGATCGAGGTTATCACAACGAGCTGAGTTAATAACCTGTGCGTGGTACTGGAAGGCGTCGTGGAGCATGAGCCAGGGCCACCCGTTGCCGGAAATGCCATGGCATAGACTGCCTCCCTTTGATAGGATACCCTCTTCCCAGACACGATCGGTGGCTAAGTCGATGGCCTGGTCCCACTCTGGGCTCCAGTATTTGCGCGTCAGAGCCTCGTTCTTCAATGCAGTTGCAAGGAGGATGAGAATTCCAGGGCTTCCATGACATAGCTGGACAAGCTTAGACTTTCGCGCGGATCCGAAAGGGGGAAGTGCCATCGGAAGATGGCCGTTACTTGAAATAGTAAACCTTGAGAGAGCAGTGATAGTTTTCCCAATCACAGGAAGGTGTTCTTCAAGTTCCTCAGGTTTGCATGCAAGCAGGAGGGGTAGAATTCCGGCTATGATCGAGAGTATTGTTAGCAATTTTCAGGTCTAATCGACTCCGCGGATAACTCACTGGCTCCGTGGACCCTGACACATTTGTTAGCACTGTTTTCTTCCTTGTTGGGGTGTAACGAGCTACTCACGCTCCAAAGCAGTAGTGTCCTTCCATCCAGGCATACATCAGAGGGTGTGCATCCTGATCTCCATTTTTCTGAATGTAATCTTTCGAGCCTTGTCGACCTGCGTCGATAATGACTCGCAGCAACTCGGGGATCTTGTTTAATACCGAGGAAAGAGCTTTCTGAGTCTCATCATCAAATTCATGAGCTCGCACATTTAGTAGAACCCATAAGAGACCCGCACGCCCATACAACATCTCGTCACCACCCATGTTGCGGTCATCATGAGGAACAAGGGGCCCATTCTTCAGAGCTAGATTTGTGGCATCATCAAGGCAGGTGATATCCTTTTGCGAAAGACTAGGCTTTGCATCAGTCTGCCAATTCGCATTTGCCACGACAGAAAGAATGCGGAGAGTCACAGCCGCTATGGGTGAGAACGATCCCGCGGGGGACAATCGAGACGGTGTCAGAGCGATGTCTGGGAAGTCCGAGGGAATCCTTTGGAGAGCATGCTGACGATAGTCTGGAGAAGGCTCTCTTCCGTCCGCTAGCACAGCGGATTGGTAGTCGAGACGTAAGAAAGCAAGAGCGACTCCTGCCAGGAACTGTTAGATTGGTTGTTCACCCCGTATCGGTCCATTGCAGCCACCAGATCGGGTATGCACAAGGGATCGGGAAATCTGGATATAGTTTCCGTACCAGGAAAATGTTTAAACATGCCCCCAACAGTCCATTTGTCAGGAATTGGTTCATTTCCATGGATCAACTCGGCTCCATTGCGCACGGCAATACGAAGCTCTTGAAGCGACTCGGCGAGCGAATGCGTGTTGATTGTAAGAGGACTCAAGTGGTTTTCATAGAATTGTGGGCGTTCATCGGCCATTTTATATACGTAAGTATAAGTTTGTGAAGCGATAGAGCAATAATAACCCTTAAATGACGTGCTAGAGATGAAAAGTGATTGGAAGCCTGGGGAGAGGGACGAAGCTCAGCTCGAACCCCTCCAAACCAGCTGGGGCTTCAGGTAATAACCATCTCGTCATGGGTCCCGCGCTAGTTCGTGATGGCGCGAACAAATGGTGGTGATTTATTGGGCTCCACCAGCGAGATTGGAGAGAACAGAACGAACCCGCAGAGTCGTGCAGAGGTACAAGTGGGGCATTTGATGATCGTAACAAAGAAATTTATGCCTGTAGTGTCAGGCACCAATATGCACACCTGAGGCACTAGGATGAGTCATCAAGGACAGTGGCTTCCCGACTTTGCGTTGCAGCCATTCCGGACTCGAGAATACCCACGCGGTCCTCGAAGTGCAAAAAGGCTTCTAGAAGAAGTACAGAATGTCAGTGACCTGGTCCCCTGTTGCCCTCCCTAGATGAAGTACATCGAGGAACTCTCTATAGCCATGGCTTTCGTGGTGCTTTCTATTGCCGCCTCGTCGTCGCTTGGTTTTTCCATAAAGAAGCAATGAAAGGTACCGGACTAATATGGCAAACAGTCCCGTGATCAGGGCCGCTGCACAATCCCAACATGTCTGAGGTCCAACATGAAGTTGACCCCGTTGCGACGGGCCCGGAGGTGGACTATCCTCTGGTACTGGCTCCGCGACAGGTCACTCTTCGTGACCGATCGACCGTGGCGACGCTGGTTCCCTTCACCTCAGCGGAGGATGTGCCCCGGCCACTTCTCAAGTATCTCTCCGATCAATTTAATAAAGAAATTGAAAAGGGTGATACTTATGCTATGACCGAGCCTATCCCTCTGGCTCAGTTTGGGCGGTACTGGTTCTCCAACTTTGGCGTAGTCATGCTGCTCGGTGAGATACAGAGTGCAGAGCAGACGCATACAATGGATCGAGCCGGAGCAAATTGGACCAAGATCTGTCTCGGTGGCTTCCACATTCGACCCAATTACCCGGGTCGTAGTAGCCATGTCTGCAACGGCACCTTCATAGTCACAGATGCGGCTCGAAACAAAGGTGTAGGTCGGTTGATGGGTGAAGCTTATTTGGAATGGTCCCCTCGGCTAGTGAGTACCCTGTGATCATTTGAAAATACGGCATCTGATAAATGATTTTAGGGATATACATACGCTGTCTTCAATTTGGTATATGAGTCCAATGTTGCCTCCTGTCGCCTATGGGATTCTCTTGGCTTCAAGCGGATTGGTAGGGTCCCCGGCGGAGGCAGCATCAAGTCTCAACCTGGAGTGTTTGTGGATGCAATCATTTACGGACGAGGACTCAGCTTAGATGGCGAGGACTCTGTCTCACAAGATCGATTCGAGAAAATTCGTTACTATCTGAAGCACTCCAAATATCCTCGGGGGGCCGATCGAGCCGAGAAGAGTCGACTTCGCAGTGCAGCCACGCACTATAAACTCATCGGCGGAGAGGATGGCGAGACGGAGAAACTGATGCTCAAGGATAAAGAAGTTGTTTCCGATCCTCAGCAGCAATATGAAATTGCACAGGAGGTTCACCTGAAGCAGCACGCTGGAATCAACAAGACCACTGCTGCCATTGCGGTCAAATACCATTGGGTTCGAATCAAAGAAACAGTTAATCGGGTCATCCGTGACTGTCCTCAATGCAAGGAAACTCTCAAGGTGCCGCCGATCCCAGGAACCAAAGATGATGACCAGTCGGTCTCAGTCGAGGAATCCGATATGATCGAAGATCCCATGGAACAGCACTCGACAGAGACCGATGTCTCTCAAGCCATGGATGAAGCGTCCGACGAGTCCCCGAATCACAATCCCTTTATGAACCCATCAATTCCTGCCACTGTCCCTGGGAATGTACATCCCATGGCGAACTTCACACCGATGCCCCTGGACCCTCAGATGATGGCTCAGCAGCAGCTCCGACGCTATCAACAGCAGCAAAATGCCATGGCTGGGATATTTCCACCAGGATCCCACAATATGAACTTGACGAATTTTGACGATGCGATGCGCTATCACACTGCCAACAATGCCTATCAAATGATGGTTGATGATGGTTCCGACCCCTTTCGACAGGAGGTGCTTGGGCTGATGAACCCTCCTTCGCACGATCTGCAACATGATGCAGAGCTACTCGCTAAGTACGAGTACGGTAGTCCATCGGATGGTAATTATGATTTTACTTGAACGGTTCTCATGAATCTGGCGTTGCATGACTGGTTGGTTTTCGGGTACCTCTATTTTTATACGTGTAACCTTCAGTGGAAGGTCGAAAATGGCTATTAACTCATCAACTGCATAGCCTCTGCATCAGGTCACAATATCATTCTGCATGAATTATTTTGCCCATAGTTTTGCAGTTTTCTGTCCGTAGAGTAATTAAAGCCAAGGAGTGATTCTGGTGACTGTGTTGTGTGGTCACCGCCTTGGGGCTACGGGGGGTTTTGAGGGGGAACAGAAGCTCTGGGAAATTTTGGCGGTCGAAGATCAGCGAACCCCTCCGACTTCCCCTAAAGACCTGGACCATATCCATTCTTTCGCTTTTCTATTGAAACGGTTCCGGTCTCTTTCTCAAATTCACCATGGCCTTCGCCGGCCAAACACCCACGATTGTCGTGCTGAAGGAGGGTCCGTGTTTCTTCCCCCGGGCAATTTAGTGGGATTCATCTGGAAGTGCTGACCATTGTCGCTTTCGACCTACAGGCACCGACGCTTCTCAAGGCAAGGGTCAGATCATCTCCAACATCAACGCATGTGTTGCCGTTCAGTCGACCGTCAAGAGCACCCTGGGCCCGTACGGTGGTGACCTCCTGCTTGTTGACTCCAACGGTAGAACGACCATTACCAACGATGGAGCTACTGTGATGAAGGTAGGAGACGCTACGGATATCTACGGGTGATGTTTTTTTTGGACACAGATTCTGACTTTTTGTGTGTTTGATAGCTTCTCGATATTGTGCACCCCGCCGCCCGCATTCTCACGGACATCGCCCGATCCCAAGATGCCGAAGTCGGTGACGGAACAACCTCGGTGGTCGTCCTGGCCGGTGAGATTCTCAAGGAGGTGCGAGACCTCGTCGATCAGGGTGTGAGCTCGCAGACCATCATTAAGGGACTGCGGAGAGCCAGCGCCATGGCCGTCAACAAGGTGAAGGAAATTGCGGTGGACATGGTCGAATCGGCAGAGAACGAGGACAAGAAGATTGAGACGTTGCGGCGGTTAGCCGCTACGGCCATGAACAGCAAGCTCATCAAGCGGAATTCGGACTTCTTCACAAAGAGTGAGCACTTGCCGGGTTTACATGACGCCTGGATTTGTGTGGAGTGGCTAACAGGATGGTTCTCTAGTGGTTGTCGATGCCGTCCTTTCCTTGGATCAGGATGATCTCAATGAGAAGTTGATCGGTGTGAAGAAGATTACCGGTGGTGGCCTCCAGGACTCCCTTTTCGTCAACGGTGTCGCTTTCAAGAAGACTTTCTCCTACGCCGGTTTTGAGCAGCAGCCCAAGCACTTCAAGGACCCGAACATCGTTTGCTTGAACGTCGAGCTGGAGTTGAAGAGCGAGAAGGACAACGCGGAGGTTCGTGTGGAGCAGGTCTCTGAGTACCAGGCCATCGTCGACGCGGAATGGCAGATCATCTTTAACAAGCTTGAGGCGATCTACAACACTGGCGCGAAGGTTGTACTGAGCAAGCTGCCGATTGGTGATCTTGCTACTCAGTATGTTTCCCCTTTGAGTGTGAATGTATCACAAACATGCTAACAACTTCCCCCAAAGGTACTTTGCGGACCGTGACATCTTCTGTGCCGGCCGCGTTGCGTCCGACGACATGGACCGTGTGTGCCAGGCCACCGGTGCTGCCACCCAGTCAACCTGCAGTGACATCCAGGAGCGCCACTTGGGTACCTGCGGCGCGTTCGAAGAGAAACAGATCGGTGGAGAGCGCTTCAACCTCTTCTCCGAGTGCCCTGGTGCCAAGACCTGCACTCTTGTCCTGCGTGGTGGTGCTGAGCAGTTTATTGCTGAGGTGGAGCGCAGTCTGCACGACGCTATTATGATCGTCAAGCGTGCCCTCCGCAACACCACCATCGTTGCTGGTGGAGGTGCCACTGAGATGGAGCTGTCCAGCCACCTGCACGGCTTTGCCGACCGCAACGTGCCTCACAAGCAGCAGGCCGTGGTCAAGGCATTTGCCAAGGCTCTGGAGGTTATCCCCCGCCAGCTTTGCGACAACGCCGGCTTCGATGCTACCGACATTCTGAACCGCCTGCGTGTGGAGCACCGCAAGGGCAATGTCTGGGCCGGTGTCGACTTTGACAACGAGGGTGTCCGCGATAACATGGTTGCTTTCGTGTGGGAGCCCAGTCTGGTTAAGGTCAATGCCATTCAGGCTGCCGTTGAGGCTGCTTGCCTGATCTTGAGTGTGGACGAGACGATCAGTAAGTGACTTCTTGCTCTTCCCCCCCCCCCCGATTCTTGACTAACGCATCATTCACAGAGAACGAGGAGTCGGCTCAGCCCGGCGCTCCCCAGCGCGGTCTTCCTCCGGGTGCTGCCCAGCGGGCTCTTCGGGGCCGCGGCCGCGGCATGCCCCGTCGCTGATAGACGAGTTAATGCCACGAGAAGATGACGGTCTACTAGACCCTATCCCCAAAAAAGCATCAAAAAAGGGAGGCTTCTAATGAATCGAGCCCCGCAGAGGTGAAATGGAAATGGGTTCGTGCCCAACTGTGGTCTGTGCGATACTGTATGGGGAAGAAATAGAAGAGTTGTAGACATACTTGGATACTTCGAGGTCGTCTCCTTGAGTACATAGGTCGCAATACGTATCGTATTTTCTTTATATTTGGTGGGTGAGCTTTCCTACTTTAGGTGCCGCCGCCTGAGAGCCGCTCATTCAGTAAATTTCAGTCTAGGCTTAGGCTCACAATACTGCTTGGTGCCATAAGGTAATAGATCAATAATGCCTCACGCGACGCATCCTTTGATAGAGATAGAGGAATATTCGAATATTGCGAGCCGGCATTCGCTGAGTTTGCACACATGAAGTTTCTTGGGGTTGACTAGGACCATTTAGAAAAACTTCCTGGCCATGCGAAAGAATGCCGTCTTGTAATTGCCAAGTCCAATGGGCATAGGCTAGACGGTATCTTGGACATGAGTCACGTCCTCGAACTCGCAGTGCACAATTCTCTCGATCCATTCTCCCACAGGCGGCCCTGGTATGAATGGAAGACTGCTGTGACCAAGACCAAGTAGTAGATATATTACATGTCCTTTTATTTATGTTTACTTTAATTACTATTGTAGTACTCTGACGTTGGAAGATACAAAAACCTCCAGGAAACAACCTATCTGGATGCAAAATGTGTATATTGCCAAGTATACATACGAAATCCAGAGAGCGGTCCCAGCTGCTTATGTAATGTTCACCGATTCGAACAGACACTTCCAATGGTTTAACCCTTTTAACTGTGCAGATGTATGTATTGTATGAGCATACCTAGACAGGCACCTAGACAGGCCATCTTTGTCTAAGCACCGAGCTCACCAAATACATAGGCCATCACGACAGATTTTCAGCTGCTACTTGGATTAACCTAGACGTCATCCGCGAATGGATCCCTGGGCCGCTAAGGTTAGAAGCCCCGCCCCTATTGAATCTAAGGCGCATATGCAGTTCCGTTGTGACCTATAGGCTCATCTTGTGGAACAAGCTGGAAATCCCCAGGCTAGTAGTCCACGTCGGGATAAAAATCAGAAACTAGAAGATTATGCAACAAGCCAAGGCCTGAACCCACACTAGTCGCTGGGCGGGTCTTGGGTCGCGGGCTACAGGGATGCACACTCGGGGCTGCCGAAGGCGAGTCGATGCATGTCAGATATAAGATGTGAGACGCGGCCTTCGAATTTTGGACTTTGCGCTTTCCCTTTTCTTTTGCGCCCAAACTCCGCCATATAGGGATCGTCAATGTAAGTGGCAAGTTCCGAGGTTTGCGGTCGATCGCAGTTCGTGCTTTCAGGTTCCTGCATTTCGGTTGATTTCCGTTCATTTCATTTCACATCTGTTCCGGTTATTCTTCATCTGAATTTTCTCGCTCTGATCCTAGGCTTTGGTGGTTCCAAAGTTGAGACTTGGCAGGGCTTCCAATCTGGTTCTGTTTTGCTTCCGATCGCCTTCTCCACTCCCCGTGTTTCTTGAGGTTCCCCTCTCTCCAGCTTCCTTTCTTTCTTTCTTTCCCTCAAGTGATGTCTTATTACCCGCCCTATTCGGGCGCTCCGGGGTATCCCCCACCCCAGCAATCTTCCCAGCAGTACGCGCATGCTTGGCCATTTTCCCTGGTTGAGACTAATGAGCTCTTGTCCTAGACCGATGCATCACCACCAACAGCCTTCGTACGGCGGCTATCCCGGCCAGTCGTACCATCAGCAGCAACCTCAGCAACCCCAGAACCCCTACGGTTACAGCCACTCTCCTCAACCGCCTCAGCAGCCTTACGGATCCCCGGCCCCGCCTCATGGTTACAATGTACGTCGTGATGAACACGGGAAGTAGCAGGAAGCTAACTCGTACTGTTCGTGTTCAGCAAGGACCTCCGCCGCCTGGATATCAACAGATGCCCACGGGTCAGGCAGTATATGGTGGCGGCCGTCAGCCAGGTTCGCATCACCACTGTAAACGCCTCGAACACACGCGCTGACACGTTTACATAGGGAACTACGGTCCCCAGCATGGTGGCGGCGGCGGCCACCCGGCCGCTCCGCCGACTGCCCCAGTTTCGTTCGGACAAGGCGCTCCGCAGGGTTATAGCTTCCAGTACTCGCGCTGTACCGGTAAGAGAAAGGCGCTGTTGATCGGAATCAACTATTTCGGCCAGAAGGGTCAGCTCCGCGGATGTATCAATGATGTCAAGAACATGTCGGGCTACCTGAACCAGAACTTCGGATATGCGCGTGAGGACATGGTCATTTTGACCGACGACCAGCAGAACCCCATGAGCCAACCGACCAAGGCGAACATCCTCCGCGCCATGCATTGGCTGGTCAAAGATTCACAGCCGAACGACTCGCTCTTCTTCCACTACTCCGGCCACGGTGGTCAGACACCTGACCTGGATGGCGACGAAGATGATGGATACGACGAAGTCATTTACCCCGTGGATTTCCGTGTTGCTGGCCACATTGTCGACGACGAGATGCACCGAATCATGGTTCAGTCGCTGCGCCCCGGTGTGCGTCTGACCGCGATCTTCGACTCCTGTCACTCTGGTTCCGCCCTTGACCTCCCCTATATCTACTCCACTTCTGGTGTGCTCAAGGAGCCCAACCTGGCCAAGGAAGCTGGCCAGGGTCTTCTCGGTGTGGTGTCGGCGTACGCGCGTGGCGATATGGGTGGCATGGTGTCCACCGCCATGGGATTCCTGAAGAAGGCTACCAAGGGCGACGAGGCCTACGAGCGGACATTAAAGACCAAGACCAGCCCCGCAGATGTTATAATGTGGTCTGGTAGCAAGGACGATCAAACCAGTCAGGATGCCCAGATTGCCGGCCAAGCTACCGGTGCTATGTCATGGGCCTTCATCGCTGCTCTCCGGAAGAACCCTCAGCAGAGTTACGTCCAGTTACTGAACAGCATCCGTGATGAGTTGTCATCCAAGTATACTCAAAAGCCGCAGTTGAGCTGCAGTCACCCTCTGGGTAAGTTTATCTCTGGGTCAATCTTTTTTCAACTCGTTCCCCGCTGACTTTAGCCATGCAGACACGAACCTTCTCTATGTGATGTAGATCGTAATTGATAGCGATGGCCCAGGAGAGATAAGTCTCCTATTTTGAGAAACGTTGCCTTTTTTTTTTTTTTTTTTTTTTGGCTAGTAACGACTTGCTCTCCGTATGTAATTTCATCCCTCGGTGTCCGTGATAACCCGACTTGCACCTTGTGATTTATCTTTATGAACATGTGATTATTTGAAGTCTATCTACTTTTCTCTGCTATTTGCCACCCATAAGCTGGTGACGACAGTCCTGGGAGTTTCTGACATAGGAAAGAATCGAATGGGTGCGGAATAGAATCTGTTGGTATTCCCCATTAGTGGAAGAGGAGCGAGGGAGTGCAATCGAATTTCCGAGCAGAGTGACATCTTCATATGCCATTTTCTCGCATCAATGGTTTCCAACCGATTCTTGTTTGCAACCTTTGAAAGCACCAAAATATCACGATAACCAACATCCCTCTGTCCATTGTCTGATTACCGCTTCGATGTTGACAAAAGGCCCTTGCTACCTAGCCTCCGGCACGATGCACTTATATTCCGAGCTTCGTTCAATCTACCAGCAGCTCGAAAAGCAAATCATGGTGAGGTGTGAAGGCCCCGAAAATGTTTGGACCCATGAGCGTCGATATTGAGATGAGCATGGAAGTATCTTCGAGTACGGATGATGGTACCGTGCCACTGATGCCATTTTCTCGGACATAAGACACTTCCCCTCGTTCTGGGAACATGATCCCCTGCGCCTCTGCCGTTCGACCCGTCATGTTCCCATAACATTAGCCGGTATGCTGAAAACCAATTCTTGCGTGCCCACTACGTGTTCCTCACCTGATGTGTTGTATTTCAGCGCAAGCGGACAGGAGCATCTGGATGGGCCCGCGAAAAAAGCTTCTAGTTCCTAGAGAGTTGTATACTCAACTCTACCTTCTGGAGCCTCGGCCACTCGTCGACGAAAGACTTTCATAGGTAACATTGACCAGAGTTGCAGTCACAGTGCAATGAAGGGGGGGGATTGGAGTAGAAAGTGCGGGATTTGTAGTTTTTGCAAATCCCGTCGATCATTGACATCACGCATAGTTTGAACTAGATCCAGCAAGTGAGGCCCGCACTGCGAAGCTATCGTGAAGTGGGATGAACCGGTAGTGGCGGCTTAATTGACCCGAACTATGAAAGACCCACATTCGACGAATGCAGCCCTGATGTCTATTTTCCGAGACTCGGTCAAACCTATGACGGAGCTTGTAGATCTGTTGAGACGATAGCTGGTTGTAAGGATAGATATTGGATGTTATATCTTTGCATGTCGCCAGCTGCTACGTGCCCGTCTCTCCTCATCCCTCAGTCCCAACCTATTTCCTGCACCTCTTGCTCGCCCGGCTCTTCGCCAAGTATGTTCCTCAAACCTACCTAGGTAATTTACTTTGACAGAGAAACCAATGGACTAACATCACTATCCATAGGGTCTCCACTATGCGTTTCTCTCTTATCGCGGTTTCACTGGCTGCTGCTGCCACGGCAGCTCCCATGCCCAATAACGACATTGACATCGATGGGCTCGTCGGCGCAACCGCCGGCGTTGGTGCAGCCATCAAGCGGAATGCGGTGCCAGGGAGTGACTTTCATGTCAGTCGACTCAATGTCGTCGCGAGAGATGACGAGGATCTCATCTCCGATACCGAAGATGCATTCAGCAAACTCGCCGACAAGACGACCTCCATTGCTGAAGCAGCCTCGAAGCGCAGCTCTGTTGCTGAGCAGAACACAGAGGATAATTTTATTAGCCTTGGCAACGGTGCTCTTAGCGTCCGCGATGCCGCTTCCGAAGATTTCGTCGGAGTGAAGCGCGATGAGATCTCGGATCTTGTAAAAGAGGTTGATGATCTCAGCAAGCTTCTCGGAAAGGACAAGCGCGATGAGATCTCGGATCTTGTGAAAGAGGTTGATGATCTCAGCAAGCTTCTCGGAAAGGACAAGCGCGATGAAATCTCCGATTATGAGAGTGATCTCAACGATCTCGTCTCGGAGCTTGAGGGTCTTGCCAAACGCGACTCCATCTAGGACCTCTAGTAAGAGGCTAGTGAGCACGAAAGTAAGATCAAAGAGTTTATCTCTGAGGTTAAGGCTGAGATCGGGACTGCGGAATGAATAAATGCTTTTACTGATTCGTCCCATGCCATAAGAGAGGTGAGTCGCAGGTCTTACGTATTGTAGCTCCATATTCACAGAAACTGATACACTACAGTGACCACTATAGAGCAAGAGTCAAGAATCCGGTGATGGGAATTTCGGAGATGGGTATTTAGACAAGATTATACAGATCTCGTGAGCTTTTCAACGAATGGCCAACGTAATGTCTATAATCAATGGACACTTGTTTTACACGATACGATTTGTAGGTCAATACTGAAGAAGAAACTTCTTAAGAATAATTTTAGGAATCAGACCAGAATGATTTGTGCACATGCATTGCATGTTTGATATCATGATTATGTGTGTCATCTTCATGTAGCTGCCCTAGCCGGCCATGACAGTCAAAGAAAATCGCCGAGTACATCCGCAATATCCCTCCCCGGTCGATCCTTCATCACCCTTTTACCTTGACTCTTCGAGCTATCAGGTTGAGGGACCCGTCGTTTCTTTTGATTTTGTTGGGGTGATCGAGTCAGATGTAGTATTGTCTCCCTGGTGAGAAGGGGCGTAGGGGATAAATCGAACTCCAAGATAGGAGTGTCTGAATTCAGGGCTGGGAGGCCCTGAACTCCATCGATATTTTCCTCCAGGTTATGCTTCTTTACGATTCGAGATTTCCAGGGCAAACGGCTACCTTTCATGACCAGACACGACTTCGATTCGTCTTCAGGAAGCGGCTGGGGGTACGGTAGGCTTCTAGAAGCAAGCCATTCACCGAAATGGTCACGATCGCTGTGAACTATTTTCTGAAATGTAGAACACCCCATGAGAGCCACATGTTGAAGATTCGGCAACTTAGCCAATAACTCGAGAGCCTGTATCGTCACCCTGGGCTGGTTGACGAGCCTCAAAAAGCGCAACTGCTGCAATGATCCAGTGATCTCGGCTACTTCGAGCCAGGTGCGCAGAATACGATCGTCAAGTCCTTGTCCTCTGCCTTCATCGATATCCTCAGGCTTGGGTATCCTGTTGGTTGGATAAATGTCCATGGCGACCAAATTCTTCAGATTTCCGATTGCAACCAGATCCGCTGTGGTGGCATGTGTACTGGATATCGCAAGCATTGCTTGCCAACTGCCGATATCGCTGTTTAGAAGATCTATGTAGCACTTCACTGGTTCTTTTGGTGAGTCAATTCTGAGGCAATATTCTGGGCTGGTCTTGTGGAACTGTTGAGGATATGTGTCCGCCATTATTTTCCACATGTGCATGGTTTGTTTTTGGCTGGTGCATCAGTTAGTTCACTTACTAGGTACCAATGTAAAGGTTCTCAACTATGAAAAAAACATACCATTTTCCGAGGCATTCCCAAAGGTACTTTGCAAGGGGCCAGGGAACATGTGCGAAATGCTCCCGTTTGAGCAGCGATTGGTCGGACAAAATGCATTTCATGGCCGAATGCTTCAAAGATGGAGCCCCCACATCCTGTGTAGTCTCCCACAGTGGTGGTAGAAAGGGACTTTCATGCAGCCAGTGCGGGCCTCTGCCGAAAGTCGTTTGGGGACCAGGTGAATGATGGATGATGGACATGTTGTGGATAGATTCAGGACTGCCAGCAAGGCGACCGCCCGCTCATTGAAACGAGTCTGCAGAATGTTTCAGCCATGAGCTTTTAAAGATTGAGAATATTTCCGAATTTAGGAAACGAGACGCGAGAGAAAAGACGCGTTTGTTGCATTTCTTGAAAAAGTCACGTGAGTTGGTATTCACGTGTGCTATAATCACGTGGTAGCAATCCCCCCTCCCCCCCCGGGAGATCAGGAGAAGTCAGCTCCAATAAGCCTGAGAACCTTGATAAATTGATTGTAATTTTAATTTTACATTTGGGTGCTCTACCGGCATATTGATTATCGTCCTGTCAATAGGATAGCCTTGGAGCTAGAAAAGACGGTCGTTGACGCTATCCTCATCAATCTATGTGGGGGATAGCTGAGCTACCCTGAACCCCCACCCAAAAAGCAAAATAAAATAAAATAGAGGAGCAAACAAGTTGACCCGACCTCTTCTGTCCGACAGGGTCCTCATTAACTCTGGTAGTTTGTAGATCGGTTTTTTCCAGTTGTTGAGTGTAAGTATACAATGTACTGGGAGAATAACACCGACCCCTAGAGAGCCCCACAGCTCGTAGACCAGTTGATTCCATACAAATGCGAGTCAGAGACGTGCATAATGGCATCACTAGTTATCCTTAAAGTATTTAGCAATGACTATGGCATATGCCACATGATGACATATGCCATGGTAGTGACAGTGGCAAGCCCAGGAGCCAAGATGAGTAGTTCAGCCCAGCAGGGCTCGGGACCTGCACAGCCTCGTGTTCCCAGCCAGTAATGCTACGCAGCGGGTCGGGCAACTCACACGATACCCCACACACTCTTAGCAGGTTCGGAGAGCCATCATAAAAGATGCTGGCTGTCTTTATAGCTGGCATCGTCACTCTCTCTTGATGTTATGGATCTCGTCCCGCCATCATACGAGTCCGCCACGGACCGAGATGCGTGGGTCATTATCGCCCACTACATCCCGTCTAGTGATCTTTGCGCAGCGTCTCTGGTCTGTCACCGATGGCACGATCTATTCATGCCCTTTCTGTGGGGAGATCCGGCCTCGCACTTCGGCACGGAGAATGATGCGGTCTATGGTAGAGATTCATACCCACTTATTCTGAGAATCCCCTCACTGACACTCGATCTCTAGTCGCACTCACAAGGTTCCGTAGAACTCTCAAATATGCCAGGCGTGAAGTGCGGGCGATGACCCACACCCTGCATCTGCCCCCTGCTCTCTCGGAGATTTATGGAGGCCCCCGACCGGGCTGGCTGAGAGATATCTTGGGGTATTTGCCCTGTCTGCAATCCTTGATAGTTTCGAGGCTACCATTTTTCGATCACAATGCTATGTATGCATTGAACCACCATCAGAGCTCAACGGTGTATAATGTCCGTTTACTGCTGGCAGACCATGAGCCGAACACAACCTCAGCGGGGTTGGCAGAGACACTGCTTCGGTTTCCCTTATTGACATATTTGGATCTTTCGTATACTTCATCCGCGCGAGATCGAAGTGTTTTATCTGCTCTATCTCAACTGGAGAATCTCCAAGTTTTGAAGCTACGCGGCATAGGCTTGAAGGATGGCGACGCCGAGTTCCTAGCCAATGCGATTGGGAAACGCGTTCGTTTCTTGGATATAAGCAAGAATATGCTGACAGATATGGCGGTTCGCTCCTTATTGCAAGCCTCGTTCATGACTCCGGATCACCCACCACAGCCACGTCCACGACGTACTGGATCATCTCCAGACCTTGCGTATCAAACAACATCTCAAACCCCCGCAGAGGATTTCATGAAATCTCCCGACTTGGATGATCGATTCCTCAAGCTTTTGGCCCAGCCGGTCTTGAAAAATCACTGGATTGAAGATTTGCCGCGCACGGGAATCACTCATCTATACATCGCTAACAATCAGGTCACCGTGGAGGGAGTAGCGAGTCTTCTGACTTCATCTCGTCTCCACGCTCTAGATGCTGGAACGGTTCTCAGTGCAGACATGGTCCACAAATCAATATCCTCAAAGCATGGAAAATATCCCGGTGCCGAGAAGCTGGTGCCGTTACTGGGTAATGTTGCCGGTGACAACCTAACTTATTTCCGCGCACATCATGCAGTGCTTACGGCCGAGCCACCAGCCAAAGACGTGATATCGAATGCTGGGTTCTTGCCCGAACTTGCGGCTAGTGAAATGCCTCGTGATTTTGAGCTGGATGCCTCGCAGGAAGTCCCTCGTCAAGCTGAATTAGACGCTTCGCAGGAAATCCATGAATTGCCAGGTGGTGTGACATCGATTTACGAACTTGCAGATACTTCTATCATAGATTCGACAAGCACAATAGTAGCTCCTACTCAGACTCGAAAACTGCCTTATCAAGATGAACCACTCCCTACAGTCAGGCGCGGGTCGATTTTTGCGCCTGAGGTCATTCAGACAAATGTCAGTGGAGACGTTGATTCCATTATATTCAGCCCGACGAGGACAGGGACGTCAAAGTCATATGAGACTTTTGAGGGAGGCACTTTGTCATCTATTTCGGGGACTTCAGCATCCCCTGATGCCTTGGGTTCAAGCTTCCTTGAGTCAAACACACGATGCAGCTCCCCTGTTTCGACGGATGAAGCTCATGCAGAAAAGATCCAAGAACTTCTAGCAAAGCGACCTCGGAACCAATCTCTTCCTCTCCAGGGTGGAAAAGAAAGCCGGTTTCCTTACCTCCATCCTTCTCATATTCCTCATTTGGAGACTCTTGTCTTGACCGATGTGCCATCACATATTCCACCTAACTCTCCGGTCTTGTACACTCTCACTCGGTTTATTACAGCCTGTTCCAATGAAGCGTTACTGGCAACCCTTCAGGCCGGTTCAGATTACTCTCTTCCCCCGGGAAAAGCACGCATGCATGCCGAGCAACAGCGGTCCCGTTCTCTCTTTGGGCTACGACGGATAGTCCTTGAAATTGTGCCTACGGCTGCCTCATCCAGACTCACCACCTGGAAACCTGCTAGCCAGCATAACGGCGTGACTAATTCGAGCACGGGTGACCGCGATTCAGAGAAATTATGGGCCGCAGCTTCCAATGATTTCAGCTTCTTTGGCGAGGAAGAGTGCGGCATCATGGAGAATGACCCCGGGAAATACTTCCCCATGGCCGCACTGAACGAGAAAGTCTCACTCCTACCGTCGGACGACGACTCAGCGCACTCGGGCACAGAATCCCCGTTGCCAGGCCGTCAACACTCGCGGCGCAGTGTGGCGTCAACGTCCGGTCCACGGCGAGAAACCGATGGAAACCAGCACCACTTGGTTCAAGACGTCGATGTGGTGGCAGAACTGGCTGCCTTCCGTCGGAACAAGAAAGCCGAGTATGAGCAGGCAGTGAGGCGAGAAAGGGGCCGTCGTAGTACGATTGCATCAGGAATCTCTGGCTTTCTCACAACACCTGGTCCACAGATCTCGATGGCCCATTTTGTGGAAGGACATTGGAAGGGAGAGGTCAAGATTGTGCGCAATCCTACCCCAAAGGTCCGCACTGGGATGGTGGATATGTATGGGAACTACTTCGAGAAGGGGTATTTATACCCATGATAGAAAAGAGCAGAAATAGCCCCAACATCACGTATTCTACGTCCATTATGAACCACCATAGACAACATTTTGAAGAATTTTTTAGTATTTTCTAGCCCGCAGTACGGACATCCCCCGACATGTATGAGCCACCGTCAATAGACTCAAATACATAGTGAGTAACAAGGCGCTTCGAATATAGAACAACGAAAGACGGATAGAACAAGAAGATCTCCTGGACGCCCATCATTTCCATGTCACCTAAATCAAATGCCGAACAACCGGTGCCCGTTTTCGTTCGTTGCAGGGCCATTGTCGGCTGACCCATCTCATTGATCCGTCAAGAACACCGAAGAAAGGTAAACAAAATAAAAGAATTCATTTCAGACTAGTTCCATTTTATTTTGTCCGTCACGACCGTTCCTCTCCCTTAGTTGGCCTTGCCAGCCTGGGGAGGGGTCAGCTTCTTGCCGTCCTTGTTGTAGCGGATACGGGGAGGGGGAGCGCGGTTGCGGCGGCCCTCGCGGGAGCGGACACTGGGAGATTTTATTAGTATTCTTGTCGGGATTGTGAAGGGTGGGCGATGGGAGCGTACCGGACGATCTTGCCGTGAATGGCGCACGAGACGCAGTACTGAAGCTTCAGGTACATCTTGGGGACGGCGTACTCGGCAAAGACGGAGGCTTCGGAGATATCACCTGGGAGTCGGGAAAGTTAGTTCGCTGTTCTTCGATGTTGTTGACATGTTTCGAGAATATCCATATTGGTTCCGTTTCAGTGCGTAGAGATAGATGCTCCCGGTCGTACTTCCACGGATCCTCCTCCTTCTAGTGCGGGATTGTGGGTGGGTGTGATGGGTCACGTACGGATGGCAGCGGACTCAACCATGTTGCGGATGGTGAAACGCTTGATAGCCTTGTCCTTGGGAGTGCAACGGGCGCAGTTGGAGCAGCGCACGGGCTTGACGTGGCCGCGGCCGTTCTTGTTGCGACCGCTAAAGAATCAATCAGTCTCATGTTCCATCTTCGAACAATATTCGGATTCGAGTCCCCATTCTCTCATGTTCCGCAATGTGTTTCGATTATCTGTGTCGATTGTGCGTGTGTCGTATGTGCGTTTTATAGCTTTCGTCGTCATTGCGGAGATCATGTCGAATGGGAGACTATGTCGCGAATTTGTGGGAGGAAACGATCTTACTTGGATGCCCTCTTCTTGACCATTTTGACGGTTTATTCTGCGGAAGGTCAGAGATTCGTTCGTGAATTTCAAAGGACAATAGGGGGAGGGTCACGTACGGGTGATTTGTCGGGGTGGGTTGTCGAAGCTCGCTCACTCAAAGACACTTCGGGAATGGATGGGGGTCGTTGTGTTGTGGGAAGCCCTAAGCCCTTAAGCGAGACCCACGGGACTTTTTCCTGTGGCCTTACTGCCTGTATATTCAGGCTACAATGACGACTGATATCACATGACCAGTCACGGGTCCTCCCGGCCCGATCGAGACTAGCTCCCGGATTGAACCGCGAGAATCACCGGATGACATAAGCACGTGTTTACGCTCATCCGGGACAACGAGAAACACCCCTGTTCGGATCGTCAGTCGACTACCCTTTTTTCCTCCTCAAGCTGTTGAACTCCCTTGCTGTTTTTTTTTCCCTTTTCTCCATACCAGGTCTCATTCTTGCTTGCTCTCCTCCCTTTCCTCCTACTCTCCACTCTATTGAGACATTCCCCTCCGTAATATGTCGCATACAGGGACTTTTAGGGGAACGCCCAATAAGACTATCGGGAGACGAGGGCTGCCCGATTTCGAGTCCCCCGGTGCCGCTTCTCACATCCCCCGACCCCGTCCCGACCGTCCAGAATCTTCCCTCACCAACAACTCTACCCACACACCGACCAGCGACGTCGGAACCGGCACCATGAGCGCCGCCAGCAGCAGACAGAGACAGAACCAGTCGAAGCGTGATGAGGTACGCTATCCTTGAGCTGCCTCGACCAGCATAACTTGTCTTAGACCTGTCCCCTATTTGGCTTACCCGCTAACACGCTCATTTTTTACAGGCTATTCGCCGCAAGATGGAGGCCGACCTCAACAAAAAGAGGCAGAACCCGAAACAGGCGAGAGGATCCCGCAAGGCCCCTCCAGGCACCGTCCTCGCCCTGAAGCCCAGCCAGGCTCTTCAAATTAAGCCATCCATGAGCATCGCCGAGGCAGCGCAGTTGATGGCCGCCAAGCGGGAGGATTGTGTGTTGGTTACCGACGACGATGACCGTATCGCCGGCATCTTCACCGCAAAGGATCTGGCATTCCGTGTTGTTGGTTTGGGCTTGAAGGCCCGCGAGGTTTCAGTCAGCGAAATCATGACCAAGAACCCTCTTTGCGCCCGCACCGATACCAGCGCTACCGATGCGCTCGACCTGATGGTCCGGAAGGGCTTCAGACACCTTCCTGTTATGGACGAGAACCAGGATATTTCCGGTGTTTTGGATATTACCAAGTGCTTCTACGATGCTATGGAGAAGCTAGAGCGTGCATACAGCTCCTCCCGCAAGCTGTACGATGCTCTGGAGGGTGTCCAGACGGAACTTGGCTCGAGTCAGCCCCAGCAAGTCATCCAGTATGTCGAGGCGCTGCGATCCAAGATGTCCGGTCCGACCCTTGAGACTGTCCTTGACGGTATGCCGCCCGTGACCGTGTCCGTTCGTACATCTGTCAAGGAGGCCGCGGCCATGATGAAGGAGCACCACACCACTGCTTTGCTTGTACAGGACCAGGGCTCCATTACCGGTATCTTTACCAGCAAGGACATTGTTCTTCGTGTTATTGCCCCTGGTCTTGACCCAGCCACTTGTAGCGTTGTCCGCGTTATGACTCCCCACCCCGACTTCGCCCCGTCCGACATGAGCATTCAAGCTGCTCTCCGGAAGATGCATGGTAAGTGATTTGCATGCCATTTTCTTATCATCTTAATCGCTAACTCTACATCAGATGGTCACTACCTTAACCTCCCCGTCATGAATGAGGGCGGTGAGATCGTTGGCATGGTGGATGTGTTGAAGCTCACCTATGCCACCCTGGAGCAGGTAAGCAAGGTCAATTCTTTATCTTCTTGGGACGTTCTCTAACTCGGGCTTTAGATCAACACCATGCAAACACACGATGATGAAGGTCCCGCCTGGAACAAGTTCTGGCTCTCCATGGATAACGAGTCCGACTCGATGGTTTCTGGTAGCCAGAACCACCAGCCACATACACCCCACCGCTCTGTTATGAGCCCCGATATGGCTCGGTCAGGCTACGATAACAGCGTTCTTCCCAACGACTCCGCATCGCACAACGGCGGCGAGGAGCACTCCGAAGTTGCCTCGCAGCACCCCCAGCCCCCGGCTGAGGACGCTCCCTTCCCCTTCAAATTCAAGGCTCCCAGTGGCCGTGTGCACCGTGTGAACGTGTTGACTGCCGCGGGTGTTACCGATCTAGTCGTGCAGGTGACTGCCAAGCTGGGTGCAGAGCTTGAGGCTGTTGGTGGTGGAGCCATCGTTGAGGAGGGCCGTCTCAGCAACACGGGCTACGCTCTCAGCTACATGGATAACGAGGGCGACACCGTTTCCATCACCACCGACCAAGACATGGTCGATGCTATTAACCTTGCCCGCCGCACCCATCGTGAGAAGGTCGATCTATTTGTTCACGACCCTACCCAGCCTCCTATTCCCGTCACCCTTGAGCCGCAGCCTGTCAAGCCCGCAACTCCCATCATCGAGGAACGCAGCAGCCCCATCCCCGAGTCAACTCCCGAAGAGCCCCTTCTGAACAAACCCCGGGCCTTCCCCTCTCACTCGTCTGAGGAGCAGCTCATCAACGGAGTGCCTAATGACCTGCTTCTTCCTGGAGCGATCGTCACCCTCGCTGCCGTTATTGCTGGTGTGTTCATTCTTAGCCGGCCCAGCGGTCGTTAAACATAAAATCGCCCATAGACATACCTTACCTCCCCCTCTTGTCCGCATTTTGGCCACTGCCATCCTTTGAAGAGTGCATACCCCTTTCTAATTATCGATATTCCGAGTCGCTTTCAGATACCGCTGTTCTAGTAATGATCAGTTGCGGCCTTAGTTTAGCCTTCAATGCAAATACTTCTTTTTTCATCATTTGAGCTGTTGTGAAACATGAAGACGCATAATAGATCAGTTAAGGTACGTAGGTACTAGGTCCTCGATCCCCCAGGGCCCGCTAGGCCGTGTGTGTGGCTGGCCCCGGCGCCGAGTAGCTAGGCTCACCAATTTTAAACCGATGAGAGGAGAGATCTAGCATGTCCGGGGCAGTTTCACGTAGGTAATCTTTTCTGAAACCAAAAACCCGGGGCAAAGTGAAGATCGTGGACGCTATCGCATATCAATTCCCCTAATCATCAATCATCAATCATCAATCTTTTTTTCCCTTTCTCCCCGCCCCACCAAAAACAAAACTCCTCCTCCCTTTCACCCCTCCAACCCCCACCGAGTTATTGTACCACCCGGGTTCGAAGAAACTGGGTTCTTTCTGATATTTGGATCTTGGGGAAAACACATCCATTATGTCCCTCCTACCACCCGAGGTCCACGCACAGCTGTCACAGCTGCTGCGCGCCCTTGGGACCCCCGACAATGCCGTGCGTTCGCAGGCTGAAGATCAGCTGAACAATGAATGGGTCCAGAACAAGCCCGATGTGCTCTTGATGGGCCTGGCTGAGCAGATCGGTGGTGCCGAAGACACATTAGTGAGTGACCTCTGACTCTAGGGGCTGAAGAGCCGTGCCCGCGTCACTCGCACCCATGTGCTTTTGAAAAGATTCCGGCCATCATGAAAGGACTTTATGCTGAGACTATTCCAACGCAAACAGACGCGTGCGTTCGCCGCCGTACTTTTCCGAAGAATCGCAACCAAAACCCGCAAGGACCCCGCCACCGGAGAGGCCAAGGAGGTCTTCTTGACCCTGCCTAACGAGCAGCGCGTGGCCATCCGCGAGAAGCTGGTGACCTGTCTCACCTCTGAGTCGATCACCGATGTGCGCAAGAAGATTGGCGACGCAGTGGCAGAGGTCGCTCGCCAATACACCGACAACGGTACGTCACCTCGAAACACATAACGGAATTAGTGCTGATGATTTGGTTTTTTAGGCGACCAATGGCCAGAGCTCCTCGCAATCCTCTTCCAGGCCAGCCAGTCCCCCGAGTCTGGTCTGCGCGAGACTGCTTTCCGAGTCTTCACTACTACTCCCGGAGTTATTGAGAAGCAGCATGAGGATGCTGTCCTGGGTGTCTTCACCAAGGGCTTCGAAGATGAGAACATTGCCGTATGTGAATCTGGATTTCAATCCGTTCTACATTGGTCCATCCTTGCTGACCTCGTCTAGGTGCGCATCGCCGCTATGGAAGCTTTCGCTGCCATGTTCCGTTCCATTCCCAAGAAGTCCCAGCAGAAGTTCTTCTCGCTCGTGCCGTACCTTCTCAACATCCTTCCTCCCCTCAAGGAGTCTAGCGAGAGTGACGAGCTGTCTTCAGCATTCCTTGCCCTCATCGAGCTCGCGGAAATCAGCCCGAAGATGTTCAAGGGCTCGTTCAATGACTTGGTTAAGTTCAGCATCAGTGTCATTGCGGACAAGGAGCTCAGCGACCAGGTTCGCCAGAACTCTCTGGAGTTGATGGCCACCTTTGCCGACTATGCACCTAACATGTGCAGGAAAGAGACCGACTTTGCCCAGGAGATGGTCACCCAGTGCCTCAGTCTTATGACTGATGTCGGTGCTGATGACGATGATGCCGAGGAGTGGAATGCCTCCGAGGACCTCGAGCCCGAGGAGAGCGATCTCAACCACATTGCTGGTGAGCAATGTATGGACCGTCTGGCCAACAAGTTGGGTGGCCAAGCCATTCTTCAGCCCGCTTTCTCTTGGATCCCCCGCATGATGTCTTCTACTGCCTGGCGCGATCGCCACGCCGCTCTGATGGCTATCTCCGCCATCTCCGAGGGCTGCCGTGATCTGATGGTTGGAGAGCTCGACCAGGTCCTTGCCCTGGTTGTTCCCGCTCTCACTGATGCTCACTCCCGCGTGCGTTACGCCGGTTGCAATGCTCTCGGTCAGATGAGTACCGACTTCGCTGGGACCATGCAGGAGAAGTACCACGCCATTGTGCTGAATAACATCATCCCCGTTCTGAGCAACAACGAACCCCGTGTGCAGTCCCACGCCGCCGCCGCTCTGGTCAACTTCTGCGAAGAGGCTGAGCGCAGCATTCTCGAGCCCTACCTCGGCGACCTGCTGAGTCGCCTTCTGGACCTTCTGCGCAGCCCTAAGCGCTACCTGCAGGAGCAGGCTCTCTCTACCATTGCTACCATTGCCGATTCCGCCGAGACCGCTTTCGGACAGTACTACGACACCCTGATGCCGCTTTTGATTAACGTCCTGAAGGAGGAGCAGGGTAAGGAGTACCGTCTGTTGCGTGCCAAGGCTATGGAGTGCGCCACTCTGATCGCCCTAGCTGTTGGCAAGGAGAAGATGGGCCAGGATGCCCTTAACCTTGTCCAGATTCTGGGTAACATCCAGCAGAACATCACTGATGCGGACGACCCTCAATCGCAGTACCTTCTTCACTGCTGGGGCCGCATGTGCCGTGTTCTAGGCCGTGACTTTGTGCCGTACTTGCCCGGTGTCATGCCTCCTCTGCTGACTGTGGCTGCCGCTAAGGCTGACATTCAGCTTCTAGACGATGAGGACCAAATTGAGCAAGTCGAGCAGGATGAGGGCTGGGAGTTGGTTCCCCTCAAGGGCAAGGTCATTGGTATCAAGACCAGCGCTCTGGAGGACAAGAATACCGCTATTGAGTTGATCACCATCTACGCCCAGATTCTTGAGGCTGCCTTTGAGCCTTACGTTTTGGAGACCATGGAGAAGATCGCCGTTCCTGGTCTTGCATTCTTCTTCCATGACCCCGTCCGCGTTTCTGCTGCTAAGTTGATCCCGCAGCTGCTGAACTCTTACAAGAAGGCCCATGGCGACCAGTCACCCGGCTTCGCCGAAATGTGGAACAAGGTTGCCGAAAAGATCATTGAGGTGTTGAGTGCCGAGCCCACCGTGGACACTCTGGCCGAGATGTACCAATGCTTCTACGAGTCCGTCGAGGTTGTCGGCCGCAACAGCCTCACCCCCCAGCACATGCAAGCCTTTATCGACTCGGCTAAGTCAACCCTGGAGGACTACCAAATGCGTGTGAAGCAGCGGTTGGAGGAGCAGGCCGAGTTGGAGGAGGGCGATGAGGAGAACCTCGATTACGAATACGCCGTGGAGGATGACCAGAACTTGCTCAGCGACATGAACAAGGCCTTCCACACTATCTTCAAGAACCAGGGTACTTCATTCCTGCCCGCCTGGGAGCAGTTGATCCAGTTCTACGACAACTTTATCACAAGCCAGGACCCTACCCAGCGTCAGTGGGCTTTGTGCATCATGGATGATGTCCTTGAGTTCTGCGGTGAACAGTCATGGACCTACAAGGACCACATCATGCAGCCTCTGGCTGCCGGTCTCCAGGACCAGAATGCCGCCAACCGTCAGGCCGCTGCCTACGGTGTCGGTGTGGCCGCGCAGAAGGGCGGTGCCGCATGGAGCGACTTTGTTGCTGCCAGCATCCCCAGCCTGTTCCAGGTCACCCAAATCCCCCAGTCCCGCAGCGAGGAGCATGTCTTTGCTACCGAGAACGCCTCTGCCAGTATCGCTAAAATCCTGCACTACAACCCTTCCAAGGTCGAGAACGCCCAGGAAATCGTTGCTACCTGGATCGAGACTCTCCCCATCACCTACGATGAGGAGGCCGCTCCTTACGCCTACTCCTTTATTGCACAGCTGATCGACCAGTAAGTTTCCCTTGCGTCCCTTTTCCCCATCTTCATACTAATAGTTTCTAGACAAAACCCCGTCATCTTCGGCAAGGCTGACCGTGTCTTTGGTTTCATTGTTCAGGCCCTTGAGGCTGGGACTTTGCAAGGACAAACCGCCGTGCGGATCGCCGAGTCAGCTAAGCGGTTGGTGGCAGCCACCGGCCTGAACGGAGAGCAGATCCTGGCCGGCGTCAGCCCAGATAGTCAGGAGCGAGTGCGCAAGTTCTTCCAGTAGAATGTTCCATAGCCACATCTCCCTCTGTCGGATTGTCTATTTTCCTTTTTCGTTATCATTCCCCTTGGCCCCATGTGAATCCGAAGCTAGTGAAGACCTGAAACGTTTCGTTAATCTCAAGTTCCATTTACCACGTACAATTCTTGTCAAAGAATAAGAACCGATCGTATTAGATCTATCTACAGTGGAGAAACACGCTTGATCTCATTCGCAACTACCTCCTGTAGGGTCATCATGTTCGGCTCTCCGATCAGGCCATTGGCACGCTGGTCATACAATGTGCCTCCCTCCGTCCAGATTCGGCGCAGCGTGAACACTGTTGCAGCGGGGTTTCCACCTTCCCAGGCCGCAGTCTCTAGCTCGCGTAGCCGTTCCACAGATGTACGCGAGACATCATCCCAAGGCTTTCCAGTAGTCTGACGCTCAAATTCAGCCTGGATCTCAGCCGGGGTGGTAGTGAAAGAGTTGACACAGAGAGGGCGGTTGCGGGACTCGGGCGTGGTATTGAGAAGAGTAGCCAGGACGAGAGTTCCCACGCTATTAGTCTGTGATGAGCCAATTCATTCTTATTTTTCGAGACTTCCAGAAAGGGACAACTTACTCCTTCATAGTCGTCAAACTAACCCTCTCCTTCCCGGTCTCTCCTAGTAAAACAGCTCTCCGGGCCTTAACATCCCAACCTCCGGCCTCCTCGACGCCGGGCGTGAAATGCAAGTACATCTCTGCAAACGGTCCAGTCACGACATAGGAGTAGTTCAGATCTGCGCGCGAGATCTCTTTCTCGAGCACAGCTCGCACCTTGAGCTTTTGCTGGTGGGGCTTCTCATGCGCTGAAGCTGGACCATAGGCAATGTCGGTACCATATTCTGAGGGCAGGAACCACTTCACACTGAAGCTGGCTGCAGCTAGACGGATTAAAGGGATCTGTTCAGCGAGAGCGTTTCGGCCGAGAGCTGAAATGACGGTATCAATGCCTATATGTGTTTAGTTATATAGAATAGCATTGGAAGGTATGGAACAGGTCTTTTTTTACCATTATAGGCAGCCTTGATGGCATTCTCGTCGGTAACATCACCAACAATTACCTCGACATCCCGCTTCTTCAGTGTTTCCAGGTCCGCGGCTTTGGTCTCGGCTGTGTGTGGGGAAGTAAAGATACCAACTCGGCCGAATTGAGACCGTGCGGAGAGGACGGCAGTAAGGATGAACGAGCCAATCTGGCCTGTGGCACCGAAGATCAGGATATTCTGAGGAGCCATTGTATAATTGTTTATTATTCTCTGTGATGTACAAGAAAAGTAGAAGCCGAAGCCGAAGCCGAATGCTTCGGATATGTAGGTAGACGTGGGGGTGCGATGCGGGGCTGCTTAGCAATCACGCTATGAGTTTATCCGACTTCGCTGCAATCACGTCTTATACCACCATCTCCAAGATCTCCAATACCTGTTCCTTCTCCTTAAGGGGTACAGGATTGGTCTTGCACCACCGGTCATGCAGACTGTGCGCAGCCAACGCGTCCAGCTTGTCACGACCCACCTTGACGTCACTCAGAGACCGAGGCATACCGATCTCGCGGATGACGGCGTCGAGAATGTCGCCTAAGTCTGCGGTCTCGGTGTTTACATTGCGGGCGCGTAGAACCTCTGAGACGACGGGGTCGTGGATGAGGAACTCGCGTACACGCGCTTGTCGATCGCGGTTGGAATTATGTTTAGCGTTGAACTTGCATACGGCGGGCAGGAGGATGCAGCTTGTTTCGCCGTGTCCGACACCCAGTGGACCGAGCTGTAGAAGCCAATTAGCTAGAATTCGAATCATCAATATATGATGCACATACTTGGTGTCCAATTCCGTGACTAGCTCCCAATTCCACTGAGCCACTCGTGCACGCTGCCATCGCGTCCACTGACCCCAATTGACATTGCAGGTGTGCGTCGCGATCTGCGCGGTTCTTCTTGCAGTTCAACAGACCAGGAACCAGCAGACCTAGCGCGTTCTGCGCGAGCTTATCTGACTCTGGTGTTGTGCCGACGATGGCGCACAATGTCTCGACGCAGTGGTCGACAGCGCGCACGCCTGTGCTGAGCCAGATGGAATCGGGCGTAGACTCTGCCAACTCCGGGTCGAGAATGATCAACTCCGGACCACGCAATGGTACCTGGAAGCTGTACTTGCGGCGAGAGTGGTCCTCGGTACCACCTGCGAAATTGGAGTATTCGCCGGCAGAAAGAGAAGTCGGCACTGAAATGATGGGTACAGTGGGAGCTTTGATCTCTGCGCGCTTATTGGGCCCTTGGGCCAGGGTCTCGAGTTCGTCTGGGGTCCGGACTCCGTTTGCGAGGGCCTATGTAGTGTCAGTGTACAGTACATGAGGCATTTTTGAATTGCAGAGTTAATACCAGTGCGATAATCTTCGCTCCATCGGTCAAACTGCCCGCTCCCAACGTCAATAGCAGATCGGCCTGCACATTGCGGGCTTCCTCGACGATTTCTAGGACTTCAGACCACAGTGTGTGGCTCTGCATGCCAATTCGGCGACCGACTATCTTCTCAGGCCCCATCGCACTAGTCAAACGGTCAAGCGAGTCGGTGTTTCGGGCCAGGGACCCCGAGCAAATCACGTAAACGCGCGAAGCGTTGAATGTTTCGGTAACATGGCGGGCGGCGGCAGCAGGGAAGGCGATGCCGTAGGAGAGGATGGGGCGCTCGCGGCCGGCGAAGGCGGGACGGACTGTTTCTTGAGCCATTATGCCAGTAAAGTTAGATTCTGCAGAGAAAGTAGAAGCAGAGGTTCACGAAGACTATAAAGCTTAACCTTCTCCATGTGGGATGTGGGGCCATGTGGGTTCGCTCCCATCTTTGAATGTACCGCCTGGCCGAGGCGATACTTTAAATACTCCTGGAACGTGAGACCGGATTAGCCACAGATCACGGAGATGACGTCCTGGTCCCGCTCCTGGCCATTCTTTATGGTGGTGACAAGGTAATTCCTGGTCTCAGTCAAGTGAATTGGGCGGAGAGCCCCGTGGACGGAAGTGTTGTAGCAGACGGGAGAGTCTATCAAGCCGAATAATCGGTCGTATTTCTGCACCAAGGGAGTCCAGGGATGAGCGGAGCCATACATGATGCTCTGGTGTATTAGGAGCCTGACGTACACTGCCGCAATGAAGAGAATGATTGGATCCATGGGGTCCGACGTTTTGAAATGTGCTGTGGAGGGACGAGTTGGTTGACAAGAGTGAAGAGTGACGAGTAGAGAATAGAGAATGGGGAGGGGGAACCTGGTGTTAAAAATATGTGCTTAACTGATCTTTCAAAACATTGCAGGGAGCTCGAAGGCAATCCGTACCTTGCTAGGCCTTGGTTACCATCTTTCTCACTCGTTATTGCCACTGTTTGTCTCTCCTCTTGAAACCGCCTACTTCGCTCTAGTTGCCTTTGCCTCTCCACGGTACCGAAATTGCTGTCCACGGACCTGTCGCATCTTAATGAAGCCATGCACCCATGAAAGGAGTATCTTCCCCACCTGCGTGAGAAGTGGCAGCGGCAGGTCCGATATCAACTTCAGGAGCACTTTATTGCGGGCACCTAATAGCCAAGCTTGGTTCCTGTCATTCCTTGCACATCGGCCTCAAACACTGTCCGTGAGCTTTATATTGAACCACCGCTCGTCGTGGTGACTGCACATTTCCATCTGGCGCACTGTTTCATCTTGGGATACCCGATTCACATGACGCACAGCAGAGAGACTTGCCCTTTATATAGCTTCGTTATGGCTCACCTAACTGGGCATTGATGATATTCCAAAGAAGAGAAAGAAGAATTTACGGAACCTCCATATAAATAACGATACCTGACGTGTCTGTAAATGGTACCTGACACTGGTCATCATTCATTGCAGTAGGCGCTTTTTGCCTTTATCTCTGATACCGCGCATCTGGATAGGAAATTGAGGCCAACGAACAGAATTCACAAAATCGGGCAAGACTCCACAACAGCCCGGGTGGTCTAGTGGTATGATTCGCGCTTAGGGTTCGACCTAAGCACTCCTGCGCGAGGTCCCGCGTTCGATCCGCGGCTCGGGCCTGTTATCTTTTTGTCAATTGAATGTCCCCAAGGGGGGTTTTTGGCTGACGGGATATGCACGGAATCAAATTATGTGGGTCACGTGATCGGATTGGGGCGATCTATGCCCTGCGGAGATCTGAATGGACGTTGACCCGATATCATAGTTAGAGCAAAAGAAATAACAATGACCGTCAAAACGATGATCGTCTGAACTTCAAGAGATCGTAGAGCTGCAATTGAAGGCTGCCAGGTGTGCTCGGTGTACCGTATTGACCCCTTTCTAATTGAAGGGCTCCATCTAGTTTTCCAGATCTCGACAGGGTTGTCCTGAGCTTTTCAACTTGTTCATCAAGACACCCTTCTTTCAGCCTTCCGGGACATTGTGGTGGTGGTATATTTCAAGGCCATTCGTAGCTTCTGTTTTAACGTTTTTTGTAGCTTTTTGTTTCATTTGACGATTATCCATTGCGCTCACAGCCATAATTAATCTACACCAGCAGAAATATGTATGAATTAGAATCCTGCCTCTCATGGTGGCTAATCCTCACCAGGCATTAGTGTAAGCTGTGATAGAGAAAGTGACAGCCCTAGGTTATAAATAGCGGAGTTATATCAAGACATACAGAATGGATCGAAACCAGTTTCACCATCTACTCACAGAGATTCTTCCTCGAACCCTCTTTTGAAACACGCTATACCTTTATAGTCACTCTGCCCCCAAACCCCTTTCTCCGCGGTAGTGTAGTACGGATATAAATGACAACATAAATATAGCTTCTGTATTTAACTCGTAAGGTCTATAGGGGTTCTAGAACTCTGATCCAGCATACAAGCCAATAAGACAGATGTCTGCTCGTTTGGAGACGTGGCAGGTATCAAATCCCCATTTCGCCAACCACTTGCCTCTGGAGTGACCACTGCGAATGAGCGAGTAGTATAGTTACAGTATTAGTGGATAGCGTTTCTTTTCTTCTTGTAACAGGCTTGGCTTATTAATAGGGAACTAGCATTTGCTGAGCTAATTAGTCGTGATAATGCTGATGTTGGAACAGAATACTCGACGTGGGCTGTCCGCCAATTTTAGAACAATCATCATCTTAGCGCCCACAAGTCACCTGATAATGAGGCTGAGGACGTGCCCCTCTCTCAGCTAAGAGTCAGATAACTAACCTTCGTATGTAACGCAAAGGACGTAAACAGTGGTCTGATCATGACATCAATATCGTTCCACGGCAACAGCCATGGGATCCAGGTCGGAGATAACCGTGGCTCAATCACAGCAGGGTTCCATCTGCACCCAGGTAAGTTGGGCTCGGAGGAATGGGACAAGCTCGCGGTCGTGATTAATCGCAGCATCTCACCCTAGAGCGACCGGAAACTCCACCCAACCCGTTATCAACCGTCCCGTAGGCGCGCGATCCGGACTTTGTCAGTCGCGATACGCTGCTTAACCGGATTCACGAGAAAAGCTCAGTGCCAGGGTCGAGAATAGCGCTCGTCGGCCTCGGCGGTGTTGGGTGAGTGGAGAGCATCTAGTATGTGGTTTATTGCTTATCGTTTACAACTCGAAGAAAATCACAACTGGCTATCGAATACTCCTATCAAATACGAACCGAATCGCCGGCAACATGGATTTTCTGGGTCCATGCGAGTAGCGAAGCCCGTTTCGAGCAAAGTTTCTGGGACATCGCAGATCAGGTCAAAATACCCGGTCGCCAGGATCCTGCAGTGAATATATATAGACTGGTTGAGAGCCAGCTCCGGGACGAGAAGAAAGGAAGATGGGTCTTTATCCTTGACAATGCCGACGACGACGAATTTCTTTGTTCGCTTCCACCTAATGGAACTGGCACCCTAGCAAGAGAGGATCCAAACGTCTCGATTAAGCCATTGCTAGAGTACGTTCCTAGAAGTCGGAATGGATCTGTCATAATCACGAGTCGAAGCAGAGAGGTCACGCTAAAGATGGTCCATCACCAGGATATTATTGAAGTGAAACCGATGGAAAAATCTGAAGCGATGAAGCTTCTTCAAATACATCTTGGTCAACCAAGGGAGGATCAAGAGAGTCATCTTTTATTGGAAGCGCTCGAGTATATACCGCTTGCGGTCGTCCAGGCCGCTAGCTATGTTCGAGAACAGGGGTCTCGCTACTCTGTATCAAAATATTTGAGAGACTTTCGGGAAAGTGACCGAAAAGCAACAAGGCTTATGGAGCGAGAAGCAGGTCATCTCTACCGAGACTGGGAGGCAAAGAACTCTATTCTGGTATCATGGCAAATTTCATTCGACCATATTCGGCAAATCAAGCGATCTGCAGCGGAATTACTCTCACTGATGAGTTTTTTCGATAGACAGGGAATCCCAGAGCGCCTTATCAGGCTTCAGCCTGATTTCAATCACAGATCAACCTCAGAGCTACTAGACGATTCAATTGATGGGAATTCATCTACATCTGATGTCGACTTCGACTTTGAAGACGATATCATGACACTGAGAAACTACTCATTCATATCTGTTAGTGAAAACGGCTCTTCCTTTATGATGCATCGACTGGTGCAATTAACGACGCGTGCGTGGTTGAAATCTCATGGTGTAATGGAACCATGGAAAGAGATATTTATCAGCAACTTAAACCGCAAATTTCCCATTGGAAAGTACGAACATTGGGAAAAATGCCGCTCACTCTTTCCTCATGTTCGATCAGCGATGCTTCATCGACCGGAATCACAGGGGTATCTCTTGAAATGGGCCACTCTCCTGTATAGAGGTGCATGGTATGCATCGGAAAGCGGTAATATCTCAGATGTGAGGGAGATGGCATTAAAGTCGAGAGATGAAAGAGTGATACTCCTAGGCGCCGAGCATGAAGAAGCTCTTGAAAGTACCGCGATATTAGCAAGAGCATACTCACTTGAAGGCTGCTGGGAGAAGGCTGAGGAACTTCAAATACAGGTGATGGAGACTCGCAAGAAAAAGCTTGGCGAGGATCATCCCGACACGCTTTCGAGTATGGCCAGCTTAGCGTCCACATATTGTAGCCAAGGTCAATGGGACGAGGCTGAGAAGTTCAAACTACAGGTGGTACAAGGCCGCATTAGGAAGCTTGGCGAGCATCATCCAGAAACACTAAAAAGTATGACCGACCTGTCGTCGACATATCTACATCAAAGTCGATGGGAGGAGGCCGAGAAGCTTAATATACAGGCAATAGCGACTTATAAGAGGGCTCTCGGCGCAGATCATCCTGACACACTTTTGAGTATGGCTAGCTTAGCGTCGACTTACAATGGCCAAGGCCGATTGGATGAAGCCGAGTCGCTTAGAATGCAGGTTATGAAGACTCAAAGAACAAAGCTCGGGGAGGACCACCCTCATACACTAGCGAGTTTGAGCAGCCTAGTGGGAATCTACATAGATCAAGGGAGGTGGGATGAAGCCGAGAAGCTCAACATACGTTTAAACGAGACTTGCGAGAGGAAGCTTGGCGAAGCCCATCCGCACACACTGACAAGCTTGAATGGCTTGGCGCACATCCACTTACACCAAGATCGGTACGAGCAGGCTAAAAAGCTTCACGTGCAGATAATTGAGACATGCATGAAAAAGCTCGATGAAGACCATCCTGTGACTCTGAGAAGCTTGGAAAATCTTGCATTGACATATAGATATCAAAGCCGGTGGGAGGAGGCTGAGAAACTCGAGGTGCAGGTCATGGAGACTCGCAAGAGAAAACTCGGCGAGGATCACCCTGAGACGCTAGGGAGCATGTCCATCCTAGCATCGATATATACACAGCAAGGCCAGTGCAGTAAAGCCGAGCAGCTTCAAGTGAAGGTGATGGAGACTCGCAAGAAAAAGCTCGGCGAGGATCACCCTGAGACGCTAGGGAGCATGTCCATCCTAGCATCGATATATACACAGCAAGGCCAGTGCAGTAAAGCCGGGCAGCTTCAAGTGAAGGTGATGGAGACTCGCAAGAGAAAGCTCGGCGAAGATCATCCCGACACACTTTCAAGTATGACCAGCTTGGCAGTAGCATATTGCAGGCATCGCCGGTGGGAAGAGGCCGAGCAGCTTGATGTGCAGGTGATGGAGACTCGCAAGAGAAAGCTCGGCGAGGATCATCCCGACACACTTTCAAGTATGGCTAACCTCGCCTTTACCTGGAAATCTTCGGGTAATGATGCCGAGGCCGTCAAGTTACTTAGGGACTGCCTAGTCAAACAGCAGCAAACACTAGGGCAAAATCATCCGGATACTCTCTCTACTTCTGAAGCATTGCTGGAATGGGAAACGGAGAAGCTGGATATAAATGGCTAGGCAAGCTAGATACTCGAATTTAAAAACATGTATGCACTGTGATGCAATTGCTCATGAATATCTTTCCATCATGGCTAAGCCTAATGCACACTATGCGAAAAGAATAGACCTTATCACCTGGTCCAACTCTGCTACCAAGAGTGGGTACGGTGATAACAGAAAGGCCACACGAATGAGGAGCAACAAAGCGACAGTATTGGTTATCGAGCGTTTCCGGTAATTTACACGACCTAGTCTCATAGGTTCTATGAAAGCAAAGCGGTGAAACTGATTTCGACCCATCCTGTATATGATAGCCATTTAAAACATTTCCAAGTTTAAGAGTGTGCTGTAACTATAGTTCCGATTGCCGCCTGAGGCATGAGGTGACATAAGCCGATATGATGTCAGAAATGTGCGGGCGCTGATTGGTGGTAGGCCAAACCCCGCGCTATCACCTGATGCTCAGGTGCTCCCTTGACTCTTTGTCTACATCTTCATTGTTTAGCCTCTAGCTGTTTTGAATTGTTGAAATGTCGGATACTTACCTTCCAAGGGGAGGCTCTGAAACTTCCCTCAACTCCGCTGCAGACCCGGGCGATGGCTCCGGAATCGCCTCACCCCGAACCAGTACGGACTCCCGCCCTTCCACAAGCCAACACCGCCCGTCGCATATGCCTCCTGCAAATCAGCCACACCGCCAGAGCTTGAGCGAGACGCTGCGTGGTCCCCCGGGATCGCCTCGTACACGTCGACAACCATCCCTGAACCAGGCCGCTCTCCAGAGCTTGATCGATAACCCCCCACCCCCCAAGACTGTTGACTCGGCTTTTGTTGGTCGTGACTGGCGAGAGATCTCCATTGGGGAACTTGTTAGCCCGGAGGACCTTCAATTTGTTGAGTTGGACACAGGAATTGAAGAAGCAACGACCGTGAGAGTCCCAGAGTCCATGCGATAGCGTTTTGAGATCTAACATCTACTTTCCTTCCAGATACTGATTGACTCTGGTACCTCAGTCCTACTAATTCGCGAGTCTCCCGAGCATAATTCTGCTGTTGCTACCTTTGATTACTCTGATCTCAACACCTATCTTCTTCTCGCTGCTGGATTGACCCTCCCAGCGGAGGAACACCGCGCGTCGTATGATGAACTTGCCAAGAAAGCTCGCGAGGGGACGAAGATTCCCCTCAAAGATGTAAAGGACTTGGGCATGGAGAATGAGCCATTGGTAACAATGCCAGCTACAGCAAATGTTCTGGCCGCCGTCGAAACATTTGGCGGTGGAATTCACCGCGTTGTTGTGACAAAAGAAGCCGACGATAACGAGGTGATTGGTATATTCAGTCAGTTCCGACTCGTCAAGTTCTTATGGGAGAATGGACGTAGCTTCCCTATAATTGATGAGCTATATCCCCAGGCTCTGAATGCACTGCAGCTCGGATCACAAAGTGTGATTTCTATCAAGTGAGTTCTGGCAGTGCCCGGGTGCAAATCGTTCCGGTAGCTAATTCATGTTTGCAGCGGCGACAAGCCTCTCAGCGAAGCCCTCCAGATTATGAACAGTGAGGGGATAACTTCACTCGTCGTGGTGGATAATCATATGAACGTGATCGGCAATATATCTGCTACAGACGTCAAGGTATACAAGGCAACCTCCCCAAAAGATGCCTCTGCTGACCACTGCCCAGCTCCTGACTCGGTCCTCGTCATTGCCTCTTCTTCAGAACACATGCACACACTTCATCTCCGTGATTCTGTCCACCCGCGGCTTGATCGAAGGCAAAGATTCTTTCCCCGTTTTCCATGTGCACCCGACCTCGACCCTGGCCCATACAGTGGCAAAGATGGTCGCGACTCGATCGCATCGGTAAGATGGCATTGGAACTGTGATTCATAAGATCAATTACTGACATAGCCAGGCTCTGGGTGACCGATCCGCTCTCCCCATCATCGTCAGGACCGCCAACTCCTTCGCATTCGACCCCACACATTCCTCTAGCTACACCGAACAACGCTGTGTCTCCGCCACCATCCCCTCTCCCCCAACCTACGACCTCTATACAGGCCCCTGACTATGCCACGCCGCATCTTCCGGCACCACCCCAGCCTTTCTCAGGCAATGGCCTGTTCTCTCACCCTAGTGGAGTTACACCTCTCGCACCTTCCATTCCAGCCTCTTCTCTGCCCGGTGCCCGTCTGTCAGGACGCCTCGTGGGCGTGGTAAGCTTGACTGATATTCTCAACATGCACGCTCGTGCCACAGGCCTCAGTCCTGCAGACCCGGCCGAGTCTCGCCGCCGACGACGCAGCAGCTCGTCAAGCATGAATTTCCGTCGCAGCGGCGAGGTTGGCCGCGAGCTATTCAGCCGGGGCGGCATGTAAAGAGATCGCAATACAGCATGTTAGCTGTGAAGCTGACAACAGCTGGAAGACCGAAACCCCCGAATGCAAACACAACAATTTCCATACATCGGCATAGACGCCACCCCCACTCGTTCTTGCACATGGTTTACACGCATCTTGATTGCCACCACTTCCGGGCGTTCTGATCTTTTCCTGGTGTTTTGTCCATAGGCTCTGGACTGGAGGACTTTGTCAAATTACAGTTTTTCGGCGATGCCGTTCATCAGTCCTGCAAATAAGACGGATAATTTTTCCTTAGTGGATAACTATGGCGCAATATTCTGCGCATCTGTAGTGCTGGTTCTACTATTTGTCAACCCCTACTACCCTTGGGGGCGTTGCGAAATCCCTAACTACGAATCATAATGATCATCGGTGGCTTGCCAGTGCTCCACCGATCACCGACCCACCGAGCTAGCGCGCAACGAGATTCTCCTAACGCACTCGGGTATATACCGAGTGGACACGATAGTATCCAGTCCGTTGAAAGCCTAATGCAAATTATGGCGTCGGTCTCAACGGGCTTCGGGGGCGCCTCAATCCTGAGGCGACTGTTATGAAACCTTGGAATCGAGTTAGGGTGAGCATTTCCCCGCGCCAATCAAGAACCCGTGACTGGTCCACCGCCTTGTGTAACCGGTTTCACGTAAATCTTGAATCCTCTCGCCTAATAGCCGATCATGCCGTTCTGCCTCTTCCACTGGTTGTTTGAAAGAGCGCACGGTATCTCCATCCCCAGGCGGTTCAATCCGACGCAAACCTTGTGAAAGAGGGCAGATGACCATCGACACCTGACCCGATGGGCTGGACACAGGCACAATGCGAATGGCTCGTTAGGCCAAGAGCCTATCCTTGGTCTAGTTATAGTGATCGTCAGATCGGGGAACAATTCGGGCACATCCGATTCAATATGGCTGTTATCTCCATCATTATCCTCTGGGCGTGTAGATGAGCGGGGTTAGATCAGAGCAGTGTTGGTAATAATTGACTCATTCCATTCAGAATAACGCATCCTCTCGAAATGATTCCAAATGTCAGTCCGATAACCACACGTAGACAAAACTACCGAATAGAAAACCTAGCAGAAGTGGACAGCCAGACAGCACCCCTTCTTCATGAGTGGACAGCACAGCAGCACATCAGCCACAGGGATAGGACAAAACCTGGAGAAGGCCTCCCGAAAGCCAGATAGTCAGCGCCGGATCCACCAATCTAGCCCGGTCTCTAGTCTCTCCTCTCCTCTCCACCGCCAGGCTGGATCGGCCTATTGGGAGAATGGGGTGAATCCCCTGGCCTTGGCTCTATGATTGGCCTGATCGTACTCTGCAGCCGGTTTGGCAGTCTCCCGATCTGGAATTCTTAAATACCCGGTAGGATCGCGATAGGGACGATCTTGATGTAAGTTTGTATGTGTGGTTTACGTGAATCAGGTGTTCAATGACGTGTTTTCCAATGACCTACCTTGACATCATTCGGATGGGACCATCAGTATAGCTCCGTGGTATGCTAAGCGGTAATGCAGGGGGGGGGGGTAAGGCTGCAGATAGTAGACTTCAGCGCACGAGCAATGTGGATAGTCTACAAGGATCACAAATCAAACAACAAAGGTAGCGGATAGCTGCAGCGTGCAGATTGCTTGATCTGAGAAGACCGCTCCAGGCCCTCGTAATTGCACCATCCAACCACCCACCATCGACTATAGCTGCCCTTTTCAATCCTAGGAAGATCCAGCGTATCTAGCATGGACCCCTAAGGATGACCTAGAGAGGCAATGGCACGGCACCAATGGGCAGACCGCAAACGTGCACGGGGTCGTGATTACGACAAGGCAGAACCATGGAATAGTTCGAGGTCCACAATTCCGACCCTTAATTATATTGGTCGAAGCCGAACCGTTGGAGCCGTGGATCGTGCGACTTGTCCCGATACGGATGTGGTCTGTGCGGAGCTGCAACCTTAACCCCGCAATTTCAGCGTCTCTTATCTCTTACCATCCATTTGAATTGCTGAACATAATCTAGTTTAGTATATTTTCTAAGAGAGGGATACCAAGAGAGCTTTATTCTAATACTTAAAGTATAGCAAACAACATCATGACTGGGGAAAAAGAAAGGGAAGGGAAGAAGACCACCCATCGAGGTAGGCGACCCACTTCATACCTCCCAGTCCCTGCAGATCACGAATCAAATTCCGACCCAGACCCATCATCCCGGGAGCGCCTCATTCCCAACTGCAAGGCACCCCGGGATATATGCAGCTCTGACCTCACCCCTAGCGCCATCCAATCTTCAGCGTCAGAGTTATTCCCCGATAATGTCGAATACGAGCGGCTACCCGTCGCTGAATATGCCCAACTGGGGAAAGTATTCCGTGGCCACCCAGATGATAAACGCCAACAAATGAGGGGTTTAGCAACGAGTCCACTCATTGGTGGTCGATCAGCCGAGCTGGGGCCACAAAAGTACCTGCCATCCAGATTCTGCATGGCCTAAGCCGCTTGAGCTCACATCAGAGTGGCTTATGTCTGATGTCAGGAGTGGAGAATTGGATTTCATTTGCGATCATCATTTTCTCTCTCTCTCTCTCTCTCTCTCTCTTGCTCTTCTATCTGTATGGGTAGGTGAACTAATAGGTATGTGAACTCCGCTATGGTTGGTGCGTGCTTTGTGTGTGTGTGTGTGTGTGTGTGTGTGTGACACGAGTTGAGTTCTGGGTTGGTACCAGCTCATGCAAAGTGGAGTAATGATCGGAGCTATAAGTCTGGACCGGAGAGCTTCTGTGACTTTAGCCTGTAGCTGGCACGGCCCGTAGACTTGATAGGACTGGGATGCGCTTGGGTGGGTAGAGGTCAAGGGAGGGATTTTCAGGTTGGCCGGAATAGGAAGTGATTGTTTGCGGCCCGATGCAACGATGGCCTGTGCGGGGACCTGAAAAAAACCCTTTCTCTAAGTAACTAGTCTGGTCTGGTCTGGTCTTGGATTGTGATTTGCAGTTTGATTGGTATTTCGTCTCTCGTGGCTGTGGAAAGTACATAGCAGCAACATGGAGCTTGAGATCCATGGTACATGGTACGTGGTTTGTACCCGGTCCCATCAGGAAAAAAAGCCGCCACGCCACGGTCATCCAGATCCCGCTGGTAAGATATTAAAGAAAGTTATAGATAAATCGGCATGAGAAGGAAAAGGTATGGTACAGGTAGCAATGTACAAAGCCAAAGCATCATATACAACAAAAACGGGATAGATTGTTCCCCGGGGGAATCAAGAAAGGGAAGAAGAGAAAGGATAGACGAAAAGCCAGAGAGAAATACGGGATCAGCAGGACACTGAACCATATTCATCAAGGTGGACGAAATCGTCGAACCCGTTGAAATCCCGCTCTTGCAGGGACGAGTTGCCCAGGCCCAGAGCAAACTGGCTGAACTCGTTAAAGTCCGCATCCAATTCCTCGTGGGAGACCATGATGCCGTCGCCTTCCGGCTTGTATGAGAGGTCTGCCTGAACAGTTCCAACAGCAGTGGGCGAGAGCGGTGTGTTGGGAGTAGGGCAGAAATCAGGTGTAGACTGAGTCGCGGCAGAGAACACCTCGACCTTGGGCGAGCTGTTTCCAGAGGGAACCATCTGCGCCAGGTGTGTACCCTGCGTGAGCAGATTAAGGCGGTGGATATTGTTGCTTGGCTGCGACTTTCCACGCGAGTGGCCGCCGCCACTGGGACCGGAAATGGATGCGGCGGGAGCGGGCTGAGGAGCGATGTGTTGCACGGGGAGTTCCGGGGCAGAAGCAAGACGATCTCTGAACTGGCGCATCTGAACGGCGGCTGCGGCGTCCGCCGGCATTTGCGCCTGTTGCATCATCTGCTGCTGCCACATATGCACCGCGGTGGCATCGGTGGGTGTTTGGCTTGGGGTGGGGACTTGCTGTTGCATGGCCCAGGACGGCGTCATCTGGGTGGGCCAGTTGGGCCCCGGGGTCTGCCTCTGTGTGACATATGCCGGGATTTGCGCCGCTGGTGCGGAAGTCATCATGCCTGAGTAGGCGGATGAGGCATCTGAGCCATCGATGCATTGCATGTAAGACTGGGAGTTGTGGTCGAAGTTGGTCGCCGGTGACATAGCGTATGCCTCGGTGCCAGAGGTCATAGGGCTGCTCAATGAGCTTGTATCCATTCCCTGAGGGAAAGGAGTCCGCAGGTTGGACAGGTCCAAGCTCATCTTCCGGGAATTGCCGCCGTCAATGGAGGCGCGCGGGGCCATGCTGGAGCGACGACTGGCAATTGAAGAAGCCGAAGAGCTGCTGGCACGGGCTGCAAAGGCAGCGAGTAGATGGCGATGGAACTGCTCCTCAATCTGCATATTTTGGGCTTGCAACATGCGAATTCGCTTCTCTTGATATCGCTCGTCAACTTCCTCATACATGGCTTCCTTCTCGACGATATCCTTGGTGATATGGAAGGCCTTGCCGGTACGCTTCTTATGAAGCATAGAAGCCCGATTGGCAGATTCTAGCCGCGCATCCAAGCTGCGGTCCTTGCGGCGCGAAGCCGCAATAAAGGCTCTGTACGGGTGGGTTAGTATATTCTGGTAACGCCACCTGAAGGGGAAAGAAGGACCTACCTCTCTTGATTCTCCTCCCGCGAGCGGGGGACAGGGGAGATGTCCTGATCTAAATCTGGAGATCCCATAATTGATAACGTGTACTCTACGGTAAGAGCATAGATGATAGTCCAGAGCCAGCAGAGGGGGAGGAGAGGGGCATACTAAATACCCACCGAGATAGACTTTCAGCCGGAGGGGGTAAAAAGCTGTCAGGCCGCAGTCGAAGCTTGGAGAGCAGATCCATGGGTCCATCAGCGATCGTAGTTTGGACGCCGCGAAAAGTCTCGTTCGGGGTCGGACCATGGTACCAGGGCCTGTTCTGCTGCGGGCCCAATGCACGGCGAGTCCGTTCGATAGCGCCACCCAATACGAGCGGCCTTACGGTGCAGTGCCGCAGACCGCAGCCTGCCTCCTCTGGTACATACCGGGACTTTGGGACTATGGGACTTTGAGCGGGGAGCGGAAATCTCATCCAGGGTATGAATACTGTTCTGCACCACAGGCCTAGAACCCTGTATCATCGGTGGAGACGCTGCTCCCCCGCGATGCGACTACAGATCCGCTTCCTAACGCGGGATTGCTTCATCTTCTTCCTTTTGACTTGTTCCCTGCTATACCTTGCCTATGGTTCCTTTTTTTTTTTTTCTCACTGTCACACCACACGTGACGGCACACTGCAGAGTTTTTCTGTAACTGTAGCCATCGCGTTCCTGCAGCCCGGAGGAGGGGGGGGGGGGGGGGGTTTCTTGCCGATCCTCAACGGCGATCGGCCCCGATATGAGTTCATATCGATTCCTTTTTCCCCCTATACCACCTAGCACCTAGTGTCCCGACTAGCCCTACAATCCCGATTGCCGAGCCCTCATCCCCCAATCGGGAGGTAAGAAAGTTCCCCTAGGGGCGAAAGTGGGATGGTGGGATGGTCAGCAACAATTTCCGACCCAGATCCATAGGATCGTATTCTTGAAGAGTAATCAATTATACTCCTACGGGCCTCAAAGGTCCTCTTGGGACCCTCCTAGTTTAGCCTAGAGCCTCTTGGAGCACCGCAGCCTAGGATACGGAATCATCCACCGGACTCAGATAGAGACATTATGATTGGGCAGATATAACACCAGATAGAGAGGATTCAGCCGTTGCGTCGAAACTGCAGGATCTAGATGCGCCTTGCACAACCCCATCAGATGTGTCCGCCACGCCCCCCCCCCTTCTCCCATGGCTATCCGCGGGATGTTCTCTTCGTCCTTGGGTTCGCCACCCCTTGTGCCTACAGGTCTAGACGCCTTATCGTCTTATCGCCTTATCATCCGGCCGAATCTAAGCCGGTTGGAGGATGTCGGGGTCGGGGTCGGGGCCGGGGCTGGGGTCTCGCCACTGGCACCGTTGAGGCAGGTAGGTAGGCGCTTTTTCACATGAAGAAGTATAGAGATTGTATGTTGTACTTTGGACTTGTTTTGTTTTTTTTTGCTTTTGGGCATGTACGAGCCCCGGGGATTTACAGAAAGAACGTGCGAATGGTACCTTTGCTCGCAAGCTTGAACTCTATAGAATAATCCCGGTCAAAGTTAAGTGAGCTGACACTACGTTAAGTGGAGAACCTCGGTAGATCACCCTCTCCATCGACGATTATTCCTATCCCAACGGGAATTGAACGAAAAAAAAAAGCTTGAACATATCATAACCTAATGATGGATGTCACAAGAATCAAATCTATATCTACATCATCAATACCCCAACAACGCCACTCCGAACTCCAAACGACCCCGGGTCTCGCCTGCGGAGATTCATCGGCGCTACCATTTCCGTGGCACTTTGAACGGCACCAGCCACATCTCCACCGGAGCCAGATTTAGTTCTGCAAGAACAGGAAGTTCACAGGAGCCTGAGTAAGGCCTGAGTGGAAATAGTTGGAGGTGGCCCAGAGTTGCAACGATGGATAACGTGCAAGGCCCCGGAGATGCTCCGACCAGGCTTGCGCCAGTTCGTCCCTTTCTCCCATCTTCCATCTCCCTGCCGAAGGAGAAATCCCCGCCGAAGGAGGATCCCGATAGATGCCGGATCGGCGTGATCGACACCATACCCTGCTAGTAACGGTATGATGTACCAACAGTGTTCCTGCAAAGTTCGCAGTTCCGCGGGATCTGCTCGGGCCTGTTCGGTCCCTTGTGCACGTTTTATGGTGTTACGTTGCCCTGATAGAGCTGATGGATCTTAAGCTCATCGGTTCGGGCGGACGGATCGACTACCATTGCCAAATAGGGTAATAACCTAAGAGTAGTAGTAATTTATGCGGCTCATCTGGCAATGGAATCAGATATCGGCAGAGGCATTCGCACATGGAATTCGAGTTGGATTGCAGATATGAATCGATGTATCGAAGCAATGCAGTTTCAGGTTCACGATGAGATCTTTATAAACAGAAGGAACGCTAAGTTTTCAAAGCACAACATAGAGGGAGGCGAGTCTTCATGTAGACTTGAAAGGGGAATCAGAAACTACGGAGTCCCAAGGACCTGGTCCCTTGACTCGTAGCCAAATCATTCAACTCAAAAATGGCCTTTCGGCAGGCCGGTAAACGGGGCGGGGCCTGGAGACGCATGTCATGCCACTTATCTTGGCATTGTCTCACTTGAACCGAGCCGCAGAGAAGCATGTTCGCGCGTTCACGCAAAGCTGTCGCAAATCCTCAGGCAAGACCCTTAGGCGATTCCCAGGGGTGGTACCATGCCCTGTTCCTCGCGGGCCTCGGCTCCAAGCTTGTAGGACACCTTGAACCGAATTTTCACCGAGTTGCCCTTGCCCAAGTCAATGCCGTCCAGGGCCATATCCTGATGCACACCGTTCTGCTGCTGCGGAGCGATGTCTCGTCCTGATTGTGGACGGAGCTGCAGGGTGTATGACTAGAGATTGGTCAGCAAGTTATGCTCCTGTATGTAGGCTGAGTCACATTACCTTTTCTACAGCAACCTGGAAGTGTAAATCACTGATCGACTGGCTAGTCATGTTGGAAAAGACGGCCTGAATATAGATTTGGCGGGATGCAGTCTGCACCCGACGAGCGGCAAAGTCAACGCGCAACTGCGAGTTCAATACCTGAAATTTGTTCATCATGGGCAGGGCATTGCTTTGAGGGAGCGATGATGCAAAGTTCCAATCGTCATCCTCAGCGGCGGGTGCCTTTCCAGCAGCCTGCTGCGGAGTGGCCGTGTCGCCCATCAGGTCCAACAAGGACGATGAGGCTGCTGCGGATTGGGCTTGGAAGGGACTGCCTCCAGGTCGGGGACTAGCAGACATCAGTGATGCAAATGGATCCGCTGGCTGCGGCGGGGTGGCCGTGGTGCGGGCCTGAGGCGATGCTCCCGGCACGGGCGTGGAAGACTGAGAAGCAGGACGAGACGTATTGAAGGATGCAAGGATATCGTAATTGGGCTTGAATCCCGCGGCAGCCTGTTGGGCAGGCTGAGGGGATGCCGCAAGCGGAGACGGCCCTGAAGAGACTGGAGGGAAGCCCACTAAAGTTGTGTTAGCAATGACATGGGCTGTTTGCTCGTTCAGCGGGGACTTACTACTAGAGCCGCCCAGCGAGATCCCGCCGCCAGAAGCAGGTTCCTGGTTGCCAAGAGAGAGCCCGAGCAAGTCATCCTCCAAGGCATTTCCACCTTGCGCCGATGCCTCACCGTTACCGTTGGGGCTCGGCTCCTCGGGGTCGAAGTCGATCAACGAAAGCTCATTGTTGGCATTCGTGGAAACTCCAGTCGTCGTACCCAATGTACCCTTGGGAATTCTAGACGCCGCATCCAGGTCGCCCTTCTTGACAAGCTTGTACCGCTCAATGGTGCGGTGTATGCTATCATTGATCTCGAGTAGTTTGTGGACAGCTTCAGGATCATCCGACTCTTCCTCGCACATCTTCTGAATCTTCGGGTGGGCGCTTTGAAGGGCGGCAGCGAGTTCCTCGAAGACATCGCCTTCAGGCATGCCCGCGCCAGGCTGCTGACTCTGCAACATTTCCTCCAGAATCTTAGCTTTCTGTTGTACTTTGGACACTTCTTCCGCCGCCTTTGCCCGGTAGTCGGTCTTGTGTCGGTTGTCGAAGCCCGCCATAACCTTCATGAGCCGGTTGGCTTCCTGCAGATCAGCGGGAGTGCCTCTTCGAATCAACTCCTGCAGCTTTGCAGACTGCGCCTCCTTCTCTTCCTCCTCCATTTCTTCTGCCGAGCGCAGGTTCTAGGGTATAGTCAGTATCTGGCGAAGACCAATGCCTGGGCCCGAAAACCTACGTCACTGGGGTTGAGAACAGCCGCATCCTCACGGCGGACCTCCGGGAACGCGTAGCCCTTGTAGAGTAGCAATCGGTGCATATCACGAATGTATCCCAGATCCTCCTTATAGCGCGATGTTTGGCAAATGGTCTGCCGCCACTCTTCGATCGACTCCAAAATGCGGTGCTGGACTCGCGAAGCTCGCATGGGCGGCCGCTCGGGGAAACGACGAACCAATTCATTCAGAAATTCTTTGGTGCTGATTTGAAGTTGGAAGGGGTATCCGCAATTCTTGACGCAAATGTCGAGGAGCTATATTCAGGGTGGTCAGTTATCCCCGCGCCAGGCTGTCATCTGCGATTGCATAAACATACCGCCAACGCCAATAACGCGACATTCTGGTTACGAGAATTGATCAGATGGACGATCTCGACGGCTGCTTCTCGAGGACTACGAGGACAGATTGTTAGAATTGCGCGCGGGGTGTCTCGGCAGTCCGACTCACGCATTGCCTTTCTTGGAGTTGATTAGGTCCGCGACTTCGAGGTTCAAGGCCAGGTTCGGTTCGTAGTTCTGGGGATCGCATGCATTTCCTAAGGGCAAGAGAAGTCAGCAAACAATATCTGGAAGCTTAATGAGGGGGCAAGCTCACGGATGGCCCGCTGCAGCGGTGATAGTCCCGGCTCAGCATAGGTACCGAAGCGGTCCCTAGCCGCCATGCGTGCGGAAGCAGCCTCCAGGATGGCGGTTGAAGGAAAGGGGGGGATGAAGTTGCGATATAGAAGAAAGGGGAGTGGGGTTGTTTGGGGTTCGATGTTCGCGGAAGAGGAGGCACCGCCCCAAGTGTTCACTTCCTTTTGGAGAGCGGAGTCCCGCACGTGTGCTTGGCCACCTTTTTTTTTTTCCCCCTCTTTAATCTTCCAGCCTCACCATTCAAGTCCAGGTGTCTGTAATTGTATACAGACGCTATGGTCCGTCACAAGAAAGACAATTTCTCTCGAGGAGGAAAGAAGTTCTCCGCCCCCCGCCCGCGACCGGTGCCCCGCGGTGACGACGAAGATGCTGCAAGCTCGCCGCGGCCGGCCTTCAAGGCTGCCTGCTGGGACATGGGACACTGTGATCCCAAGAGATGTTCGGGAAAGCGTTTGATGAGGCTGGGTTTAATGCGAGAGCTACATATCGGCCAGCGATTCCCAGGCGTTATCGTCTCGTATGCAAATCCTTCATTTGTCGCATTCATTTTACTAAAAGATCAACTCAGACCTAATGCGAAGAAAGTCGTCTCTCCCGCCGACAAGGAACTTATGGAACAATATGGCGCCGCAGTGGTGGAGTGCTCCTGGGTCCGAGTCAAGGAAGTACCTTGGTCGCGGATTGGCGGCAAATGCGAACGACTGCGTATGTGCTTAGTGTGAAGGACTAATTCGCATGGACTTCTGACTGACGTTCACATATCTACAGTGCCTTACCTCATTGCGGCTAATACGGTTAACTACGGCAAGCCATGGCGATTGAACTGTGTCGAAGCCCTGGCCGCCTGCTTCTGTATCTGCGGACACGAAGAATGGGCACGGGAAGTCCTCAAGAACTTCAGATATGGAGAAGCATTCCTCGAGATCAACTCCGAACTTCTTCAGCGGTACGCCGCCTGTGCGACAGAAGAGGATGTGAAGAGGACAGAGGAGGAGTGGCTCGCCAAGATCGAACAAGAGTATGAAGACAGCCGCGCCGAGGGAACTAATGATATCTGGACGACTGGAAACACCAACCGTTTGCCCGCCAAGAAAGGCTCCGATGACGAGGACGATGACGAAGATGATGAATCCGGAGAAGAAGATAGCGAGGAGGACGAAGAAGATGAAGTCGACAGAGACCCATTCGCGATCTCCGATGACTCGGAGGATGAGGACCAGATGGCAGAGATTCGGCAGAAGATTCTTAACTCCAAGGCTTTCCAAAATCCATCGGTCGAAGAAAAGCAACAGCCCGAGAAGATCGAAAGACCGGAGCCTACATATGTTGACTCGGATGCCGAGTCTGGGTCGGCTGGAAGCGAGGACGAGGACTTTGACAACATTATCAACGCGACTACGGTGACGGACCGTACCGGTATCAAGGATGTCCAGCGGCGACGGGGACAGGAGGCTGTGACTGCTTCATTCTCGAGGACGGAGATCTCTGCTCCGAAAAGATGGTGAATGTGATGTGATGTCTGGAATGGCAATCGAAACGGATTCGCTGTATTTCAAAAAAATGTTTTACGACTTGGCATATATGAACTCATGCATTATTAAGATTAATGACCTCATGATTAAACACAGCTGGTCCCTGATAAATCAGGACCTGCTTTGGGCTGCAGAGGAGTTCTCATCCATGATAGCACCCACTTGGGATGACATAGCCTGGGCCCGCCAGGACGTAGAGACATTTCAAGCTTGAAGAGCTCCATAGCAAACCGCTATTCAGTATCACCCATGAAGCCAATATGGGTGATTTGGAGAAGTCCAGAGCAAATTGGGCATCTTCATGATAGCACTTGGAGCGCAGATTTGCCTGGTCCTTTAAGTGAAGTATACGCAGCCCCAAACCGCGTGGTTCTGCCTGGGCATCTTTTCTTAAAAGTACTTGAGAATGGTGATTTTTGTCAAGTGAACCTTCTATTCAAAGGCTTCTTGCCCCTCCACGTAATTGTTGTCTATCGCATACTGAGTGGCATCTGGATTTTTGCCTCTGGCATCGTGGACAGTCCAATTCACAACGGGTTGGACGTGCGTGTGTCAACGAGTGGGCAGTGGATTGGAGGACCAGTGGGTTCGGATCATTGTAACTGGGAAGCACGGGCTTCTGCCTGCGTCGTGGCCCGGGAGCCGGTTTTCGCCAAGAAGGATGGAAGTATTTGGATTGTAAGAGAGAGAGATCGCTTGGATACTCGGATTGTAGAGGGTAAATATTCGGAGGCATTGGAGTATCGTAGGGTTGAGATACACAGATCAGAAAAATCAATTATTTTATCTCAAAGAGATACAGGCTGAGTACCTGCTTTCATGGTGTATATATAGTCGTCCAAAAAGGGATAGGTCTCAAATTACCCTGCATTAAAAACGGCGAGGCTCCTTCAAGGCTACGGATGTAAGGACGGGCGCACTCGTGGCCTGGATTGGATAGGGTTGAGCTAAAGCAAGGTAAAAATCCATATACTGACACTCTTCACATAAATGATTCAAAACGAATCGGCCCTTTTGAATAGCGTCACTCAGTAAAGGAGAACTCTTATCAAGGACTGGTTTCCCTCCCTGTGCACCTGATCACAATCCCTTCATAGTGGTGTATCAAGGCCTTGCCAATGAGGACTCCCGTAATAAAGGAAGTCACCGAGATCAACCTCGGAACTAACTCGTAAATACTCCAAACTTACTTCATTTGAAGATTCAAGAGGTGGAAAGTGATGAACGTGATCGGGTCTTTATATCTATGGAGCATCACGTGCCAGTCTCTGGGCCTCACGAGGACATTTCGAATGCTGCGCCAATAAATTAGGAGGATCATACATCGTGGCTTCTATGTTAAAAGATTATCACTTTTCATGTTGTTAGCGCTCCAAGGTGGCAGACGTGTAAGACCCGTGAATGCCTAATCGACACCTGCCAGAACATGCACGTGTGGGGTTACCGCTACATATACACCCCCTTTACGCTCTGAGTCGTTGACCCATATCCATCAGGGACAAGTCGGATATTTACGTAGAAAGACTGATTTACAGGGCAAGGCGCATGTCTATTGCCTATTCCGTGTCATTCATACAGCCTTAGCTCATGCAGGGCACAAGCGCCATGACGCCATGACGCGGGCACGGGTTGAGCCTCAGCTCGGTTCGCCTGACTTCATCTAATGATGGCATCACCCGCAGGCTGTGCCCCCCCTCGTTCAATATTCACTGTTCTAGTGGGTGACGTTGGGCGAAATGCGCATTCGACCAGGTGGGCCGTGTAGGTGACGCTAAAGGCGATCGTCCCGCCTTATATGATCACCGTCGCTTCCCCTGATGAATTGCTGCAAACTTTCTTCGGGCATATGGTAACGCTGGCGGGGAAATATTACTCATCGATCTTCAAAGCTCCTTCCTCGACTTGATAGGTCCGAATTCTCCTCCTCATCAGAAGTCGGGTCGAAGACAGTAAACAGTTTTCCAAATCTGGACCGGTTCCGCTATGGCGCATCCACCGGCCAACAGCTCTGCATCCCCTGAAAAAAGGGTGACAATGAAATGGCAGAACCAGCTCAACGGCCATCTGTACCAGAGAGGCGTGGCTCAGGTTTCTTGAACTTCTTCTCGTCTATTCTAGCCTCCAAGAACCCACTGCCTCATGCGGCAGACCCAAGCAAGAATACCGTCTGGCTGTTGGACAACACGGCCTATCTATCGATCAACGATGATTCAGACGGCAATGGGCAGCAGTCATGGAAAGCCGAAGTTGTCGCATGTATTTTCCAGACCGAGGGCCGTAAAGATGTCGGTAAATGGGTCGCTGCGATCGCCGATTATATTGGCCTGGATGGGGAGGTCGGCCTCGATGACCATGGCGCCACCATGGCGCATGCGATAATTGAAAAGCGCGTACAGCCATTTCTCGACCATGTCTCTCTTTCTTGCACCGCCAGAATCGACATGAAGGTTGATGGATTAGCCCAGTCCCACTCCCTGGGACCTTCTGACCGCAACGGCATCATCAGCCAGATTGTTGACCTGGGTGGATCTGATGTCCACGATGGCGCCGTCATACGTTCGTCAGCTCATAGCTTCAACGACCAGCCCGCGGCAACAGGAGAAACACGCTTCGCCGCACCAGAAGGCTGGCTTGTTGTCTCGGACATTGACGACACGATCAAGCGCACCATGACGATGGAGCCCACCGGCATTCTTCGTACCACCTTCGCCGAGGAACCTGTGCCGATCAAAGACATGCCAGAGTTCTATCGTCATATACATTTTGAGTTAGACCCAACCTGGTTCTATCTTTCGGCATCCCCCTACAACCTCTATCCATTCCTGCACCAGTTCCTCCATGAGTACTACTGCCCTGGCACAATCGTACTGCGCGACTACTCCTGGATGGATATTAGCGGGCTCATTAAGTCTTTCACGGAGAAGACGCAAGAGTACAAGGTAGACCGGATGGAAAAGATTCAAAGCTGGTTCCCACGTCGTCGAGTTCTGTGCATCGGCGATTCTACTCAGAAGGATCCTGAGGCATACGCAGAGATGTATCATCGATACCCCGGGTGGATCCATGCCATCATTATTCGGAAGGTGACAGATGTATCTCACATGGAGGAGAAGAACAAACCCGAGAGGTTTGAAGCGGCATTTAAGGATATACCCCCCGAAGCTTGGACTGTCTTTGAGGACACCCAGGAGCTCTATGCCTTTGTCGATGGATTGGGCATGGAAGACCAGGCACTTTAATATCCAAACTATTTACTAGTCCATAGTTTTTTTCTACTCGTGAACATTCGTGAACATAGTACCAACAATTTTTGCACATTATACAATTTATACTCCCACTTTCCACTCACCCCCCTCTCTTCCCAATTGATTAACTAGTGTTTTAAGGATTAACCCTCACAACAGCCATCCCACCCCGTCGACTCCCAGCAAGACCCGCAGCCCCGGCCTCAAGCAATTTCGCCGCATTAACCAAATCGACAACCTGCTCCTCCCTCCCCCGAACCCTGTTCTCCTCTACAAGCTCCACAATCTTCTCCAAAGCCTTAGAATCCGGATTCACAGGCACAAACCTACTCTTCAACCCCCTCTTCCTCCTCCCCAGCAAATCCTGTTCATCACCACCCTCGCCCTCCCGCGCCGGACCCGCATCAACAGCCGTGAGAACAGCCCCATGATCCTTGGCAACACAATGAGCCTGTCGAAACACCTCACCACCCGTACAATCAAGCACAATATCAACAGGGTCCCACTTCATTCGACGGAATTCAGGCCCGATGGCACATTCATTCTCAGCCGGGAGGTGCGGGATCACAATGACCCCGTCGACATCCCAACATCCGCGGACGATCCGTTCTTCAGCCGGTGAACATGTCACACAGACCCATGGCCGTATACCCGGGAAGAGCTTGTCTGATCGAAGCATTTGTACGGCGAGACGACCTACCTCGCTATCGCGCGCGTTCGTGACGAGTACACGGGCAGGACCGGCTTTCTTTCCTGAAAAGAGAGAGCTGCTCCGGCTAATGAATCCGCCACGTTCTGTTGCGAGTAGGCTCCCTTTTCGCGGTTCAATACCATCGGCAATACTTGTATTGTCCTTCCCATTGCGGTTGCCGCTGAAGAGTCCGTGAAGCTGGGTGATTGAATTGCGGAGTCCCAGGGGACTACTGCTACCATTTGAGTTTGAGAAGCCGCGTTTGTTCAGGTGCTCGTTGATGCTGGCTATCGAGTTTCGGAAGGCGTTTCGACCGTTGGTGCTGCTGTTGCTGTTGCCGCTGCCGGCTGTGCTGCCACTTGCGGCTGCCATTCCCATTGCGGCTTCGTTTGCGTTCCAGGGTTCGGGATTGTTTTGTTGGTTGTTGTTACCATTGGAATTGATAAATCTGCTCTCATTCGGTGGTGCGCCGGGGTCTAAGCCGCCGTAGTGGAATAGGGCCTGCCATGCTGTGAGGGCGGGGAGGGCAATGGCTGCTGCTTCGTAGGTGCTGATGTTGCGGGGCTTTAGGGCTAGCTCATTCTCTATGGCGATGGCATAGTCTGCTGCGCCACCATCGCGGGTGTAGCTCAGGACACCGAAGACCTGGTCGCCGATCTTGAAGCGCGGGCCATTCACAGAATTGTGATCTACTGTTGGTGTAGTGATGACTGTGCCGCAAATACTATGGAGAGGGATCTTTGGCGCCGTCGTGTGCGGGTTCAGGTCATTGGCTAGACGAAGCTCGTCCTGGCAGAATGCTGCTGTTCGGATTTTCAGTAGGTATTGCTGCGGTGACGGACGCGGTGTCTGGAACTCAGTATCCAAGGTCAGGATTGATATGGGCTCTGCTTCTGAAGCTTTGGCCCTGGGGCTTATGTTTGAAGTCCCGGACCCGGCTCTGCTTGTATCATCTGGTGATACTTCTCCTGTGGGCGAGTTGGAAATCGGAGCCACATGGTAATATAGCGCTCGCATTGATACCGGAACGAATGTTTGTTCATTCATTGTTGTGGACCGTGGCTTCCCTGGCTTTCTTGATTTGCTTCTCTGTGACTTGACTACAGGAGACTTGATTGAAGGGGACCTAATCGCTGGCGTTTTGGCCGTCGGTGGTTGATCCGGGGGGACACTTGACGAGGAATCGGTTCTGGTATATAAGTCCGCCCTGTTCATTGCGTGACTCGTTGGATCAGACATAGCTGACAACGAAGATCCTAATTGGACAGCCATGCTGAGATGAATTGAATTGGCCCTTTCTTCCTATCTGGAGAATGTATGCAGTTGAAAAAGATGAAATGAACTTGCCATCGCCATTATGTATAGATCACGGTGATGCCCTAATGTTGACGTATGGCTGTACTTAGGTCAGCATTGCCACAAATCGTAGAACGAGTGTAATCACTCTTATCCATGACAGAATAGAGCCGATATGCATATCGCGAGTATGCTACTGGTAGTTTGATCGAGTCCACAGGCGATGGTGCCGAGAGACGTTGAGTGCCGAGGGAGTGTCTTCCATGTAGGTGCCGATTGCGTCGTTCTAGAAACCATATGTTGGGACCAATTGGTATTGTAGATTACTGAATTGAAAATGTCATTTATCTCTGTAACCACTGATAAGTTTTTGCTCAGCCCATTCCCCGAAAATGACATTGATTCAGATCAGCCAGAAAGGCAGCAGAGGCACCCGCGTACGAAGCCATCATTTCAAAGATGGGAAACCTTGCGAGGTTTCCCCATTCGCATAATCAGCGAGTAAGCAGTAGAGAGAAAAGAGAAAAGAGAAAAGAAAAAGAAAACCTCGAAGCACGAAAGGTAATGGCATAAGATATCCCCGTACAAGAATGGATTTTGACGCGAGTGCAATATCAAAGACGCTCTGCCCAATAAGTTCCCAACCCACATGATGACAAACTACATGAGTGAACAGATATCAAATCGAGTTCTTCATGCTCCTTCAGAGCAAGAGCAAAACGGAAGTAGAGAAAGGAAGGTGGAGGAGAAGCAGAAAAAGGACAATGTATTAGAATCAACACGGTACATCCGCTTAAAGTAAAGAATCAAGTCTGGTGAAAACGCTCAAGCATGCGGCGACAATCTAGTCAGATAGTCAGTAAGCGTTCCAAGTTGTAGATAAGATGAAAGGACATACCTCCAACTGGAGCTCTCGGTCCTTGTTCTTGTTGGCCTCGTCATTGATGGCCTGGGCCAGGTTGGCTCCAATCGCCTGTGACCCACCTGCCCGCCGAGCAAACGGATATTGCGAGTACTCTGCCAGTAGCTCATCCACCTGAGCAAATGCTCTCTCACGGGCTTCGTGGCTCATCGTGACTAGCGCATTCTCCAATACGTTCGCCGCATATGCAGCGCAGACCATCGTCACGGTGCGTAGGTAGCGGAATTCGGAGTCTTCGGGAAGCCACGGGCTGGGAGGGATGATCACGGTGCGGTTGCTGCAGATGTTACGCACGCGACGGTGCAGGTCGTCCTTGGCGCCGCCGTCGGCGACAGGGTGAGTTGCCATATCGAAGAGGAGGAAGTTTCGTTTTTCGGTTCGCAGGATACCCTTGTCCACCAGACCTTTGGCCAGTCGCTCACGCACTTGTTTCAATTGGTATCCGATTTTCATCAAATTCCATGTCTCGCCTGTAGAGTGAAAGACACGGGTCAGCCTGGGTCACACAATATCCATTCCTGATCACTGGGGGGTAGCCGTACCGCTCATCAAATCAATCCAGGAGTTCACGCTCATCTTCTCGCTCGATTTCATCATCTTTAGCGCCTCGTCCAGCAAGACTTCCCCGGTCAATGTGTCGTCGATGACTTCGATCACGCGGTCGGCCAGGGGAAAGCGTCGTCGCGAGGAATCCTTCTGCATACTAATGCGACCGCGGAGCGCAAGTTCGATAACGATACACCCGCGCAGGGCGTAGGAAATGTTCTCATTCCAGAAGGACAGGTAGCCCTGCGAAGATTCCCAAAATGTCAGCCACTCGAGTCTGGTCGGAGTACAGACACCCCATAGGCAGTCTAGCCATGCCCTCTTCATCCTCTGCAACTCACCTGCTTATCCTTCAATCCCAACAACAGTACCTCTTCCATCAAGGTGAGCTTGGGTTGCTTGCTCCGCTCTTCGGTTTCACTGAGGTCGCGGGGGTCGAATGCGATCTTGTGGCCGTTCTCTCCAGCGGTGAACGAGGTCTCCGGACCACGATTGTCCATGGCGGAGTTGTTTCTCGAGACAGGCGACGAGACTCGGCTGTCATCTTGTTCTTCTGGGCCAGTAGCTCGACCGCCGCCTCGTCGGCGTGTCAAGCCCCCGGCTGAGGCCATGAGGATAAAGGTAGCGGTGGGGTAGGAGAGAAGGTGAGAGAGTAGGAGGCTTAGAGACCGGGAATATCTCTTTAGTCAAAGCCGATCTGCGTGCCGGTCGCAAGGGGCATTAATTGTCCGTGTTGGTTGGTGAAAGGTGACCGCGTAGACCGAAAGTCTCCCGCTACCGTTGCCGCTTTCTGAAGTGGGACTCGGCGTCAGGGGAAACCAGGGACCGAGTGGATTGACGAGATAAGTTAATCTATCAATTCAAGACTTCTTCCACGAAGAGGAGTGAAAAAGACGGATGAGGTCCTAGGGAATGGTCGGGTCGAAGTTAGTTCCGCCTGGCGAGGTGGCTGTTTTGCTGTGCGCCCGCAACCAAGATGATTGAATCTGTCCAGTCCACGTATACTTCCCAACGAAGATTATCTCTGATCCCAGCATTTGAACTAATTTAATTGTCTGCCGTTATATTGCATTTTCCTGCATCAACCCGCGTACGGTTTTGCCTTTGATCGCTGCTTAGATGCTGGCCGCCCCCACGAGCCTCAACTCTGTCATCCTGATTACTTCTAGCCATTGCACCCATTGCAGATGCCTACAGTATCGAAACAAGTCCCGGTCACTGTAGACCGAATGAGTCTCGAAAAGATGGATATCGACAGATAACAAATGTAGAGAGGAGAAACAGCGGTAGTCCGCTATCCACGTTCTGCTTCAAAACTGCATTCAAGATGATATACACGATATAGAGGGATCAAGAGGAAATAAAACCACTGGCATGGATTTCAGCATACAGAGCAGCGCCCGAGGCCACGGCGATACACGTTCTCGAGCGAACTCCGTGGCTGACGCCAATATCCCGAACCTTTTCTATCCAACTCCCAACCAACCGGTCTCCGGGATTTTCGATTAAGATATTTAGTGAGCTGCACTCGAGTTAGTGTCTAGGTCGTATTGATTGCAGGAAGTGTAAACATACCATCGGGCTGAGCCAGGATGTACTCGACAGCCTTCTCAACTGTTCGCACAATACACATTAGCTGCAGTCCAGTGAAGAACCTTCACGCAAACGCGCTTCAAACTTACCACTGTGGATCTGGTCGGCCTCCTTGTCGGGGATCTCAAGGCTGAACTCCTGTGGGCGAAATTGTAAGATTTTGCTCTGCGGTTATCTTTTCCCGAGGAAAAGGATTGGGGCGCATACCTCCTCAATGGCCATCACCACCTCGACGGTGTCCAAGCTGTCAAGACCGAGGTCGTTCGAGAAGTGAGAGGCGCCGTTGATCTAATGGTCGACATGTGTTAACAATAGAAATTGGGTTGATGGCCCCATCGAAAGCTCAGAGCTAACAGCCGAGGACCGGCGGGTATTGTCGCGTCATCGAAAACTAACCTTGCTGGCGTCGGAAACCTACATGAATAGTGTTAGAGAAGTTTCAATCGTATGTGGGAAACTGATGATGGTAGAAAATGTCCGGATAACAGCCTGACGCACCTTGTCGAAGTTCTTGAGCAGGTTGACTATCCGGCCCTCAACCTCCTCCTTGTTCAGACCGGCAGGCGCGGAGTAGGCACGAATGGACTGAGAGACGAAGACAGGAGTGAATTGAGGGACGCGAGCAGCAATGGGGGAGCTGCGGATCTGGAAGGAAGCCGGAGTCTTGACGGCGACACGGGGGGCGGAAGCCCTCAAGGAGCGGGCGATGGCGGAGCGGAACATATTGAAATCGAAGATCGAAAGCGCGACGGCTACTCTCAAAGAGAGAATAAAAACGGGAGGTATGGGAGGAAAGAAGGTGGCTTCAAAAAGAGATGGGGGAAGAGGGAGAAGAGGAAGAAGGACGGGAAGTTGATGCTCCTACGCAAAATCCTGCCCGGCAGCCAATCAGATCCCGACAGAAGGGAATGACCTAAGCCAGAAACTGCAAACCACTCAACTTCACGTTAGCGACCTCCTCCTACTCTGTCAATTGTCTCCTCTTCCACCCTTCCTCTCTTCTCTTCCATCTCCTCTCCCAACCATGGCTACCGCCAGATCGGTCGCGCGGCTGGTCGCCAACCGCCGCTCCCCCTTCATGCCCATCGGCTCATTGGCAAACTTCTCTCTCTCTGCGTCCCGCGCAGCCACCCCAGCGGGACCCCCTCATCCCAGCTTCCGTCTGCCCGCGCCCAAGCGCTGGGACCAAGGCTCCGAGTCCTCCATCGACAAGGCCTCCAAGTACTTCCTCATGGCCGAGCTGTTCCGCGGCATGTACGTCGTGCTGGAGCAGTACTTCCGCCCACCGTAAGTCCACCTGGCTGTCGACATGGACATCACAACGACTCGACCTCAATTGGCTGCAGATGATCTAACCCAACATCTCTCCTTGCTACAGGTACACAATCTTCTACCCCTTCGAGAAGGGTCCCATCTCTCCCCGTTTCCGCGGTGAGCACGCTCTGCGTCGCTATCCCACCGGCGAGGAGCGTTGCATTGCCTGCAAGCTCTGCGAGGCCATCTGCCCGGCCCAGGCTATCACCATCGAGGCGGAAGAGCGTGTGGACGGAAGCCGCCGGACGACCCGTTACGATATCGACATGACCAAGTGCATTTACTGCGGTTACTGTCAGGAGAGCTGTCCCGTGGATGCTATCGTCGAGAGTGAGTTTCTAAGATCAATTGTGTGGGACATGGGCTGGAAGCTAACCTTATTTCTTCTCACAGCCTCCAACGCCGAGTACGCCACCGAGACCCGCGAGGAGCTCCTTTACAACAAGGAGAAGCTGCTCGCCAACGGCGACAAGTGGGAGCCCGAAATTGCCGCGGCTGCCCGCGCCGATGCTCCTTACCGATAAACGCTCATTCTTACTTCGGTGGTGCATGGAGAAGCGAATTAAGGATTTGGCCTCGTGAGGAGACACGGGCCTATACCAAGTGCGCCTACGGGTTGCACGAAAATCTAGAAAGGGCTTATGATGCCCTCGCCCCAACACATATTGTACATAAACCCCCCTCGAACTTGTGTTATCACTTTGTACTAGTCGATTCCCAAAGTTTTCGTTTCGATGAGACTCGGCTTCTTTGTCTTTTATATTCCCTATGTCTGGAATCTAGCAGGTTTTCTGTTTCATTACAGCTTAAATCAAAATTAAAATTAAAAAAAAAAAAACATCATACATAACACAAGAATTAATTGTGAGCTTGGATGGATGTTCATGCCAAGTTCTTTCTCGACTAAGGTTGTGCACGACTCGGTTTCAATGGCCTCGGCATCGCCTTCAGGCTTCCAAGTTTAGATCTAGCTCTACTAAACACCTGGAACCTGGAACGAAACACTTTGGAACAGGATGATATTTTATTCACAAAATGAAGATAGATCGCTACCCATGCTGACGTACATACAAGACATAACAGACGACATATGCCGCTGAAACAGCGCAAACACCAAACACCTGAATCCCCGGATGGATATTTCCCAGTTCGATGTCTTTAAAACACTTTTCTTTTTGTGGGTCGTGGGTGAGTTCCAGCTTCGTGGGAGAAGGATATAAGCATGGATCACGGAGAAAAAGAGAATATGCAGACGAGATGAGACAAGAGGTAAGGTAAGATAAAAGAAAAGGTGAAAGCCAGCCTCTGTGAAGTCTTTATTTCTTCTTGCCGCCAGTCTTGGGCTTGAAGCTTCCCTCAAAGCCAGGTCTGGCCGCCTTTTTCTTGCCACCTCCTGAAGGCTTCTTGCTCTTGTTGCCCTTGTTACCCTTATCATCGCGACGCTTGCGAAGGTTCTCTTCACGCTTGTTTGCGCGTTGGTCCTTCATGCGAGAGACGGTGTCAAGGCGGTCCTTCCATTCACGCTCGGACTTCTTCTTCGCTGTCTCCTTGCGCTTGAGGGCCTTCTTCAGAAGAGAGGTGTCGTCACGGACGCGCTCACCGTGAGCACGCTTCTTGGCGTTCAACCAGCGGTCCTTCTCTTCGAGCTCGGCACGCTTCTCGGGGTCCATGCTGGCGAGACGGGCCTTCTTGGCCTCGACAATCTTGAGCTGGGCAGCAGCATCGGTGGCGCCGTGCTTCTGCGGTGCGTCACGGACACTTGAAAGGCTGGCATCAGTGTGCTGACCATCGGCAAAGACAACACGGCCGAAAGAGAAGTTGTTGCTGGAAGAACCAACCGACTCGGCAGGGGAGCGAGGCGAGGCCAGGAGAGATCCCGAGCCGCCGGGGGAGAAGCGGCGGGTCATGGCTTCATCCTTCTCACGCTGCTCCTCGTCCTTGGCCTTTTGGCGCAACTCCTTCTTGTGTGTTTTCCGTTGCTCGGCTTTTTGCCGACGAGCTTCGATCAACTCTTGGCGGTTACGCGCAGGCTTGCCGTTAAGGCCATCAGCCTGACGTTTCGCACGAAGTTCATCAAGACGCTTTTGCAGGCGCTGCTTGAGATCTTCTGGCGTGGCCTTGAGAGCTTTGGGCTCGGAGGACTTGGCATCTGTGGCGGAGGGAGGGACAATGGAGGATATGGAGGAGCTGCCTGACTGAGGATTCGAAGCATCAGGAGAGTTACGAGTGGAAGAGGCGGAGGAGGGGTCTTCGGGCTGGTCGTGGAATTCGACGGAGAATCCTTCCTCGGGAACGCCTTCGACATCGTCATCGTCCTCGTCGTCAGAATCTTCTTTAGGTTCAGCAGCAGTGCCGTTCGCCTTGGGAGCAGGCTTCTCAGAAGTCTCGGCAACGGTCTCCGTCTGCTTCTCATTTTGAGTCTTGTCCTTCCTGGCGGTGTCCTTGGCCTTCTTCTTTTCCTTTTGGGCGAGCTTTTTCTTCTCCTTCTTCTCTTCCTTCAATTTTTTGCGAGCCTCCGCTTCCTCCGACTTCTTGTTCTTGGTGGCGGCATCCGACTTTTCCTCGTCTTGTTGCTTTTGCTTCTTGGTCTTCTCGCCTCGGGTCAGTCCCTCTCTGGGATTTTCCGAGCCGAGTTCTCCGTCGGACGAATCGGACTCAAGGGTACCGTCCTCTCGCTTGCGCTTGCGAGCATTCTCATCCATCA